CCCGGGAAGAGCCTATTTTATATGCCGAGCGAACCATTGTTGGTCATGGCCAGGAGCGTGGTGGCATGCGCATCATATTTGGCAATCCGTCCAATACCACGGCAGTAGACTTTATCTTGTTTGAGTCTCTGCCATGGTTCCTGCGACCTTATATCCACACTTTACAGGCGACTATTACGGGCCGCGACGGGATTCCCACTGAGATTGCGGCATCAGATCTTGTCACTTCGACATTTTACCGACCGGCCATTGATCGTGAACGCGGAACACAACTAGAAATAGCGCTATCCGTCCCAGCGGCATCGACCGTGACCCTGACCTATGACTTTGAAAAGGCTATCTTGCGATATACCGAGTATCCGCCGGATGCCAATCGTGGTTTCAATGTTGCCCCTGCCGTCATTCGGATTTTGAATGTGGAAAATAGTGCGCCGGTTTACATCCGGTCTACTAGTCTTCTGCTGCCTCTGCCAACTCCCGACTTCAGTATGCCCTACAATGTGATCATCCTTACCAGTACTGTGATTGCTCTTGCATTTGGCACCGTGTTCAATATTCTCGTGCGGCGCGTGGTTTCAGTAGATGAGGCTGCTGCATTGGGTGCTCAAAGTCTCAAGGGTCGACTTCTGGGCAAGTTGGTGGCCATTCGAGACCGGTTCCGCTCCAAGGAGACCAAGGTTGAATAAACTTCCATAGGTGGCTACTGATATTTTTTTTAATTTGCGTTTTGTCAAATATACCTTTCAAACATGTCATCCCAAGCTATCTATAGCAAGAATCTCATAATTGCAGCTAATGTACAAATTTCGTCGTTAGTAGGATATACTAGTGCTGTATCTGCTTTCTTCAAAGCACGAAAAACAACCTTGGAAACAGAGGGGGATTGGCCAGATGTGAATTGACAATATCAGCCCTGGGCTCATTCAAGGTTTCAAAGTTCCGAATATATTCTTCATAGTTCCCCAACCAGGAAAAGTATCGGCACCACCAGGCTTAGTACCCATGAAGGAATGATCCTCTCCAGAACAAGTGGGCTCTCCGCTGTCGGTCGTGGTCTTGATATCATCTCCCGCGAGACCTGCGCGCGCAAGATACTTGGCCTCAGCTCGAGATTTTTGGTCGTCAAGACCGAGGAAAGCGCCCATGGTTTCACGGGGGTTACTGGGCTAGATACCAGAAGATAAGGTTAATATCCTCTTTCGAGTCATTCGACAAGGAGATGAAAAGGGAACGAACATCTACATGTCCTTTTCCTTCATTGAGAACATCATTCATGCCGCCTTTATGGAAGCTTCGATCGCCCCAACCGGCGCCACCACCGATATTATTCGCCGGGGTTGGTGTAGTCCCCGTGCCTCCAGCCACGGTGGTGGGTGGACGACTGTCGGTGGGTGATCCAGGCATACTGTGACTAGACAAAATTAACGTCGACATACAGCTTTTTAATGAGCTATCTCCGCTGAATAGGCATAGAGATAACCAGGTCCATAAACTCACATTCTAGATAAAAGAGAGTCGATGTCGTTCTTTGGCAGGTGATTTCTTAACAAACCGAGTTACACACTCGATTAATGACAAGATGATAGATACCATTCTGAAAACTTGCCACCTTAACCCGAGTTTATATACTACTAGTAGGAAGGGCTGACCTCATGGGCGGGAATGAAAGAAGGATGAAGTCATAATGAGTTCGGACTTGGCCAATCTTGTTGGCCCGAGGCACCAACTGAGTCAGCACGTCCAATCGCTTCGGCCTACAATTGATAGTGCAAGTAGGTCTTTGCAAAAACACATAGTAACTTGGGAAATTTTGGTATTTAGAAATGTACATCTCAGTCACATCTGTGCTAGCGGCTAGTCTAACTTGGAAGCTCTACGGGTTTGTTAGGAAATGGGGACCATTTTGGGCTCTGGATCTATTCTTGAAGACGAAATTGAGAATACTAGTAACAGATAAGCGCTAGAATGCGAGGGAACCTATGAAACAATATTATCTGATTTCAATTAATTCTCTATCTAATCGTCTACTGTTCCGTGCCTTCTGCTAACAGCACGACTTCAAATACCGAATGGCTTTTGAATTCTCCAACCTCTCACCGAGGATTATTTCGATCATAACGTATCACCTGCAAAGCAGGCCACACCTGCAACATTACAGCACCGGCCATAACACAACCGGCGAAAATTTGGGCTCGCAGAAACGAAGCTTCTTCAAGATTCACCAATGCTCCGGCGATTGGAGTTCCTGCTAAAGCACCAAAGGATGATATACCCCACATCATACCCAATCGCGTGCCCATCCAGTTGGGACTTGAGCAAAAGACCGGGTGGGCAACTATAGCCGTCGGCCCCGTGACAATGACACCACTCAGAATACCCCAGTAGCAAGCCCAAACAATGAATCCAGCAACATTGCTAACGGCGATCCAAGTGAACATAGCAATCGCCGATGCCACCACCACGAGCAGTAGGATGATTATAGGCTTGACGTAGGCAACGATCAAGTAAGGCATGATACGTCCAAAGCAGGAAGAGCCGTTGACGATGGCTACCATATAGAATGATAGACTGGTCGTTGTACCTACAACGACCCGACCATATGAAGCGACATAGAAGATAGGAACGTAGTAGGCGAGCATGACCAAGGTCAGAGAGACGGAGAAGAGCATATAAGAGGGCTCGCGGAAAGCCTTCCAGTCAATGAGGCTTCGAGCACGGGCCTTTTGACCTGGTCGGCGGCAAAGAATGTAGCATGCGATAATTGCCATTAGCAAGCTGATGAACGCAATACAGCGAACCGCCCATGGAAATCCAATCTTGGGCTGGAGTTGCCGAAACATAACAGGAAAGATCACAGCTCCGACGCTAGATCCAATTGATGCTATTCCAATGGCGAGCGGTCGTTTCGTAGTAAAGCTTGTCGACACTACGGTCAGAGCCGGGATATAAGCAATGCCGCCACCTGTTCCGACACAGAATCCATGCGCGAGAAGTACCTAAGAGAAGGTTAAGAGGTCAATCTATAGAATATTGGACAAAGAGGAACAAACCTGGTAGTACTCCGTCGCGAGACTAGCCATCATCAACCCGAAGACCGTCAAGAAGCTCCCAATCACGGTCAATGAACGGATATATCCCGCATCAACTAGCGGACCGGAAACAATACCAATCATTGGGATCAGCGTTGCTTGGATACTTCCTATCCATGAGATCGCTGATGGCGATTGGTCACTTAGAAGCTCTGTTTGGTAGTATTCTTGAAAAGCGCCAAAGGTAGTCAATATGCCCCTGGACCATCCATTAGCTTTCTAAATCCCCGTCGTAGTCGGAGGAAAAGGCTCACCAAGAATTGACAAAAACACAGAATAGCGCAACGACATTCAACCAAGCCTGCAGCCCCCCATTGATTTTTGGCTTGCAAAAGTCACCATCCTCCGACTGTGGGGCTCGATTTGCCGCGACTTTCTCAGGCGACGGAGTGCCATGATCTTGCTCAATATTGGGAAGAGTCGCCTTCTCAGTCATTTCCATGCAGCGGTAAAATCCCAGTTCCTGCGAGCGCAGCGGCCCCGGAGCTAACTAGTAGTTATAAGACCCATGTTCCCCTCGAACCGACCCCACGGGGTTTCCATTAGTCACGGGAATGAGGTGCTGGTCTTCGGTTGAGCCGGCAGTTTGTAGCCGAACTCTACCGATTGGCACAAGTTTGGGAGCTTGAGTCATTCACCGTAAATTAGGGTCCCTGGAGCGGTCACCTCCGATTGATTTCTGCTATCCCCGCGTCTGGGGGATCTTGGCCTTCGTTTGTGCTCCGTGTCGACTTGGAGAATTGATGTAGTTTCTGAGATGCGATATCGGGGTATTTTTGTATCTGCTCGATTGTGATTGGCGGAAATTTTCCGCTCTCTTTTCTTTTGCATCCTTTATTCTTCAATTGGAAATTCGAACTACATTTGGACACCATCTTATTCAATTAGCTACTCTATGAAAAGCCTCACATCATGAGGGGTCTTAGACGACCTAAAACGAGGAAATGCAACTGCTACGCCAAAACACCCAGGCGGGACCATGCGCTGTCAATTGATTAGGACAAATCATCAATGTTCGCGGAAGGCGCAACGAATCTATGCAAAATTCGCTCTACAGCGGATGCCGAGTTCCGTCCTCGTGCAGTCAACACTTGGCAAAATACTTGGCACATGAGCAAGCCGGAAATGTACTGGATGCTTGGACCATGATAGACCATGAATTCTTCTTATATTCCATAGGTCATAAGCCTTAGAACGGGGGACACCCCTGGCGTACTAGTGCTATCTGGACGATTCATTGAAAGTTTATTAATTGCACTCAGGGCCTTAGGTGGGGCAAAATTAGTTCCAAAAATGTGGCTTTTATATCAGGCGCCCTCTTCTTTTTTTCCTCTTGTTAATTTTATCATCTGAGTCAGGATTTGGCTTTCTAAACCTAGCAGATGTAGCGAAGATGTCGGTACCTAGAGCTACGAATATTGATATGGGAAGATTGAAAATTGGAAGAAATGCGAGTGGTTATGAGATATATGTAGCACAGAAATACTACACTATACGATAGTATACATAATTAGGTAATCTTGCCATTCTTAATTGTTTGCAATGGAGAAGAAGTAAAGTGAAAAGGGCCTAGCAAAGCTTTACTGCTGGCTGTGTGGGGTAGTGAACCCTTCAATCGCTCCTAGCTCAAGGGTATTCTGTATAGCCCTGTGGCTGAGGCTGATAATCTGCCAATTTATGCCATCTGATTGGACCCATAATATCCGCGGTCTATTTATGAATATGTCCCTCTCCATTTTCGGTAAAACCTGCCGCCCGTCGATTTGAGTAAAATTGACTTTGCATGACGGGAGCCAAGCCGATCGACAGGTGGGATACTAGAATCTATTTATTATGCCTATGCCCCTGACAGACTCGGGATATTCTCATCGATATCTTTCAAGGTTATTTTTTCTATCATCGATCATAACCATGTCCGTCTTCAAACGTCTTTCCGGTTTTTTCTCAAGCCCTACTCCAGAAGAACTAGCTGCGGCCAAAACAAAGGTCCAGGCGCTGATCAATGAGAATGGCGTTGTTGTTTTCTCGAAGAGCTACTGCCCCTACTGCGCTTCCACTAAACGAACATTGAACAAGCTCGGCGCTAAATATGTTCTACTTGAATTGAATGAGATCGGTAAGTCCTTGAGCAGCATTAAGTTACGATGCGATGCGATGCCATCACCAAGTATTTATTTTCGATGCTAAATATTTTGATATTGGAGATGACGGCCGAGCTCTTCAAAGCGCTCTTCAAGAAATCACGTACCAGACCACCGTGCCCAACATCTTCATCGGGCGGAAGCATATTGGCGGCAACTCAGAGCTCCAGGACATTAAAGAGCAGCTCCCTGAATTTCTCAGACATGCAGGTGCCCTATGAAACGATTGAGATCTGAGAAAATAAGTTTTACTTGTGACGCGAGGCCAAAGCAAGACTCGGACCCGGATTTATGTTTGGTTTTATGGTACTCTATGGCGCTGTTTTAAGTTATACCCCAATTAGTATACTTTGAAATTCAATCTACAGTATATTGCTGTATTTTAATTAAAAAAATAGGACCACGAGTATGAAGCAGAGAGATAAAGTCAAGGCAACGTTTTGTAGAAGATTTAATTAATAGTAGTGGCTTATCCGCGTCGGATAGTTACGAGAGCCGCGACCACTAAGAATCCCGATCAGCCGCAGCCGCAGCCGCAGCCGCGTCCGCGGAGACAAATATGAAGGAAGTGCTTGCCCTAAGATAGGGTTGCTACCCTCCCATTACGCAAGGCTATGCGTAATGTGGCTGACCCTTGACCCCTGAATAGTCGGGCTGTGAGTGGTCATTTCAAATAGTGCCTGCACTCCACACGCGTAAGGCGATGACGCCGCGGTCTGGAACACCGCGTGTGACCCACATATTGAGTCGAGACCCAGTTACTTTATTGATGATTTGCGATACTATTCGACAAGGGAACTAGTTCAGTGGATCTATGGATCTCCATGATGAGGTGTTCCTGGAGCTAGAACTGTAAATGGACCGGAGGCAGACTACGCTGTGCTAAAACCCTAACGCATGTAGCCAATTATGTCGGCGTCTAGCGGGCGCATTGGTTCTCGAATGCTTCTAGACGATAAATGGGTCTTATAACTATCGAATAGGTTCCCTTTTATATTCGTTTGTGTGTTTCAGAGTTGCTGGGCCACCCTTGAAATCAACTCCACCGCGAGTATAAAGTCGGAGATGGTCCTCTCTCGGCTTCCTGCTCTGGTTGAACAATTTCAGTCCTTTACCTCGCTCACTCTTTTCAGATACCTTCCTTTCTTCGAGGCTGTGCCTCTATTCATTCCATTCTTTCAAACAACTTCAGTTCTGCTTGTCTGTTGACCAGACACGTTCTCGATCTCTACAAATTTCAGCCACATACACACTTTGAGCACTCCTGCTTATCAATCCTTCAAATACCAAACCAAATCAAATAAACCAACAATGGCCTTCCTTAAGACTCTCGGCTTTATTGCCCTCGCTGCCACAGCTTCTGCCCTTCCTCAGGGTTACTGGCCCACTGCAACCACTTCTGCCGTTAGCACGACGACTCCGTCCGCATCTGCCTCGGGCTCGGCCTCAGCCTCAGCCTCTCCCACCAGCAGCACTGGCAGCGGTATCAACATTGTGAACAACATGGACCAGGATATCTATATCTGGTCCACTTCGGACTCCACCAGTGGCATGCAGACTCTAAGCTCCGGCGGCGGTACCTATACCGAGAGCTGGCGCACCAACTCCGATGGTGGGGGTATCTCAATCAAGATGGCCACCTCTGAGAGCGAAGACAGTGTGCTGCAGTTCGAGTACACCAAGGGTGACGACACTCTGTGGTGGGATCTTTCTTCTATCAATCTTGCTTCGGACTCGTTGTTTATTTCATCCGGCTTCGCTGTCACCACTGATGACTCCAGCTGCTCGTCTGCGACGTGCTCTGCTGGAGACACTGATTGTGCCGATTCATACCAGCAGTCGGATGATGTGGATACCTTCAGTTGCTCGACCTCTGCTGCATTCACCCTGAACTTGGGTTAAACTATTCTTCCATATCAGACTACTGGTAGTCTAAAGGTAGTTTGCTAGCAACTTTCCTTTTACCTCATTTAGATTTGGACATAAAGATCGAGGACTGCAAGATAAAAATCAATGCCTGTAGTAGAGTACAAGCAGAGTTCAATAAATGAATAAAAGCCCAAAGTTAAAAAAAGATCAAACAGTATCATTTCCTTTGCTTTGAGTTACAAGTAGAAAGTAGTATATAAGACAAGAAAAGCCCGGTAGACTGAACCTAGAAAACTGTGTGACTCTGCACGGATTAGTTGTCTCGCGGGGTGATTTGTACATTTAGTACATTTAGTAGACAGGAACCTTGAAAGCAGGGAACTCGTAAGTCCAGCTCTCAATAGACTTCTTGTCGTGGACGCAGTCGAAGGTCGAGTTGCTGTGCCAGAGAGGACGGGTAGGCCACTGGCAAAGCATCTGAGTCTCGCCATCGTAGGTTCCGGAGGAAACGGTGGCATTCAGGCGGGAAGGCTTAACACCCTTCTCAACCCAGTTGATCATGATCTCCATGTTGTCCTCGGGGTAGGGACCGGGCTGCAGAGTGTTGGTTCCACAGTGGGCCGCACCAGGGATCAGGTAGAACTGATACCAGTCCTGGAGCTTGGAAAGACTCTCCTTAGAGGAGACACCGGGGTACATGATATCACGAACAGACTGCCAATAGTGCACGGAAGAGGCAGCGGGGATAGAGGGATCGGACTCTCCGTGGTAGTGGAGGAGCTTGCCACCAGACTCCTGGAACTTAGTCAGGTCTGGGATGGTGGTCTGCAAGCTGTCGAAGTAGCGATTCATAGCGATGTCCATCCATTCAACGACGGTGTCATAGGTGACACCATCCAGGGTGGAGAGGTTGTCCAGGTCCAGAAGCTGCACGAACTTGGCGACGTATTCACCACCCATTGAAGTGATGTCAAGCTCCCACTTCTGGGTGCTGTTGTTCCACTCAGTCTCGGCATCGCTCAGCTCAGAGCCAATCTGCCACGAGAGGTAGGCACGTTCACCCTTGCTGTCGTGCAGACCGTCGTAGATAGCCTGGGCAACGGCAACACCCTCTGCAGAGACCTTACCACTCTGAGTTGGTTCATAGCTGGTAGTGCTACCGGCAGCCTGGCGCTTGGTCTTGCTGAAGCCGAAGCCCAGAGAGGTAGCGGTTTCGGCAGCGCAGTAGTACTCCTCACCGACGATAGAGGACATGTTGAAGTTAAGTTTGCAAAGGTCGGTACGGGAGATGACACCATCGGTACGGCCGTCAAGAGGATCGCAAGCGGCGATTGTGGCATTGACGATCTTAGCCAGCTCGCAGGGTGGGGGGTAGTAGTCAAGGGTCTTCTCGACGACGGAAGAGAAGATGTGCTGGGTCTGTTGCTGGCCATAGCGGAAGGCAGGGGCACCGGTGATAACACCATCATACTCGTCGCCCCAGCGCTGGACCTGGCTCATACCCTCACGACCACCGTCAGAGCAACCCTCGTAATAGGTATAGAGCTTGGACTTGGAGTTCATGCCGTAGAAGCCCTTGGTGAAGTATTTTCCGAGCTGTGTCATTTCACCGAGAGCCTGGTATCCGAACATGTAGGTTGCATCCCAGTTGAGAGAGCCGTTTCCAAACAGAACAACGTCGTCGTAGGAAACGCCGTTCAGGGCGTCATAACCGGCAGAGGAGGCACCTCCGACAGCACCATACTCAAGACCGCCAGTGGCATCAGAAGACAGCGAGTAACCCCCACCTCCGGCGACGTAGAAGCGCTTGTTGAAGTCGGAAGGTTCGGGGAGAGCATACCTGACGACAACAGTGTCCCCCTTTCCGGGGTGGGTGTAGGTCAGAGTGACATTGCAGTAGTTGTAGGTCTCACTATCACTGGTGGAAGAAGCGTCCATACCACCACCAACTGTAGCATTGTAGACTACACTGGCAATAGAGGCTGACGAGTCTAGGTTTATTCCTAGAAGGGTGCCGTTCGCGGGTAGAGCAGACTTGACATTAGACAAAGTACAGACATCAGAGAGAGATCGAGCGCTGGCGGCAGCCGCAAAAGCCGCAACCGAAACGCCTGATTGAAGGCGCATAGTGAAACGGATGAAACGAGTGTATCGAATTGAACAAAACGAGGGACTCGCGGAGGTTTGGATAATAGTGAAAGCAAAAACCTGGGAAGTTGGCGGTAGTTGGCGGACTATCTAGTAGTATATTTATAAAATCAGGACATCAAGAGAAACCGAAATGAAATGGCGGTGATTCTTCCGGTTTGGGATAGACGAATTCTCGAACGAATGCTGATCTTCTCCCGAGTGGACTCCAGGGCTGAGGCGTATCCATGAAACTAGTATCGGCCATGGGACACAGAGCACTGCGAGGCTTTCCCAAACCTCCACGGCGTCGTAATCTCATTGGGAGACATGGCTAGGATTGCAGACCAAACGTTTGGAATAAAGGAAATGGGTGGAATTGCAACGGGGCGAATAAATCGAATGACGCCTCTTCTACCAGTGCCGCGCCAGTTTTACTCATGAAAATAAGGTGCATCATGGTTTAAACAAGTTGATTTGGGGGCCCACTATCCAAACTATCCAATTGTCGTTTCGTACGAGACTGTGGTGGAACCCCGAAGTCCCCTGATAAATTTGGAATTTATGTCCGATTTGGCCGAAAGAAGCTGTAAATGGACGAGGCGGTTAAAATCTACTCCGGGCTAGACTAAAGATCTGCAGATGCTAAAGATCCAAGTGTGTCAAAACTGGGGTGACCGCGTCAGTCTTTCAAGCTTTAATTTTGCACGAAGTGGAGCGATAACCCCCTGGCAGTCACCCCCTTCTTATATTTTACCCACGTTGCTGGACCTTGTTGAGAACTCGACGACCGGATGATCACCGAGTTAATCGTAGCTCCGAGCTAATGAAACATAAAACCGAGTAAGAAGGCTTTATCAATCTCGCTTGGTCCGAGTGCCCCACGGTGGAACTGACCGCGCAACTTGATAGTTCAAGCGACGTTTATCCGACAGCTCTGGGAGAGAAGAATCCGGAAAAATACTATAAAAGTACCTACTAGTAAACTCGGTTCGGGACCGCGTTTGCAAAACACTAGGTGACGTGTTTCTATGCAAGCCGTAATCGAAGCGTTGCTGCCTAGCGTCATCCACTCAAGTATCGTCAAGCTAAAAACAAGTGGTGATACATAGGTTGGTATTAGTATTCCGTATCGGATCCTTTATGCAAGAGGTAATAGTTTCTGTACCCCAGATTAGTGGCTGTGAGAATTGCAGGTGATCGGTTAGCATCAAACAGGATATGCTCGGTCGACCGGAGATCCAAGGTTTCGTATTCTCGTTTCCTGTTCCCCTGGGACTTGTTGGTGTTAAGATTAATGCGAGACGCTCAGCTTGACGTCGAATTGAGACATCCGAAATCGGCTTCGACGACATGCCTAATATCCGAAAAAAAGTTCTATTATGACTTGACTGCTAGCGAATCTATTGGTAGCAATGTAAGCAGTAATGTAAAACCATTGCTTCGGATGCGATAGTTCAAGTATTTTGTTCAATATACCGATCGAGGCAGCTTGGATTAATTCGTTCTTTTAGAGGGTGTCTAATCACTAATACACAAGGGGATATCAAATTGCAAAGAGGTAACCAAAGGTCTTTTCATGTCGTGAGCGATGCAAAACAAAAGGGAAGTCGTAAGGTTTCAATATACCAGAAGAGAAGCAAAAAGCAAGCGGATCAAAGGTGGTAAGTGGACGATAAAAAACAGGCTATTCGTCGTCGTCAAACTGGTCAGCCCAAGTGCCAGTCACGGGGGACATTGTAGCCTCCAGCTTTTCCATAGAGGGCTTCTCCAGGGGTGCAGCTGCTGGCTTGGGGTCGTCCTCCGGCTTCTTTCCGGCAGGGAGAGCAGGGAAATCCTCCTTTTTGACAGCAGGCGAAGATGATTTTTCAGATGGCTCCCTTGAGGAGGCACGCTCTCCCTTTTGGTCCGCGTGAATGTCTACGACCACGACCTCCACGGCCACCCCGGCCACGCCCCCGATTGGGGCTCAGTAGATCTTCAGCGGCCTCCTCAGAAGGTGCGGCGTCGAAATCTTTCCGCGTGTGTCCAGACACGCCACCGTGCATGCCACGTCGAAATTGGCTACCGCCGCCACGAGGGTTGTAGTCCTCTTCACGTTTCTGGGAATCCCATTCACGACCGGTTTGGGCCTTGAGTTTGCGCTGTCGGTTTTGCTCTCGCTCGTTATCCATGACACGGCGATTCGCAAGTTCCTCGCGGCGCTTCTTGGCGGCGATTTGCTCACGTTCCATGAAGGAGGCTTGATCGGCCTGTGCTCGAGCATGGGCGGCTGCCTTCTTGACGGCGTTCTCTTTGGCCGCAGCGATGCGCTTGGAAAGCTCCTCCTCTGTGAGTTTCGGCTAGAAAAGCAACAGTCAGCGAATTTATTCATAGTGAGTTGTCCCAAAGCATGCTAACCTTCCTCACACCTCCAGTGGCACTTCGATCCCCTCGGACAGCTGGCACTCGTGCGGCTTCGGTGCCATCAGCACTCGCGACCTCCGCCTTGCTCTCCTCTTCCTCTGCGGGCTGGTCTTGGTCCTTTTCTTTTGCCTGTTCTTGTTCCTGTTCCTGTTCTCGCACCTTCTCCTTCTCCACCTCTTGCGGCTTCTCCGATGACCCCTCTGCAGTGGCCCATCGACTTCCTTCTAGCCCGCTCTTCGCTGCGCCGTTCTTTCGTGGTACACTCTCAGCGCGCTTTTGCTCGACCGGTTGCGATTCGCGACCTCCGCGACCTCCTTTACCGCGGCCACGTCCTCGACCTCGGCCTCTCTCACTGCCACGGCCTCGCTGCGGCGTTTCCCCGCGCGGGGAGGCTGTCTTTTCGACGCGCGGACTCTCCTCTTGCACCTGCGGAGCCGGTGCTACCTCCTCCGGCACCACTACTTCCGTCTGAACCTGTTGCTCCTCTGCCGAAACCGGGATGATCTCATCATCAAAGAGATCGTCGGCCCCACGGGTCTGCGCAAACTCATCCATCCCTGAGTCTGCCATTGAGGTGTGATTGTCTGCGTTCTGATGATAACCAAGGCCTTATATAATATAGGAGTGTGGAGGATGTGGCAGCGAGTTTCAATGAGAATGCGCTCTGAGGGGTACTAGTAGCTTCGATTGGGGGCGGGAAAGGGTGAACCGTGCGCAAAGTGGAGGGACGAAGTTGGGGATTTCCGATTCCAGTTGGTGTTGATCTGATCTCGAGGATATTGAAGTTAGAGAATGAAATCGATCGAGGAGAAATGTACTTGAAATGGGTTCAAGTTGTCGCAGTTCAACAAACTCCAGCCACTCCACTCAAACACAAGCACAGCCTCGGGCGGTGAATCCCGCCAATCTGCGGAGAGCGGCAGTTTGCCCCCCACGCGTTCGCTTCATGACATGTGGGTGTGATATAGGAGAAGGGGAATGAATAGTAATGGATATTGGCTATAATCTCTTGGTTTCAAGTTATTCAAGAGATAGAAAGTGTCTCAGTATTGTCACGGTATTGCCATAAACTACTGTAAAGTACTTGGCAGGTCTGAAATATAACTAGTTGATCATAGTTATTCAGTAGAAGTAGTAATATACTTCAACCCCAACCCAGGTTTCCAAGGTTGTCTATATTGGGAATCGCCACCTCCATAAGCAGACATTTATACTATAACCTCCGGGCCTTTTAAAACAAGAAATCCAGATGTTTAAATATAGTAGCGTCGATGCGTGAAATTGTGATTTTTTTTTGCATAATTTATATTGAAATGTTCACTTAGCAAACATAACTAATCCCGATACTTCTTTCAAACTCAGAATTTGTCTTTGTTGTTCTCAACCCACTGCTGGAATGACTGTGGGGAATTGTGCGAATACTTTTGGACATTATCGATAGCCGTAGATGCGTCAGGGGATTCCCAAAAGTAATTTGGGTGATCAATGACATTGCGAATGAGCCAATTGGCCAGGGGTGCAGGAATGCCAGCCTTCACCATCACTGTTGCAGCCTCCTCTTCGGGGATTTTAGTCACAGTGATTTGCTTGTCTAGAGCATTACTGACGATGCCAATGGCATCCTTCAGCGACAATTTCTCAGGCCCAAGAAGTCCAACAGTTCTGACTCGTTGACCGGTGGTTAGAAGAGCACCAGCCACAGCGCCGATATCATTGGGCGAGATGAAATCAAACTTGGCATCCGGGTTTGGCAACTTCACCTCTCCCTGTTCAATGCCAAGCTTCTGCTGAAGAATGTTGCTTGCAAAATACGCGGGTCGAATAGCGACAAAGGAGTCGTCACCAAATACTTCTTCCAGAACGATTTCAACTTGGGCATGGTGAAGAGGAATAAAGTCGGTAGGAGAGACAGCACGAATATCAGTCATAATAGTAAAACTGCTCAAAAAGACAACGAACTCAATGCCAGACTCCCTGAGAGCCTGAATGGCCGGCCTCATGTGTTCGGGGGCACCGAAGACCGCGTAGATGAAAGCAGCCTTTGCGCCTGTCTGGTGAACCGCAGCCTTAACGGTGTCAGGCTGAGTGAGATCTGCCTGAACCCTTTCAAAAGAGATACCATCGAGGCTTGGAATTGGCTTGGAAGGATCGCGCACTGCGAGCGAAACCTTTGCACCATCCTTATGGGCTCTCAGAGCAGCAGCAGAACCCACCGCGCCGGTAGCACCAAACACAATCACTTTATCGTAACTGGGCATTGTAATTTGATACTTTGATAAAAAGAGGAGTCTGAAGAGATATTCAGTTGCAATTTTGGCAAATTTAACGAGAGAGAGGGTAGGCACTTATAAAGCTGCGCAACTTCATGCCAGATGGATGCAAACGGAGATGGTCGTCTGGACAGGGGGCATCGGCATCGGGCCCTGGGACTCCGACACTAATTCCGCTCCTTAAATCCGTCCCCACACCGAACATAGCACCGAGCATAACACCGTGTTTCTTGATTTTCTCGTAATCAGTAAGAAGTTGAGATGAAAAAGAATAGGGATTAGTTGAGTCAGATGTTTATATGCAAGTAGAATGTGTCGATGCTTGGGAGAGCCCGAGGAAATTAGTGCAATTACACCAAATGGTTTGTACTAGTACTCTAGATTTCCAACTGTACTATGTAGTATTATGTTAAAGATAGTACCATGTTCACATTTTTGCTTGTTGTAAATCGAGCATCTACATAATTCCGTCATGACTACCGGAATTTGATCTTTGAGTAGGTCTCCGAGTAGATTTCTGGTATGAACCTTGGAATTTTGAGTACAGTGGACATGAAATGGCTGCCACTGTGATTGCTTAGTACCTACTAGTTATCATTACCTCCAGGGCTTGCTTAAAGTATCAAGATAATGGATCGCAATTCCTTTTATGGATTACGCAACTATAGATTACTCAACAGATGGGCCTTGGCACACTTGGAAAAGCCCCTGCATTGGTCCCCGTCACTGCAAGTTCCTGGTAAAGATGCACGCCTAGCCCCTAGATGTTATTTGGCCTAGCGGTGTATTTTGCCGACCTCCCCCCCCACTTTGACCAAGGAAATCCCTGATAATAGAAAAACATAGCGGGGTATCGAGAATGAGGCGCCTTTGAGCTTAAGTCACAACTGAAGCACCGAGTTCTTCATTATGAATCAAACCTGTCTTCTTTGGCCTCTTTCACGGAAAGCCCTCGGACATTTTCACTTCATATGTTTTCTGCCATTATGACCAATAATGATACTTCGAATCTACCAACAGACAGTGTTGAATCTTTTATCCCAACTGTGACCATCGTCGCGACAGCCTCCTGCTATCCGTCGAATAGAATCGACACAGAGGACATTGATGGCATAATTTCGGCAGCCTATGACCTGAGCCCAGTGTATGTATTTGACCAAAGCTAACTGTGAATATGGTTTCACTAACTCTACGACCTAGTCTTAAGAAGACTTTAGAAATAAACAGAAAGTCCAAAATACAACATCGCTATTCGGCCCTACCGGATGATCACCCATACTGGAAGGAGTCGAAACTACCTAGTATCTCAGAATGTGACCTTCTATTCAAGAAATATGGCATTCCAATGGCAGAAGAAGCTGCCAATAAGGCTCTACAAGATTGGGGCGGCTCCCTCGATGATATCACCCATATGGTTGTAGTCACATGTACCAACACAGCAAATCCAGGGCTGGATTATATACTCTCTCAAAGACTTGGTCTTCACAGAAATGTGCAACGCACCCTTCTTCATGGAATCGGCTGCGCAGGTGGTGTGGCTGCTTTGCGCACTGCGAACGAGTTTCTTCTTGGAAGGGCGGCATTCAAGAAGCCAGGGAGAGCACTCTTGGTTGCATGCGAGCTGACAACCATGTTCCTACGTACGGAGATAGCGGCTATAGTTAGAGAAGATCTAGTTCACATTGGACCAACGCTGTTTGGTGATGGGGCAGGTGCATTGATCTTGAGCAATGGAATCGGTATTCACCCCGCCGAAAACAGATCATATTGGAAAATTCTCAATGTTCAGTCCACAACGCTGCAGCACTCAGCGCGATGCCTTGAATTTAATGTGCACGAACACGGTAGGTGTTTTTCGCTTTCCCCGTCTCTTGCTAGTAGGAGACACCCAAGACTTACGATTGAGCAGGCTATCACGCTCTCATTTCAAAAGACGTTCCTAGCCTTATTTCTTCGTCGCTTCTCAGCGCGTTTCGAGATTTGATTGCGTCAACCCCGCTGCTTAGATATGTCAAGACGAATTTCGATCCGTGCAATTATGACTGGGCTTTGCATCCTGGTGGTCATGGAATTCTTCTCCTGGCGCAGGAAATCTTGGGGATATCAGAGCACCATCTACGGAAGAGTTATGATGTCTATCGGATGCGGGGAAATACTAGCTCTGCTACTATCCTCAGCATCATCAAAGAGCTCGCAGACGAGGAGAGAGCCACTGGGACTGGACGAGATAAAGTCATGATGGCAGCATTCGGTCCAGGGATCACGATAGAAATGGCTGTCATGGCCCGGGCCTAGAAAGGCCCAGAGTGTAGATACAACAGTCAAGTATCACTGCCAATGATCATTGGAAGCTACTAGTAGTTATCCACTAATAAAGATTAAAACTTTAATTTGGTATCGATTGCCATTCGTATATCTTATCTTTTCTTCGGAAGTTACTAGATTGAGATTGTAAAACAAAGTGGTAGCTTGGGTTAAGCGCTTGAAACTGGGGATGATATGGGAGATATATAGAGCTATGAGATTCATTGAAATAATTCGGATGTCGCTTGGAACTATCTTCAAGGTCCGTGAGATAATTCACATTCCATCCTCGAAAAAGACACGAATTGGCATCCATGCGTCACCAACTACCTTCGCCCGAGTTTGAATTCCATCAAGAGAAGTGATATCCGCTTCTGATAAACCCCAATTGCCCATCTCGAAATTGGAATCGATCCTTTCCGGGGTCACGCTCTTGGGAATCATACTAGTGCCGCGTTGTAATCCCCACATAATACTGGAAATGTTAGCTTTGGTGCCCACTATTGTCGCCTGGTAGACTTATTACTATACTCACAGTATTTGGGCCGGTGTTCGCTCTTTCGAGTCTGCTAGATTCAATACCACAGGATCGTTGATCAATTCTGTACGAGTGTTTATAGTTGAGTTGGTATGGCCACCAAGACAGGAGTACGCCGTGCAGTGAATTCCCTTCGATTGGCAATACTTCAAAAGCTTAGGGCTGTTTTCGTTAGTAAAATATTCAATGAAATCGGATGCTTTATGGACGCACGATGGGTTGTGAGGATGTAACTAGATCATATCATCATGTCAGAGCTGCAGCTACGCCATCCTGCATTGAGAAACAAAAGAAATACTCACCTCGATCTGATTGACCGCTGGAACGACCGTGCAGGATGGATCATCCAGGAGTCTCTCTAGATGAGAAATCGAAAAGTTTGAAACACCGATAGTTTTGACCTTCCCCGTACCCAAAAGCTTCTGCATCTCTTTCCAAGTTTTGACAAAGTCCCAGTCAGGCAAATGTTTCGACCTATCTTGGGGGTCCGTAGAGCACGGAAAGTGTATCAGAAAAAGGTCAATATATTCAAGGCCAAGACTTTCAAGCGAAGACTCAAGCCCCTCCGGTACTCGATGATGCCAATGGTTGTCCAACTTGGTCGTAACCCAGATTTGATCTCTTGGCACACCCGAGGCGCAAATACCATCACCGACTTCCTTTTCATTCCCATAGTTCAGCGCCGTATCAATATGTCGATAGCCTTTCTGAAGAGCATGTTTTACCGCTTCACGTGTGGCATACTCCCCCGACTGCCAAGTCCCGAGCCCAATTGCAGGGATGGCTGCCCCGTTATTCAATTTGAATGTGTGTGTAGTAAATTTAGAATTCATAATGGTGTATTGATTATGTTGGAAGTTGTGGCTCAACAGCAGACCATTTAAATGCCGGCAACGCCATATTTCAGTTTGCCGAAAGCCGAGGATTGACACCCCAATGGCGGGTTTACCAGTTTGGAAATGCAGGGGGTGGATTACTTGCAGAAATCATCGGCAAAGTCATCATTCGATTACGAATAATGCCTATCAGCCATGCGAAAACCAACAGTCAAATGCCAGAAATCGTAGACGGTCGATACGAAGGTTGCTAGTCAGTGGAGCTGGGTTGGGGTAGTGGGGATGATCGGTCAAGTGAGATCGGTCAACTCAAAAGGTCCGTGATGTGAGGGGGTCACCAAAACAAGGGACCAATCAACTCTTCTTTGGCATGCTTGTAAACGATAAGCAAGACATATGTAACCTCGTGAAAATGCCGCCCACAGCGATGGTGCATTTGGAGTTCCCCTCGCCCCATATTTCTTTTCTTTGCCTAATCTTGAGCGACAAAAGATGGCGTGGTCGTGGCCAGAAATTAAGCAAAAGCTTCAGTGGTAAGTCATGACAGATGGCCTTTTGGATGCGAATTTCCAGGGGCATACTAGATATTCTGACACACTCTAGTCCCAAGGACGAAGATGCCCAGTATGAGAACACGACTTGGTGTAATCGTGACTTGATTCCAACTCCACCCGATCGCAGGACCTATGGAGTGTGGTCATACTTTGGTACGAATCTATCCTATCAAGCTCTTCTAAAATACCCACTCACTAATGGCTCTTTCTAGGATACTGGACAGTGTCGGGATCTTGCATCTCTGCATGGTCAACAGGAAGTACTCTTCTCGCCTTCGGATTGAGCCCGCAACAGGCAATCGCAGTAGTAGTAAGTGCCCTAATAACAAGTGGGAATGAATCGTCTTACGTTTTGAACTCAGGTCGTTGGGGGTATTCTGGCTGGTTTGCTGGCGGTCGCTTGTGGCTGGATGGGTGAAAATCACCATATCGGATTCACAGTTTCGAGTCGATTTTCATGGGGCATGAGAGGCTCATATTGTTCGTGATTATAAGCCCCATGCACCACAGTTTCAAGCTAATAACAACAACAGTTCCTGTCGTTTTGCGAGTGTTCGTATCCTGCATGTGGTTTGGCATGCAAGCCTTCTGGGGAGGCCAGGCTACTCGAGTGATGATTGGAGCTATTATACCCGGTAAGAATTTAATGATCCCTTTGTCATTTTTATTGAAAATTGACATCACAAGGGTTTGCCCATATGCCTAACTACTTTGCTTCGGGCTCCCATCTTCAAACCAAAGACTTCATCGGGCTTTTGATCTGGATGTGCGCATTTATCCCAGGACTGCTTATACGTCCGGAGAAGCTGCAAGTGCCATTTATAATTTGCTTCACATTTTTCTGCGGATCATGTTTTGGGCTGCTTATCTGGTGAGTTTGGTACTTGCAAGCATTCGATTGATATCAGGCTGATGTAAAAAGGGCCGTTTCTCAAGCACATGGACCAGGAATCATGTTTCAAAAACCTGGCTCAGCACCAAATGTTGGATGGGCATTCATGTTCGGTATTACAGCCATTCTTGGGTCCTGGGGTTCCGGTACCCTTGGCCAGTCAGATTGGACTCGATATGCTAAACGAAGATTTGCCCCAACTTTATCACAACTTATTGCCTCGCCGTTAACCATTGCAGCAACAGCTACCATCGGGATTATTGTGACTAGTGCATCTCGTGATATCATGGGTGGGGAGATCCAATGGAACCCAATATATCTGCTAGCAGATATTCAAGACTTTTACGGCTCTAGTCCTGGTGTTCGTGCGGCTGTGTTCTTTGCTAGTATTGGCATGGTGTTCTCCCAATTCTCGGTATGACCTTACATTCTTGGGGATAATGGATTGTTGTTGAATAAATCAAATTAGATTTCAGTGGTTCTGAACTCGGTATCCTGCGGCATGGATATGGCAGGTCTATGGCCCCGATACATCAATATCCGAAGGGGTGGATACATCATGGCTTGTGTCGGAATTGCAGTTCAGTAAGCCTTTACGTACACTAGCTTGACCTGAAGATTGGTACTAACTGCAATAGGCCGTGGCAACTCCTATCTACAGCTGAAAAGTTTCTCTCTGTCCTGAGTGGATTCGGTGTCTTCATGGCACCTGCAACGTAAGTACAAGAATGAATAATACCAGGCCAGATCTGACATCGATGAAAGAGGAATCATGCTTGCCGATTATCACATTGTGCGAAAGCATGAATTGAAAATAGGGGATCTTTACACCGGGGATAGCTCCTCCATTTATTGGTTTGCCGATGGGGTCAATTGGAGAGCCTTTGTGGCCTTTGTGGCTGGCATGTGGCCTTTGATCCGTAAGTAAATATAAATCCCGACAACAACTTGAAAGGTTATATTAATTAATATCGTTTAGCTGGATTGGTGGCTACGGTCAATTCTTATTCGGAGGATGAGTGGACCGGCTGGATACGCTTGTACAATCTGACCTTCCTCATCGGCCTGGCTATGAGCTTTATCGTGTTTTGGATGCTGTCTTGTGTTTTCCCTCCCCCTGGACTCGGTCAGGAGTCTTCCTTCTCCGGCGATGAGACACTGTATGGCGTTTCAAAGCTCGATGATACGAAGGAGCCTACGGTCCAAGGAGAGGAGAGAAACAGACAGCCTGTAGTTCTGTCTGAGATTTTCATATTATTTGTCCAAAGTTTTTGAATCCAAATTTAATTTATTCGAGTTCGAAAACCGGACTGTCTTTTGTCTACATAGCGCAAATATTTCCAAGTTCCATCGTTCCCAAGTGGACAAGTCTAATGAAAAATCAGGATTCTGACAATCCCAACAAGGCTGAGAGATAGCACCCGGAAGATTGCAAATTTCCAGATAGATAGATTCGAAAATATTGATGACTTCAAGCTTTTTTGTGACATACACTTGGCAATGATCCGGGTAATTTAATCGAATATCCTTTCAACAGGCTTGAACTGACCGCGAACTTGATTTTCTATATGCTATTCAAAATAGCAACTTTAATTACGATAGTAAATATCTCCAGCTTTTAATATAAAATTCATTTCCTCCGAGTTCAATTTATAATAATACTAGTCATCGTGTTTTCAAATTAAAGCTGTCGTATACTACTAGTAGTATTCAGTAGGTCGCATTCATCCGCATTGAGATATAATCCCCACTCGTAATCGACTCGTACTTCTTGGGTCGATCTGGCCCATAGCATCCTGGGACACAATCTATGACTCGGTCTCGATCGGGGCTGATGAAATATGGGATAGAATAGCGCGGAAGTGTAATACGGCCTGCTGATGCATCGGGTGAATCGACGAGCGGCGGAGCACGAACCCGATGTAGAGTGGACTTGAGCTCGTCATTACTCCAGCGCATCAGAAGATCTCCGATATTGACGACTGCGGTACCTGGGATATAAGGAGCCGGATTAAATTTTCCCTTTTCATGAATATCCTCGACTTCTAAGCCACCGACATGGTCTTGAAACAAGATAGTCATTGTTCCAAAATCAGAATGTGCAGCAATTCTCTCAGCCTTCCCGAGGCGCAGTAGATCCTCTTCCACAGCAGGATAATGCAGTAGTCTGCACTGGTTGGTTTTGTTCTGGTGGTAATCCAAGAAGAAGTTTTTCTCCAGGCCCATGCCAACGGCAATTGTCCTTAGCATCACTTCCTCCATGCCAGAACAGACCTCAAAAAATCTAGTGAAGAATGCGCGAAAACCTGGGAGAACTTCATCGGGGACCCAGATATTTGGCATGCGCTCGTCAGACTCGTTTCCCAGTTCGAAAGACTCTTTAACATCGGGTGTTTTTCGTTTTTTCGGCAATGCGGTCTTTGTCAAATTCCATTTGGACGACCTTCTCTCGACCAATTCCGGAATAACCCCGATGATACCAGCCTTCTGGGGGTGAGGTGCTTTGTTCTTGTCCGTTTGGGGAGCGCGAAAAACTTCTGGCTCTATCAGAAAGACGTGTCAGAATATCCATGAATCTCGTTCAATCTATACCATTGTAAACTTAAAGCTTTTGAGGTCCATACCCATTCAAAGGCTTCGTCTATAAGTTCTTGTGGGACACCATGGTTCTTAATGTAAGCGAACCCGACGTTCTTAAACGCCAAATATACTTCTTGGGCAGCTCGGGTAACTTCTTCAGGAGCCCCTGAACGGGCTCGCTCAAGATCAATTATCGGGATGCTTGAGGCATTGAAACTTGAAGATGGTGCTGTCATTTTCGACAAGTGGCAAGTATCTAGAGCTTACCTTCCAAGGTTGGGGGTGTATGATTCTGCCATCGAGGCGGCTTGAGCCGGGCGTTTTATGCAGTGTAGCCCTGGGGGTGAATGTTGACAGGTGCGGGGCCGGGCCAATGTCCGCATTCTTCATTGAGCCCTGTCGGCGAGATATGCGTTTCCTTGTGGATTGGCCGAGGCTGTCTCGCACACCTTCTTGAAATGGGTTGGCGTTATCGCGATCGGGGAACTGCGTCGCTTAACTCAAACCCCGCAATGCCGTAGCTCTTGAGGGGCTTTCACTGTAATCGAATGAATCCTACATGAGGGGTTGATTTGCTATATCATAAATTTACTCTTTGTGCAACGGTTTGCCTCTATTTTTTGCCGAAATCTTGTTAGCTCAAACAATGGCAAACTTTCATGACCCTGCATACCGCATCGGAGTTGATGTCGGAGGTAAGCCCAAGGAAAGGCACGATTTCGGTATAATGTGATGAGACTCACTCTTTCGACCACAGGAACGAATACCGATGCAGTACTTATCTCTCTCAATCCAGTCTCTATTGTGGCCTCTCATAAGGCACCCACGACACCGGATGTCACCACAGGGATCACCAACGCAGTGCAAGCAGTTATAGATACTTCCAATGTCTCGCGCTCATCTATTGGCTGCATTATTATTGGCACAACACATTTTGTCAATGCTGTCGTTCAACGCTCACCTTCATTGCGAAGCGTCGCAGTCGTCAGGCTTTGTGGAGGGCGCGAAGAAGGGTTTGGCCGTGGAATTCCTCCTTTCATCGATTTTCCTGCTGATCTCCGAGCTTGTATTGAAACGCCTCAGATCTACTTCTGCCATGGAGGATTCCAAATTTCTGGTAGTGAAATTAGCCCTCTGGATGTGAAGGAGCTGGAGCGCGTGTCAGAAGATTTGGTCAAGAACAACATCTCCAACATCGTTATTGCAGGCATGTATTCTCCAATAAATCATTTTCATGAGACAAAAGCCAAGGAAATTCTCCTACGTTCCATGTCCGATAACGGAAAATCGGGCTTCAAGCCTCGAATCACACTATCACATGAGGTGTCTGGGCTGGGATTTCTTGCCCGCGAAAATGCTGCAATTCTAAATGCCACGTTGCGACCACTGGCCGAGAAAACAATATATGGGTTCCGAAAAGGGATGGAAAACATTTTCAAAGGAAGCCCCTATACATTATATCTCACCCAGAATGATGGTAGTGTTCTCGGTGCTTCAGAGGCCATTGAGTTGCCCATTCGGACTTTTAATTCTGGGCCGACAAATTCCATCCGTGGCGGGGAGTTGTTATGGCGAGCCGCAGCCGAGGCAGATGGTGAAAAGTACGGCGAAAGAACCGAGCCCCTGGTGGTGATCGACATTGGAGGCACAACATCCGACAGTGGGCTGCTACTTCCTAATGGTTTGCCACGGATGAGCTCTATAATGAGTCTCGTCGGTGGAGTTCGTACCAACTTCGCCCTTCCCGCGGTTGAGAGCATCGGTCTAGGTGGCGGCTCTATTATTCGGACTATGGATGGTGGGGCTATCTCCGTCGGTCCGGATAGCGTTGCCCTCGAGCTTCTTGAGAAGTCCAGACTATTCGGCGGAGAATTCCTGACTTCTACTGACATTGTTGCTGCATCGGAGCTACATGCACCTACAGGTCACAATCCGTTTTCGGGGATGGGCTTCCCCGAGCGTCTTGGAGACGTGACACCCGAGGTGGTAATGCAGGCCCAAATTGAGATGAGGCAAAAAATAGAGGACCTCGTGGACAGAACCAAGATCCAGAAGGGCGAGGTCGATGTTCTCATTGTTGGCGGGGGAGCTCCAATAATTCGGACCGATGAACCACTTTCAGGCGTACGCATGGTGCGGACTGTCAAGGGTGGTGAAGTCGCTAATGCCGTTGGTGCTGCTGTATCGCGAGTTTCCGGAGTGATCGATACTGTTATCGATACATCTAACCGAACGGTCAAGGATGCACAGGAGGAGGTATCCGAACTTGCAACCAAAAGAGCGATCTCAAACGGCGCCAGACCTGATACTGTTCAAATTGCAGAGGTAACCATATTGCCGATCCAGTATGTAGAGGCAAAAGCACGAATTGTGGTCAGAGCGGTCGGAGAGCTAGACGTGATCTTACAGCAGGAGTCATCTGGGAAATCTATGGAGTTTCCTTCTCTCGAAAATGATGCATCAAGTCACCAACAGCATTGTGGTCAGGAATTTGCCTCGGACAGAGAAGTCGACATCCGGGCGTATAGGCCAGAAGTAAGAGATAGACAGTGGATCATTTCTCCTACCGATCTCTCATTCATCGCCCATGGGTGTAAGATTCTCGGATGCGGTGGTGGTGGAGACCCTTATCAAGAATATCTCAAAGCTAAGGCCATTGTTCGTCAATACCCCGGGAAAATGAGAGTTGTCGCACCTGAACACTTTCCAGACGAGTCTCTGATTGGATGGACCGGCTGCATGGGCAGCCCGGAGGTCAGCATGGAGCGACTTGAGAATAATGAGTGTCTTCAAGCCCACGAAGAGTTAATGCGCGTCATGAAAAGTCCGCCAGTTTCCGGCTTCTTGTCATTGGAAATAGGCGGTGGTAATGGCGTCGTCAACTTAAGCGTGGCCGCCCATTACGAGGTACCCTGCGTGGATGCCGATTTCATGGGGCGCGCATATCCAACCACATTTCAGATCACCCCGAATGTTTATGGGCCACCCAGTGGAGATGCTCTTATCCCGAATACGATTGCGAGCGGCGATGGATCTTTTATCACGATGACTAGGTCCCGAACAGACGTATTAGTCGACAAAGCCCTTCGAGCGGCGTGTGTGGAGATGGGGTGCAGAGCTGGGAGTGCCGGAGCACCCAAAACTGCCAAAGTTGTCCAGGAGCAGGCTGTGACGAATACCGTGTCGCTTGCCTGGTGGATTGGAAGAGCAGTAGCTCTCGAGAAAAACATTTCAGACAAAGCCCTTCGAATTATTGATGAAGTAGGAGGCCCAGACAGCGCAGCAATTATTGCGAGAGGTAAGGTTATTAGCGTTGAGCGAATACTGAAGACTGGGCACACGTATGGTGTCCTGGAAGTCGATGGTACAACTAGGGACGGAACCAAGGCGCTCATCAAGATTCCTTTCAAGAACGAAAATGCCTTCGTTGAAGCGATATCGGATGGACAATCCAAAATCCTGGCATCTGTGCCGGATCTGATTGCTGTAATAGATGCAGAGACTGGCGCGGGTCTTGGAACACCGGAGTACAAATATGGCCTCAAAGTGGTTATCATCGCCATAGCTGCTTCGCCAAGATGGACTGACAGTAAAAGAGGAATGGAATTGGGAGGGCCGGGTTCAATGGGATTCCAAGAAGTTCAATATTCTCCGATTGGCAAGTACAGCAAGCCTCGAAGTGTCATTGATGTTTTTGGTTGAGCAAAAGTAGTTACAACCATAGATCATATCGTGCAGCGTCGTCGTACACTTCAATTCAACTTTGACAAAAATTATAATTGTTCAAACTATTTGCAAAGAAAAGAACAGCCATCGCAGTTCTATGTTCAATGCGTTCCCATTTCAGTCCTCATTGTTCGCGCCGCCTGAGTAAAAAAGGAGTCAATTCGCAATGCCACAGGTCGGACTAAAGCAAGGGATGCATCGTCAACTGCCCATTCCCGAATCATTTGAAGAGACTCGTGAAAGCTTTCCAATAATTTAAAGGCCGAATGAACTTGACTAGGAGTCGATGCTAGTAAAAATAGGTATATCAAAAAGTTTCCGCAGAGTGTTAGCTGTGAACGGGCATCTAGCAGCAAGAATAATGTCAATTTCATAGCCCGGAAGAGGTGTAGAGGTTACATACGCCCACCCCAAAAAGCATGCAAGCATTGTCGCGTAATTCCATGCATGAATAGTGTAAATTCTTGAAATGAGCTGACAGCAAGCTCGAAATGGCGACGAAGAGATGAATTTTCATCAAGCTTCGCAGTCATTTTCGCAGGGCTCATAATAGCCCGATAAAGAAGGGCCTGAACTGTAAAGAATGCGAGATTTAAAGGCGCTGCAGAGAAAAGTCAACCAATTGTTAAAACCTGGATAAAATATGCAAATTCCATATTGGTACCATTATTCCTGAAGTTAAGCGATTCTTGGCTGTATGTCATTGTGGTGCATCTTGGCATCATTGAAACCCATTCATCAAGATCATTTTTAATTTCCAGTAACCCCTCCTCTCTCTGCAAAGGCTGTCGCATAGATGTTTCATGTGCGATATCGGAGCTGTTGAAAATAGTCAGTATCTTGTGTCTTCTGCGTATTGAGATATTGTATGATACTCACTAATACGAGTCAATTAAATTATGCAGAATCTTGTTTAGTTTAACTGATTGAATGAATCGAGCTGTGATAGAGATATCAATACTCTTGCTGGAGCCATCAACCAGATAACAAAGATCGTCTGGAAGATCTTCATCAAATTCAAGGCATTCTCTGTCAGGTTCAGCGGTTGTGAAGGATTCCCGATATATTAAAGGAGGGTTTCCATGACACACGGACGACCATATGTCAGCATTGTAAGTAGCCCACCATAATTTCCTACGTAGTTTCTTTTCCCACGACGCAATCTTCCAGTTTGTTGGGTCTCTATGAAGACCAATCATCTGAGCACACGCCACGGTGTGGGCAGATTGAATCCACGTGCGTGGTGTTTCAATCGTCGCGTTGTCCGCAGGTCTCTCATAAAGAAGTAAGAGACAAGCTTGGAGTTTCCAAAGATTTGGCGCATGGAATTCTCTCTGCAAGGATGAATGGGCTTCTTCAAATAGATCATGTAGATCAAACGGTAGCTTCTCTTGGCCAGGCTCGTTCTGCCAAAACATTGATCCAAGTCCATATATAGCACCACGAAGAGAGGCGGGAATTTTGAACTTTTCTGTGTGGTAGCACTCGAGGAATCTGGCTTTTGAAACGACGCAGTACACAGGATGGACATGTTGGAAGAACAATCGTACCAAGGTTGGTCCATATAACCCGACCATAGATTCGATGCCGTCCGATGCGCGCGCTTTGGCAATATCATCTGCAGGCTGGAATTCGTCATGGAGAATATTGAAGTGGACTGGAGGAATTCCCCTATGAGGATCTCCAGGGCCAAATTGGATTATGTCTGCACTCACTCCATCTTGCTCGTTCATTATGACCGATCGGAATGATGCTAATAGATCTGTATCTTGCTCAGCACATAGACCCATATTATGAGCTGTTCGGTTTTTGTTGTCTTCCAGAGTCAATATCGGAGAACCTTCGGAAGTCTGAGCAAATGATTCTAGTGATGCGCCTTCCTGCGGTGTCTCCTGCATCGTCCACTGTGCTTCTTCGGAATTTTCATGCCTGAGGGGGGATAGCATTCCTCGGCCAATGGCTGTTTCGTGAGTACGAGTATGGGATGGTGCATTCAGGAGCAATTTCGCAACTTCTGTACCGTATGCAGCTTCCGTTGTTTCCCCCGTGGATGTTCGACTTGATGCACCAACAGATCGTCCCGTCTCTTCCTCAAGCAGTTCAGGTGGACCCTCATCTTCTGCAGATCGACAGGAGAGCCCTCTGGAGCGGCAAAATCGGCCTGCGAGTTCGTTAAAACCGATGATGAAATTGCCACCGTTCTGGCACCTGATGGAATGAAAGTGAATGAGACCCTACATGGTGGCTCCAATTCAATCACGCAAGCTGTTTTCCTCCGGCGACATGTATCACATGGTCGATTCTTGCGACTTCTCCAGTTCCTTGCGCTACCGAATCTCGTTCTGATTTTGAACGTACGCTTGGGCTGCACACGACGATCCATCGTGGAGACACCCCGTAGCCCGAGTTGAAATTATCAGATGAGATGCGAGGAGATGGCAAGCGCGATTCGCGAGATAAGGGGAGGAAGGTTGGAGTGGTGGAGTGTGGTGGAGTCTCGCGCAGTCGCTTCACTCCGCCGGCGCTAAGACCTACTACTAGTACCCACTACTTGATTCCGGAAACCTTTGATTGAAGGTAAACAAGCTTTTATGTGCTATTTCTATTAAGTAATCGGTACAAGTAAAATTGAATCAATGAATGATTTTTTTTTTCCACCAAGAGAAATGGTCTATGTGATGTTGATTCGCATCCATCTGTTGAAAATGGGTATACAATGCAACGCCGCTCAAGCTTTCGAGGCCTCTTCATTCTTGGGAGTCTTTTTAAATCTCCAGAAACCACAGAGCAACAGAAGGAAAGGAATGGTACTTAGTAAAATGAACGCTACCAGCGTAAAAGACCATCCTCGGCCCATAGCTTTCAGCATGGGGTCGATGGCAGCCGAGGCACCGGCTGAGAAAAAGGAACGAACAAGGTTGTTGGCCGCAGTTGCAGCTGCAGGTTGCGACGTGTGCAGATCTACCAGTAATGTGGAGGTGCTAATAAACCCGCCTGTCTGTCCGACTCCAACGAAGAAAAGTAAAACTTCTGGAGCCGCCAAAGGCGCTGCGTATTGAAGAACCCAGCCAAACGCAAGTACGGTAACACTTCCCATAATGACAAGAGGTATGGTGATCATGCTGCGGGCTTTCTCGACCGGAATCGCATCTTCGGATTCCTTTTCCCCCGTGGTGGAATCATTGCCTAGTTTAGAGCCCATTCGTCGATAGTTCCAGTCCAGCATTCGCCCCGTAGTGACAGAGGCCACAATTGACCCAGTGCCCAAAGTGATGTAGCACAGGCCAATCTGAAGCATACTCAAATTATATTGGCTGCTGTAAATCTCTGTGATCGACGAGAGGACGGTCATGTTGCCGCCCATGATAATGCCAGTGACTATCAGAATAATAATCGAGTTTGGATGGCATACAACCGCAAGTGGTTTGAGTGGATTGGGGAAGCTGAGTTTGTGCTGGGGCTTCAGAGTCGATTCACCAGTTGAGGGTCGGTCAGAACCCTCCGTGCTGGCATGAGACAGAGTTTCAGCCGCTTTCCCGCGAGACAAAAGATACTGGACGAAGGGACGATTCCATGACTGCGCCGGAAGTGTGCCATCGCCAACAACATTGCGTGCTGTTTCGGGGAGAAATACAAGCAGTGGAATTAAATAGACCCCGGACACAATGGTCAGAAACCAGAAAATAGACCTCCAACCGAGATATTGAGCAAGAAGACCACCGATGATGGGGCCAATGGCTGGTCCCATAAAGTTTCCAGCCATCACAATGCCCATCATTGAGCCTCGTTCTTGCTTGGTGCTGACATCGGCCACAGTAGCAGCGGAGAGCGCTACACTGCTGCTGATTCCCGAGCTCTGCATACATCGCAGTACAAGTAACGCAGCATAGTTGTCTTGCACTGCGAGACCGATATTCGATGCGATATAGATGATGAAGCAAATGATATAGGCGGGTCGACGTCCAGTCTGGTCGGCAAAATTACCGATGAACATAGGAGCAATTCCTTGGAAGATCTGGAAATTTTATTGTGTCAGGTCACTTCTAGGTTTCATCAAAAAATGGTTGCCATTGATTTGGTTGAATTACCTACCATGTAACTTGTCACTGTCAAGTTGATCAATGACGTCGAAACATTCAGATCTTCAGCTAGTGTGTTCAGAGCCGGGAAGTAAATCTGTGCGGAAAGAGAAGAAAAGAAACCCGCTCCAGCAGCTGTAAATACAATGTATCTTTTCATGCCATTGCTGAAGGAGCTATATGGGGGAGGCGGCGCCTCAGCGAGTGTGGTTTCTGAGGAGTTCATGGTTGTTGAATTCGGTTGATCATGAATGATAAAACCATGGGAAAGGAATGAATGAATTCGAAGTCGAAACTTCAGGGCGATGGAGCCGAGGGAAAGGAGTGAAAGAATTTGATGTTCAAGAGTCTCTCAGCGAGGATTCCCTATCCCCTTTTTACTTTACGGCAACCCCTACATCACTCATGGGGCTATCGGAGAAAATAGAATTATGAACGAATATTCCCCAGCTTTCGCGCAGGTTGACGCGGCAGTTCCACCAACAAAAGTCGGAAAGCTTGTGAGGATGAGGTGATGGAGCCGGATTTGCCAAGAGTGATCGGCCATCTCAAAAATGAACACAGACACCGAAAATCATCAGTCAGCTGCATTTTCCAAGGGCAAATGAAAATGGAAATAAATTCACCTCCGGGCGGCAAGGTCGCTCCAGGCGTGTCGTTCGGGTTGGGGCTGTGTAGGAGGATTTCTGCAGCAAATCGGGTCGCCGGTGGACGATAAATGGCCACGCTACGGAGCCGGGATGCCACGGGAATCGGTGGTTTGATGTGGTTGAAACGTAGCTTTCCCCTGGCCGGTCTTCTTCAGGGTCCCCGAGAGTCGGGGCTCCGATAAACGGTGTTCGGATATTCAGGGTCTAACCAGTCTCGAATGTCTTAGTGCGCGTTGAGGTCCACCTAGCACCCACTGATCTACCCTGATCTCCCCGGGATCCATCATGGCTGGGCGAACCCTCTTCGTCACCAGGATCAAATGCTTTTATAATGCAGTGCGTCATAGCTCCCTTCGCCCTTCACATTTGCATATCTGATACATGTGCAATTACCACATGGAGGTGGCTAAAAGGAGGTAGAACTGCCGAATTCTCCCAACTCGTCCCTGATCCGTATCTTGACCTCTATTCTAAAAGCAAGGAGAAGATGGTAAAATACGCAGAAATCAAACTGCAGATGGAATAAAATTGTAGATTAAAACAGTAGAATAAAACAATAAGAGAGGGCCTGCACATCATCGATACCCAAAACGTGCTAGCATGATGATCAATTCCAACTTACTCAATCATATGCTCCGACTTCACTGCGTGCGGATCTACATACACATTGATCTCATCAGCAAGAAGCTCCACTATATACGGGTTGCCGCCACCAGGCTTCGAGAATCTGTTGAGCTGAGAAGTACAGGCTAGTGCATCCATGGATGATCATCCAGGCCCCATCATTATGCTCCGTACCTCATACAGGTACTGTACTCGTAGATTCCAGCCCACGCAAGCTTGTGATCACGCCATCCCAATTATAGATATTCATAATCTCTGTATAGACCGCCTAATGCGATCTCATCATATTCCAATGAAGTATGGAATTGCCAAGGGGATTTTCATAACGTAAAATAGGAATTTTCCGACTACTACTACGAGTAATAATGCGAAGATCAGGGTATATTCTGGGGCACGGGTCGAAGGAAAACAGGAGGTGAGCGAATAATGCCTTCGACTCCTGGACCCGGGGCCCGGGACCAGGATCTGTGCTTTTATGGTTCTATGAATTTCATCCGAGTCTACCTTTCACCCTGAGAAACAACATATAAAGGGCAACATCTCCTTCGGTAGATAGTAGCTGTCAGTCAATTCACCAAGAACATTCTTTATATCCTAGCTCCCTTCTTTATATTATACTCAGACAACGAAAATATTCCATAAACCCCAAAAGACACAATGGCTTCCGCAAACTTTGACTCAGTATCGTCTGTCACTATCATCGGCGCTGGACCCTGTGGGTGTGCCTTTGCTGCTGACCTGGCTAGCCGTGGAAAGTCTGTCATGCTCTATGGCCACCCAGACCACCGTGGTGCCATTCCTATGATTGAAGAAAACAGAGGCTGGCTCGAGGCTGACGGAGCCTTTGAGGGCAAGTACCAAATTCAGACAACCAGTGACCTCTACCTCGCTATCCGCCACTCTTCTTTCATTGTCACCACTGTTCCCTCTTATGGTCAAGACACTATCCTGCGCACCCTGAGCCAGTTTGACCTCCGCAACCACACCCTGATCATCAACGTCGGCAACTTCTTCTACCTCGCCGCACGTCAAAAGGTCAATGCCCACGCCATCCTCGAGACAGACATTTCCCCCTACGCGGTCCGTATCACTGGAGGGAAGGTGTTCATCAAGGGCGTCAAGAAGAGTCTGGCCATTTGGGCCGAACCCCCTACCACTCAAGTGGACCGTCTTGATGCCGGCGCCGAGGCCAATCTACGCCGACAAGTCGAAGGAATTTTCTCGCAGAACCTGGTGTGGTGCAAGAACCTGCTCGAAGTTGGTCTGAACAATGTCAACCCAGTCGTTCACTGCCCGGCTGCTCTTATGAACGCTGGCTGGATCGAGGCCACCAAGGGTGACTTCTTTTTCTACGCCCAAGGCATGTCTCCTGCTGTCTCTCGGGTGACCGAGAAGGTTGACCAGGAGCGTCTGGCCATTGGTCGTGCCTATGGTCTCGAGATCATCCCTATTACTACCTACATGAACCAAAACTACAGCCATGACCGAGAATTCGCCGACTACCATGATTTCGCTGCCGGTTCAGTCATCCACAACAAGACCAAGAGTGCCCCCACTAGCATGAAGCACCGTTACCTATTGGAGGATATCCTTTACGGAATGGTGCCTTGGTACGAGCTCGGTCTGAAGGCTGGTTTGCCTTCTCCTACTATCCGCTCTCTTATTGAAATGGCTTCTGTCGTCAGTGGCTTCGACTACTTTGAGCACGGACGAAGCCTTAAGTCAGCAGGTCTTAGCGACGCTTCCTCTGAACAGATTCTCATGGCGCTCGGTGGACCTACGGATAAGTCCTCTACTGTTCGTGCCCTGCCAGACTCCCCCGTCAACAACACTCTGGACTTGCACGTTCCCTTCCAAACACCGCAGGCCGTGGCCTAAAAGCTCGAACCGGTCCACTTGGTTTGAAAACAAAAATATTTCTTTTAGCATTTTTGACTACAACCTTTATACCTGTGCTTGCATCTCGATTTTCTTTGTATCTGATTAATATTGTTGCTGGATCATCAGGTCATCCTAGATTCTAAATTTCTTTACGGAGTCATTGATGGTCTACAAAATATAAGACATTCTCACATTTACAATCATACACTTTTGATTCTCCACAGTTTCAAAAGATGTCTTTGTTCAAAAATATGTACCAATCTTAGCTGGCTCCAGGCCTGTTAATTTATACAAATTGTAGAAGAATAGCGACCTCTCCCTAACTGACTTTGGATACTTTTGAATAAATCCCCTCCAGTCCACTACTGGCGACAAAATCTAAGTACAGCTGGAGCTGCCAGCAATGAAAGTACCGTCCGAGTTCTCGCAGCCACACTCTCCAGTGTTGGGGTCCTTGATGCAAGTGGTACCGTATCCGGAGCTCTCTCCGTCATCGCTCCAGTAGAAGATCCAGTAGTCGGAATCGGTCTCCAGCTCACTGCTGCTGGGGGCTTCACAGGTGTAAGCGGTGCATGTACCGTAGGGAGCACCGTTGTTGGCGTCGTATTGGTGGTCAGTCTGGAAGACGGCGAAGGTCTGGGTGGTCGAAGTGCGAGTGTTGTGAGAGCACTCGGCAGCCTGGATGGCGTTGGAAGTGGCAGCAGCTAATAAATTGGCCAGTGTGAGTTCAAGTTGATAAAAGATATTTCAAAGATATATTTTTTGTGCTGAACGATGGCGAGATTGATCGCTGAACCTTGGAAGATAGTACTAGTACTACTTACCACTGCAGTTAAGGTTGTTGGGCTTCTTGCCCTTGGTGTTCGATGAAGCCGGGTCCAGGGTGGCTGTGACGATGGCTGGGGCAGCCAGAAGGGCGAGGAGGCTAGTGAAGTGCATATTGAAGTTTTTGATTCCAAGGTTTGAATTGAGTTTCTTGCTAGTGAATCCGTCAGGTGGAATCCGATCTAGTTGATATTTATATGCGTATCGCTCCTAGGGCTGTCAGGCCTTCGGCCGTTTCTCCGAGACATACGATCAAGGATCGGTTTAGCTACGTCTATCTGACACAAGTTTATTTCCCCAGAGAGCTACCGCCGAAGGCCTAGAGCGATGGAATAAAACAAACAGAAGGAGTTAAATGATTGTCGTTGTCAGGGGGTCCCCACATTGGGCTGTTGGGAGCAGAAGCCCCATGAAGCCCCATCAAAATACGTTTCAGGTTTGGCTTCCAAGCCATTAAGGATCAATCTGGCCTGTTTGCGGCCCGATTTGTCAAAGAAGCTTCTTGAGTTGAAAGTAGCAGTACTCTAGTCAAGCATGCTACTACTAGTGTCCGGAGCTTGAGGAGGAAACGGAGTCATCAAAAAAGCACAGCCTACTCCGTAGTGGACGATCCACTTCCATATTTGAGTTTGGGTTACCCACTCATTCAGGATGATCATCTGATAATTGGGATTTGAATGAATCCCCTGATGGATGTGGTACTCGTCAGCTGAGTTTCATGCAAACTGATCTGTTTGAGAATGTCTGTTCCAGATCCCGAATCCATCAGCCACGACCTACCTAGGTACTAAAGATAAATCAAGACCACCGCGTTTTGGAATTTCAGATGCCCCGGGCAGGGAAATTTCCAGGCCTCGATTCAAAATGGATTCATAAATACACTCATAAATATTATGGAATCATGTACTCCGTATATAAAGATGTTTGCTAAGATACACTAGTATTTCATTACGAGCAGCTGCTCCCCGGCTGCTTCTTCTTCATCCGAGGGCGCACTCGCCCATTCACCAGATCTTCTTGGCAACCATCTCATACCGCTGCACATGGTCGATCTTCAAATCCTTATCCTTGTTCTTATCCCGATCCTCCTTCTCCTTGACCCGTCTAAGTCCCTCCGAGTCATCCGCATATATCCAACGACGCTTCTCATCTCCGACCTCCACCATCCCCCAACCACCCGCACGACGGCTTCCCTCAACGTTGAATTCATCCTTTCGCTGTGCAGGCGTTTCAGCTACAGGCTGTGGTTGTGACGATGCATGAGAGGACTTGCGAAGCTCCGTTTCACCGGCTTTCATCTTCTTGTATCGAGAGCGAGCGAAGGCGAGAAGGAGCATTCCCAGGAGGAGTTTGAGTATGAGCAGGATGATGAATCCGGTCAATATTAGAATGGCGGTGAATATTTGGACGGATTGTGCTGGAGATGGGATGGCGTTTGCGAGAAGGGTACGGAAGAGAGCGTTGACGTGGGCGACGGACACGGGGATGAAAGTTTGGAATGTGAGAGGGGTTGTCGATGGGATAGGGGAGGGCGCGTAGTGGTTATGGATAGATGACAGAGATGTCGACTCCATAGCTGTTGAGGAGGGGTGTTGCGGCATTAAAGACGCCAGGAACATTTGGTATGTCTGCACTGACACACGGACAAAGAGACACGAGAGTGGGATGACGGGCAAACCCAGACGACGGGTCAGGTTCTGGTCACCAAAGGCATTCGTGTAGTAGTCCTTGGCCAGGACGTCTAGGTACCGACGGTACAGAGCAGGGCGGTAGTTGTTGAACTTGCTGATGTAGGCATGTTTCAGCCAATCCACGAACATTTCAGATCCCAGCACCACCAAAAAAGGCCCAAGAACCTGTGCCAATGTGGGAAGAAATGAGTTGACACTGCTGACGGAAGACAGGATGGAAGAGGGAAAGAATGTGAATGACTGAGGGAGGATCGAGGATGCGGTTCGTGGAGGCGTGGACAGCGGCGTGCTGTTCGTACTCGTAGACGGGGCAGAGAAAGAGAAGCTCGGGCCCAAGCTCAAGTCCCCAATAAAGCTGAAGGCGCCCGTCTCAACAATATTGCGGGACGCAATTATGGTGAGCATCAACCAGAGTTGAAATCGTTCGACAACATCAGCGCAGGTGAGCTGAAAGAGGTTCTCCTTCTCGAATTTGCGAAAAACAGTTGACTTGATCTCCACGAACTGGTTAGACAGCAGAAGCGTGATGAGGGCATTCGAGTAGGAGTTCACAGCAACATTCAAAGTCATGACTTGGTAGAACAAGGAGGTCGAATGAGCTACTGTGTAGCCCAGAGCGAGCAAGAAAAGCCAAAATGGACGGAAAATTTTACTCCGACCATCTGGACGACGCTCGAGGGCTTCGCGTGAAAAGAGACACTCTAGAACATCCTGACCAAGAGCGGCTAGGAGTCTGTCGCTGACTTCGAGCACATTGTAAATTACATAAAGCTTGATGGCAGCTTGCCCACGAATCCAATGGTACATTCGACTGGCATCGAAGTACATTAAAGCGCAACAGGTAGCTATCATGAGCAAGCCTGTAAGAATATCTGCCTTGTCGTCGGGAAGCAGGGGCGATGGAATTGACTTTTGTCTTCGATGATGCCGCCGAGACTCAGAGCCACGATGGCGTCGCTTTGCCTGGTCGTGTCTACATCGGTGTTCCCGATCCAATGCAGAAAGATCTTGCGCAGAAGACCCATTGGGTAATCGAGGCGTCGCGTCAGGCTCGCTTCCGCGTCTTTCTCCGTGGTCATCTCCAGAAGACAAGTTTCTCCTCCGCCAAACTCGCCCGACGCCGTTGACAACGAATCTCCAAATAAAGCGGGCCTCCCCCTGCATATTCATCACCCATGACTCGCATAGCATATACAATGCCTTCACAAAACGGAGTGGGAGAATCGTGAATGAATAAAGCCAAGCATCGAGACAAGCCAGTGATCCGAAACAGAGGACCTGCTCAAGCGCGGGTGGGAGAATTAAAAAGTTCAATAATCTTTCGATTTTGGCGCTGGACGACTCATAAGGGAAATCGCTGTTCGAAGCACGATGAATGTACAGTGGTGAAGGACGACCAGATGCAAGCTCAAGTTGAAGATATGTGGGTATCGAAACGGGAGGGAGAGGGATAGATGGCGGCATGGGAGATGTCAGAGGCGACTCGATAATCTGGGGCGATGCCGCAAGGTGGGTTTTCAAATCACGGTCTGCAGCAGGTCGGTCGTGCCTCGAGCGCGTCGCCCAGGTCTGGGACAGACGTTCATTACTAGGTGCTGCAAAGTTCGGGCGCCGCGAAAGACCAGGTGTCGAGAACGTGCGCGCTGCATGGGGTCGGTTACGAACTGGTCCGCTGGCGCCATTTCGCGGAGCGACCGGGCTAGTAGGCAACGGCGACTCGTCCAGAGTGAACTCCTTTGGCGGGCGGATCTTTAGGGATGTGGACACATCTGCCTTGGAAGAGGTGGTCTCGCCGAGGGATTGCAACAGGGAGTCCCGCACGGTGTTTCTGACGTCTGATCGATCCAGCGAAGCATTCGAGGGGACATTCTCGGACACAGTCCGTCTTCCCGTTGTTGCGTCTGGTTCGATAGCCCGGTAGGGTATTGACTGAGGGGAAGATGTAAGTTCTTGGATCTTCTCCGGGAGAGCTTCAAGACCTTTTCCTTCTCGTCCGTAGGGCGCAGAGTCGAATCTTCAACAAGCTCTGCTAAAGCCACCTTTGCGTTTTGTCCGTCCAGAAGATTCACGAGAGAAGTACGTCCACGCTTATTGTAGTCACCAGGTTGGCTTTCAACCAATATCCCGAGGCCCTCCTCCGGCGATTCCACTAAATGCCCACTGGTCTGATTTCCACTTTGAGTCAGGGACGTCTCCGGAGGCGCTTCATCGAGGAATGCATTCTCACTAGCATCCGTTTCCGAGGGTGTCAACATCCCATCTCCATTCTGTCCTTCAGAAAGTGGCGAGTGGTCTTCGGCGAGCTTCACCGTCCCATTCCCGTTTGTTTTGGAGACAGTGTCCTCAGCCATAGGGCTCATCGTGGCCGCTTTTAGGGTAGAATGTAGATCGTGTGCGTGTACGATGCGTTTCTCTTCGGATGAGAATCACAGGTGTCGACGAATCAACGTGAGTACGTGACCGTTATTCGCATTATCCGTAATCGGCCCCAGGTCCGACAAGAGAATCAGGCAATCGGTTCGTGGCGGTGGAGTCGGGAGAAGGCGTAGATACGCGACCGTAGGAGATGGGAGGGGAATCAAGCTATGTAGAAAAAGGAGAGGAAATAGTTATTCAGCCAAGTCGCATGTTGCTGTGTCTAATCTGCAAAGATCGAGGTGCAGCAGTCATGCAAGCTGAGCTTCCCATGAGTGACCGGGGAAAGATAACGGGCGGCGTTAGGGGATTAGCCGGGTGGAGCCAGTCACATGATCTACATCTACAGTGGCAGTACGTAGTACTAATACTAGTATTAATAGTAGTATTCAGAGTACGTGGTTACATATTGCAGTACCATGTAGACTTGAATTGAAGTTGGTCTATGCTAAGAGATCTGTGGAACGAGTGATCGAGAAGATTCAATAACGAAGGGGGTATGGTTATGGGTATGGATGGGTATGTGGTATATACAATCCAAGAGACTCGCTCGCTGGTCGTGGAGGGTATCAACGATCGGGTCATCAGGTACAGAAAGATCCAGCTACTCTGCATTTTATCGTGTCATAATTCACGGAAATCTTCCAGAGGTATCCGATCAAAATTGATTGGTGTTGGCGCGATTGAAGCCGTACCCAGCCGGTGGACCATCACGGTTCATTGATGTGGATCCCGTGTTTGCACGGGTAAAGGGTCGATGGCCCGGTGGTACAGAAGGCATTTGCCTTTGAGTTTGCGGCTGTGGTGTAGACGCGGACCCTGCAGGGTTGAATGCCGTGTAACTTCCGCTTTGGGCAGAGTCCATGGGAGTATACGCTCTTGGTGGAGGTTGAACACCCTGCTCGCTCCTCTGAGGAGCAGGGGTGCCATGATAAGTGGCTGGTGTCATAGATCGTGACCCAGCGCCAGTACTTGCCGGTGTATATGATCTAGCCTGGTACGGATCCTGCCCACCTGTCTGGTAGCGCGGCGCCGAAACTGCACTTGCTGGAGTGTAAGACCTCGCTTGGTATGGATCTTGGGTGCCACCCTGCGGGTTCGCGCCAGTGCTGGCTGGGGTGTAAGACCTGGCCTGGTACGGATTTTGACTATCACCCTGGGAGCGGGGGCCTGCACCAGCGCTGGCGGGTGTGTATGACCGAGCCTGGTATGGATCCTGCGCGCTTGCTGGAGTATAGGACCTGGATTGGTATGGATTTTGAACATCGGCCCGTGGGGCAGGGGTTGCGCCAGTGCTAGCTGGTGTATAAGACCGAGCCTGGTAAGGATCATGAGGGACATATCCCTGGGAGCGAGGAGCGGCCATCTGGCTATAGGGGGTCGTTGACCGTCCATAATAATCATAATCCCCGGTTTCGCCATACATGTCGTCAGAGCCCCCATAATAGTCGTCATGAGGGGTGTTATGAGAACCGTTGAAGTACTCAGACGGTGCGGGTGTTGTGGATGGGCCATACGGGTCTCTGGCTGGAGAAAATGGATTGAACGGCTCAGCCCCTGGGCCAGTACGAGGTCCAGGCGTCGAGCGCGACGGAACCGAGCCTGTCCTTGTCGGGGTGACGCCGACGGGTAATGGTGGAACAGGGGGCAATGGAGAGTTTTGACGATCCAGAGGACTATAACCCATTGAAGTCGCGTTGTTGGTCAAGGAAGCTGATTCCGAAATGCCTGAAGATTGTGTAGTCGAACGAGTCAATGATGGCTTCATATCGATTTGGACATTCGGCAAGGTCGGGTTCTTCTCGGTAGCTGTAGAATTACTCCGAGTATACGGAGGCAGAGTTGCCATTGTGGTTTCTGTAGTACTGCGCGACAATGTTGTCACAATTGGTCCTTTGTCCATGTCTGGCAGTGTGGGCTTCGAATCTGAGCTCGCCAGACTGGGCTGTGTTGCCGTGCGACTCTGGAGTTGGAATCCTTTGGCAAGAGCCTTGTCAACCTTGTGCCGAACAATACGCTTGAGTCGTGTGCTAATCTTGCGACGGCAGTAGGCCCTAAGGGTGCCATCTTTCTGTGAAATGTGGTGGAAAAGGAAGACCAAATAAAGGATCATGGCTGACAACAACTTCAACACCGACAAGACCCAGATAACCAGGGTGAAGAGCATACCAAACAAGACAACTGCTTGGAGGTTGTTCTCTTCGGCAAGAATCTTGATATTATTGAAGAATTGGAGGACTGGCGAGGTATCGTCATTCTTAGTGGTATTTTCACCACCGGGCACTAGGTCGGCTTTCATGACGGAGTACAACGTGATGGCGTTGATGACTTGTCGAGGTCCATCTGCAAAGATGGTGTTCATCCAGAACTGAAAAGAGAAATAGGTATATAGAGCGACATACTCAGCACCCTTCTTACTCTTGGTCAATTCAGCGAAGACAAGGAAGCGTTTCCAACCCTGGCCTTTGGAACCAAACACGCGGACACTCTGTATTCGGACCGCGAGAGGATCCAGATAACTTTTGGGGATACTGCCAGAACGAATGGCGCGAATGGCGAGAATCCATCGATAGGCAAGAAGCGCGAATGAAACGATAATACACACTGCGAAAATCCAGCGTGAAATTCGGAACGGAATTGCTGGTTCGACTCGGCCAGACCAGCGGGAGAAGGCCAATAAATTGACCGCGGTAAATGTATCAACACCATAGACGGCAAGTGAAATGATGAGGAATAACCAGAGAAAGAAGTATGAGAAAGGGGTCCAGCATGATTCGGACTTGAAATCGTTCAGGTTCTAGAGCGTATCCAAGTAAGCAATAGGCCTGTTCGCACTCTTCTGAACCACTCACCACGTAGTCCCATTTCTCCTCCAGCGCTACATTTCCTTTCTCGCGATCTCCGCCACATCCCATTGCGAAAGAAGAGGGCCTGGACCTGCCAGGTAGGGGGTATCAAGGGTGCTTTCTCAGCGGGTGTCGCGCGCGTAAGGTGTTAAGTGTAAGGGAGGACAAGTGAACTTCCTCGGGCCAGCCGATAGAAGTCACAATTGGGAAGGTGATTCAAGAGTCGAGTTGGAAGAACGGGCAGAGACAAAGGCCAAGACGAAAGAGCGACAGATGTGATTGTTTAATCGCGTGCACAGCACATAACTGGGGGTGGTGACGAGAGGCTGGCAAGAGAGGGATAAACAGAGCCTGGCGGTTGGGTTGACAGTAGCCGATCTATGTTTCAAAAAGGCATGCGTGGACAGCGGCTGCGTGGAGAGATGCAGGTATGTATCGACAATGCTGATCGATCGAGCGCCAAGCGTTGTGAGAGGTGATCGCTTTATTGTCTGAGCGCCGTGGAAAGGGGGTGGATTCAGTGGATCTTGCGAAAAGAATGCGCAATGCGTGATTGGGGCTGGTAATAATAGAGTGGAATGAATGGACTAGGGGAAGAATGAGTGTAGAGTGTCTGAAAGAGTGTGTAGCAGAGTGTCTAAAAGAGAGTGATTGCAAGAGTGAATGGATGAATGAGTGAAAGGGGGGGGGGGGAAGTCAAAGATGAAACGGAGAAGGCAGTTCCTACGGAGTAAAAGGTTCAAGTTCCATTGGAAAGGGTTCCCCTTCGCCCCCGCCCAACAAACAAACTGGGGGCCCTGCCAAGCGCAGGGCTGAGGAACTTCCCCCTTGTCAACACCACATTTGGCTTTCAATTCTTATGGCTGATTGGTTTTCACAAAACCTATTCTTGTCTTTTGAAACAACCTGCAAGATTTCCCCCCTGGCGGTTACTGTTACTGCATGTCGTGGTTGCGGGCGCGTCGAGGAGTTAACTGCAGGACAGCAGTCCAGCATTGAACTTGAACGAACACCGACCCACTGCTACCCACTGCACGGCCTGAAACAAATAAAATATGGGGCAAAGCTCGGTCGCACTTGATCGTGCAGCCAGTCCCTGCTCTCGGTCTTGTAGCCGAGTCTTCTAGTGCTAAGCGCCGGTTCTTTGACTAGCCAAATGCGCCGCTGCTAGTCTTGAACTGTACCATATATGCTCACATCGCGTATCATTTGGGTCGTTTCAGAGAGCTGAATAGGATCACAGCTGGAGCTGACTCCAGGGCTGTTTCGACAGACAGCTGTAACTGCCCAGAACCGATGATGAAACATGACCTGGTAGATCGACATGACGATCTTATTTTCATCCCTTTGTCTGGAGTGCTACTCGTACCTAGACATGCTGGAATGTGATTGCTTTGGGCCTCTGGCCTTCTTGATGCCGAAGTTCCGAGTCTCTCTCAAGCTCTCTCAGGCTCTCTTAGGCTCTCTCAGGCTCTCTCGGGTGTGCAGATCAACATGGGTGGGGTGTGTCCACACTGGCAGATGAGAAAGTACTCATACTAGTAGGTTGACTTGGAGAGGATCACCAGATTGGAAACCAGAGTTCGTCGTCAGTGCAAAGGTCCGATTGGAGTCATGTATACTGGTAGCGAGGTCAGTCATCATATGGGATGAGGGTAGAAGAGGTGGAAGTGGAAGTGGAAGGTCAAGAGTGGGGGTCAAGCAGGAGCAGAATGATCCTGATGGATCATAAAAGTACTGCAGTACAGTATAGCACATACGGTAATTCCAGATGCAACTTCAAATTAAACACTGAAAGTACTGGAGTATAGTTACCTCAACTATACATACTACTACTACTACTACTACCTACTACTACTACTGACTAGTACTAGTACTAGTAGACCTCGGATGTATCCATGGATCCCTCCACTTCAACTTCTTTATTCTGACCCCCATCCTCACCACTTCTCCAATGCATAACCTCGGATGATTCTGCCCTTCAATTCATCCATATAACCGACGGATTGACGCAATGGGCCCATTCAAGACTCGGAATTGTCGGTGCCGGATGCAAGTGATGACGTCGACCTGATTGCATTTATAAGCTGGTGGAGCTCGAGAGATAAAGGTGAATGTAAAGGGAGTAGCTGCCTCACTACTATTACTGCCAGTGCTACTACTGCTTACACTCAACAATCTATTTCTTGCTCTTCTTTCCCTCTCTCCTTCCTTTCCTTGCCTACCTACTGAGCTTCTCCCACCATGTCCCGAACCAATTACCCGGATATCGCCAACAAGCCCGCCCAGGGCATCTCCTACTTTACTCCAGCTCAGATCCCTCCCGCCGGTTCCGCGGCGATCCCCCAGTCCGATGGAGGACAACCTCCAAAGCTCTTCACGCCCTTCACTGTGCGGGGCGTGACATTCCACAATCGCATTGGGGTAAGCTATGGGACTCCACTCTTTGAATCTACATTACGATCATCCCGCTGATATGGATCTACTACTATCTAGCTCTCCCCGCTCTGTCAATACAGCGCCGATGATGGACATATGACTGACTGGCATATGGCACATCTGGGTGGAATCGCTCAGCGCGGCCCCGGCTTCCTGATGGTTGAGGCCACAGCCGTACAGGCCAATGGTCGCATTACCCCTCAAGATCACGGCCTTTGGAAGGACTCACAGATCGAACCCCTCCGTCGCGTCGTGGAGTTCGTACACAGTCAGAACCAAGTGATTGGCGTGCAGATGGGACACGCCGGCCGCAAAGCGAGCACCGTAGCACCTTGGCTCAGCATGGCAGACACGGCCACTGAGGCCGTGGGTGGATGGCCCGAGAACGTGAAGGGTCCCAGCGACATTCCTTTCCACGACAAATTCCCTACCCCCAAAGCTCTGACAACGGCGGAGATCGAGCAGTTCAAGAATGACTGGGTTTCAGCCGTGAAGCGGGCCGTCACGGCCGGCGTGGACTTCGTGGAAATCCACAATGCGCATGGATACCTGCTGATGAGTTTCTTATCTCCGGCGACGAACAAACGCACCGATCAATACGGTGGCAGCTTCGAGAACCGCACCCGGCTTACGATGGAGATTGCGAAATTGACCCGTGAGAATGTGCCTGCCGGTATGCCCGTCTTCCTGCGAGTTTCCGCGACCGATTGGCTGGAGGAGGATATGCCCAACGAGCCCAGCTGGCGGGTTGAGGATACCGTGCGTCTCGCCAAGGCGCTGGCAGATAGTGGCACCATCGATGTGCTGGACATCAGCAGTGGAGGGAATCACCGCGCACAGCATATTCATGCCAAGCCTGCATTCCAGGCCCCATTTGCTATCGAGGTGAAGAAGGCCGTTGGGGATAAGATCAAGGTGGGCTCGGTCGGCATGATTGATTCGGCTCAACTAGCCAACTGCCTGCTTGAGAACAATGGGCTGGACTTTGTTTTGGTCGGTCGCGGATTCCAGAAGAACCCCGGACTGGTGTGGACCTGGGCCGAGGATTTGGATGTTGAGATCGCCATGGCAAATCAGATTCGCTGGGGCTTCTCGAGTCGTGGTGGGGGAGTCTACTTGAAGAAGCCACAGGGGAAGATGTAGAACTGACAAGATGATGAGATGATGAATGACATGCTTTGGCCAATTTTAATTAGTGCCCTCATACTATCTGATCATCACGATTATCATCATGCCACGTACAGTGTAGACGGATGAACAATTCCCCCGTAACTAGTAAGTTCTAACAAGTCTTGATCAATGCATAAATGTGTCTTTTCCAAAGATCCGAAATGCTTGAAATGTGATTCGTCCATGATTCGTTCCCCTTTGTCTAACCCCACCTCTTTTCCCTCCAAAACGAGTATCGATTGCGAGGTTCCATCGAATTTAAACACTTTGAGAGGGTCAGAGAGGGTCAGAGAGGGTCAGAGAGCCCGGGATTGGCCCCAGTCCGTGTCCGCTCTCGCTTTCACTCCCACTCTCACACTCTTGACTGCCGCTCTCGCGTTCGCGTTCGTCATCGGGTTTGCTGCAGTCGATCCGCTAGGCGCCCCCCCATAAACACGCGCCTCGGCTCGCTTATATCAGGCCGTCGTGATTATCCCTCTGTGATTTCTACTCATATCATCCGAAGTTTTCAAATTCATCCTTTTGTCGTCAGTGTTATTCTGTACTGCCGAGGACGTATTTGAGACGTGATTTGGTCAGTTCATCACGCCTCCAGGGCTTGGAATACGGAAACAAATAAACATCGCCAAACGGTCCAGCTGGGAATACTGGAGATCCCCGCCTTTCCCTGTTCATAAATTCGCATTGTATGCACGCTGGCGCTGGCGCTTCCAGTATCCCGTTGCTATTACCTGCCCCGCCGTCACTCTCAATTTTAACGTCCACGCCTACACCCAACGGGACAGGCCGCCACCATGGGCTTCATCCAAGACAACTTTCGCCTGGTTTACATCGGCGTGGCTGCCGCCATTTACTTGAGACCGGGATATGTCATCTTCAACTCAAAAATTCTAACGATCATTGTTTATTTTACGATTCTCACGCTTTCAAAACTCATCTATCAATTGACCCTATACCCTGCATTTTTCACCCCCATCAAACACATCCAAACACCTGGAGTGAGTCTCTTTCTCAAGCTTGCAGTCTGAAAGATCTCAAAGCTAATGGATTTAAGACCCGAAATTGGCTTCGGGGCAATACCAAATCAGTCTTCCTCGAGACACCACACGAGCTGCTGAAGCAATGGGTCAAAGAACTGCCTAATCAGGGCTTGATTCGATATTACATTGTCATGAACATGGAAAGAGTCATCTTGACTAGCCCCAAAGCTTTGAGCGAGTTGTTAGTCACCAAGAACTATGATTTCGAGAAGCCTAAGACCGTGCGACAGAGCTTGCGCCGTGTAGTTGGAGACGGCGTCCTGCTGACCGAGGGAGATGAACATAAATTGCAACGCAAGAACCTAATGCCGGCCTTTGCCTACCGCCATATCAAGAATCTATACCCAGTCTTCTGGGCCAAGAGTAGGGAAATGGTCGAACTGATTCAACAAGATCTGGAAAACAGAGAGTCCCCCGACGACAACATTATTCAAGTCCGAACTTGGGCAAGCAGAGCCACTCTCGACATCATCGGTGTAGCTGGCATGGACCATGACTTCGATTCTCTACGTGATCCTTTCAACAAGCTGAACAAATCATACCAGAGAATCTTCTCGACCCCATCAATCGCAACCAAAATTCTATTCATTGTCGCAATCCTGATGGGCACTTTAACATTCATTCAAAAATTGCCCACTCAGCGCAACAAAGACATCGAAGAAGGTGGTGCGGTGATTCGCAATGTCGCTCGACAGATGATCCAACAGAAGAAAGAAAAGATGAAAGATCCAAAATCCGAGACCGGTGTCGATATCATCTCTGTTGCAATGGCCAATGGCACCTTTGACGATGAAAACCTAGTCGATCAACTGATGACCTTCCTCGGCGCAGGCCACGAAACAACCGCCACTGCCTTGCAGTGGGCTGTGTACGCGCTGTGCAAGAATCCAGACGTGCAGACCCGTTTACGTGAGGAGATCCGCGCCAATCTCCCCCCTCTCTCCTCCTCCGACGCAAAGTCTCTGGACGCCGCCCAGATTGATAACCTGCCTTACCTGAATGCAGTCTCCAACGAGGTTCTCCGTTTCCACCCCTCGGTTCCAAACACCGTCCGTGTAGCCGCGAAGGACACTACGCTTTTGGGTCAACCAATCCCCAAGGGCACTTTCTTTCTTATTTCTCCCGAGGTGATAAACCACATGGAGGAATTTTGGGGCCCGGATGCCGACAAGTTCAATCCGGATCGCTTTATGGGCGAAGGCAAGGCCAATAACGGCGGCGCGACTAGTAACTATGCCTTTCTTACCTTTATTCATGGTCCACGCAGCTGTATTGGACAGGGATTCGCCAAGGCGGAACTTGCCTGTTTGCTTGCGGCGGTGGTTGGTCGCTTCCAGTTTGAGCTGAAGGATCCTGATGCCAAGCTGGAGTTGATGGAGGGAGCCACCGTGTCGCCAAAAGACGGCGTTATCGCCAAGTTTACTCCAGTGGAGGGCTGGTGAAAGGATTTATATATCGGTGTCGGTGTATTTCCTACCGGGGTGGCTTTATTTACTTGACTATGTATATCCTTAGGGACTGGATAGCTCCCCTCCTCAATTGTTTGATTGGAAGACGCCAAAGGATTCAGCGGTATGCTTCCAGCATGTTCTCTGCACTTGTGCCGGAGTTTGCAGTTACCTCATGACTTGTTTTCAATAGATCATTTTCCGGAGGCGAGATCTGGAGACATATCGCCACGGTTGATGGTTCAGCGAATAGCAGTGCGAGTTTTGCGAGCCGACGAATAGCGTCATTCCAGATCGCCCCATTTGGCGGTCGAACATCATTCCGACCGGCGCAAATACGGACCGACAAGAATGTACCAGCCACTATTTATGAAATTATACAAAGCTTTCTTGAAGCATTTGAGTCAATCAAAACAGAAGTTTCTCTCATATTTCCACTTAGTGTCCAGCAGAAGATCTCTTCGCCATGCCAAATCTCAACTACAACCCCGAAACAGAAATCCCGGATCTCTCGGGAAAAACGATCTTCATCACAGGAGGTGAGTCCAAGTCGTTTATTCATCTCGAAGAAGCAGGTGGAATTCTAACTTCACTCAGGAACAAATGGACTGGGTGCTGAATCGGCCCTTCATCTGGCCCAGCATAATGCTGCACACATCTATATCAGCGGGAGAAACGCCAAGAGCGCCGACAGGGTCATCCAGCGAATCCGCGAGAGTGGTTCAAGCACCGAAATCACCTTCATAGAATGCGATCTAGCTTCTCTATCATCCGTCAAGAAGACAAGCGAGACATTCGTATCGCAGACATCTCGCCTGAGACATCCTGCTCTGCAACGCTGGAATTATGGCCTCGCCACCCTCTTTGACAACAGACGGGTACGAAGTTCAATTCGGAACAAATCATCTCGGTCACTCGCTACTCATAAAAAAACTACTCCCGCTCCTCGAAAAGCGAGGCAGTGAAGGCGGCGACCCGCGAATTATCATCCTGACCTCGGAAGGACTCATGCTCCACCCAAGCGGAGGGGATCATCTTTGACAAGTTGAAAACAGTCCAAGATGATTTCTTTGTTGGGGGGTCATGGCGTCGATATGGGCAAAGCAAACTTGCTAACCTCCTCTATGCGCGAGAACTCGCCCGTCGGTACCCTGGTATTATCTCCGCATCAATTCACCCCGGTGTCGTGTCGACGGGACTGGTTGGAAATCAGAAATTCTTAGACCGCGCTCTGATTTATGTCACGACCATCGGGAAAATGTTAAAGCCCGAGGAAGGGGCGTACAATCAAGTTTGGGCTGCAACGACTGCGAAGGGAAATATTGAGAATGGTGCGTTTTATGAGCCGGTAGGGAAATCTGCGCATTATAAACTGGGCAAGACGGCAAAGGATGATCAGTTGGCGGAGCGGTTGTGGGAGTGGACTCAAGAGGCCCTTGAGGAGTTTTAAATTTGAATCTAGTGTTTCTTTGGGCTCAGTTATTTGGGGAATAGTTTTAACAGCATATACTGGATCTACTGTTTAATCTTAATTTTGTCTTCATTTAAACCGTCTCGTTCAATTCAAAGACGATTCAAGTGATTATGCTATTGACTCTTTCCTTGATTTCAAAGTAAGCAAATTTTCCTTGGGAAGCAACTCGAAGTTTTTGCGTTGATTAAAGGGATCTCATTCACTTCGTTTCAACTCACACGCTTCTCTTCGTGAGACTCTCAAAGGGAAACATCTCTCAATCTGTTTCCTTTGTTCGAGTACTAGTTCAAGTGTTCAAAAGGCAGTTGTATCTTTTTTCACTTGCTTTCTTTTTCTTAATTTCTCACTTAAGCTGTTTATTTCTTTTATTATTCTGTGCACTTTTACTTGTTAAAATGCCTGAGACAAGACCTAAAATCAAAGCCAAGGGTCGCGCCCGTCAAGCCCCATCTGGCTCGACAGAGAGTGAATCCTCTTTGGGCCACTCAACAGAAGCAACCACCCCTTCGCCTGCAAAAAAGCAATTAACAAGTGCTCAAAAGAGAAAGCGCTACGAGGACGATCTGAATTTGGCATCCTCTATTCAAGAAATTGGTATAGATTACTCTGATGAGGAAGAAGCAGGCCCTTCCAATTGGGCTCCGACACGAGAGCCCGCGAATGGCGACAAAACTCGCAACCCCTTCAAAAGAGCCGCTAAGAAGGCAAAACACGTTGGTCGGGCTATTCTGGGTACAAAGGGGAACAAAGGGGAACCGGGGCGAAAAAACGCTTCACGATTACCTTCTGACCCACTCCAACGAAAGAAAATAGATGCTAATAAACCGGATCTTCGTAAGTCCTATGTTGGACTCGTACAGCCTGTCAATCAGCTGAAGCCTCCAAGGAAGCAAAAAGAGAAGCGAAGAACATGGAACCACATTGCGACCACTATCACTGACCCTAAAATGATACCCGAGGGGTGGGATCATCAAGAGCATGACCTTGACCCTGCGTAAGTGAATACAAAGTTTAATTAAAAGTCTAGATGAGAAGTTACTGATATCATTTAGTGATCTTGACGCTCAAATTGCAAGATGCCATGAAAGGATTGCCGAACGGATTCTGCCTGATGTGTTCCAGCATAGGCTAGAGGGCTTTTTGGAACTAAAGGCAGCTGAGAAGTAAGACCCCTATTCTATACGTGATAAAACTAAAATTAATCTTCTTTCGCCTTCAACAGTAAAATCTCTGATGGTTGGCCCAAAGGTCTCGATAAGGATGTTTATCAGAGACTGGATTCACTCAAAGCCACCGAAGAGCATCTTTCTAAAGGAGGAGATAATTACAAGGAGCTTCCAAATGTCCGAGCTTTGATTGCAGCTTACAAGTCCGGTCAATTGAAGTGGAATGGGGGGCTTGTCACCTATTGGTCGAAGGGGGTAAAGCTCTCAGAGCCAAGACCATTCGATTGGGATGAGTTTGAGGCGATCAATAAGAAACACGATGGCCATGAAGCCTTTTGGGTAGAAGGGGTATAGCATCACAGATAGCTCCATCTTGACCCAATATGTATACTTATTCTTTCTTATTTAGCTTGCACAAGATGAACATGATCTTGCACATGTACAACTTTATCCATCAGTTACGGACCAATCTATGCATCAGGTATGATATCATTGGTTCTCTTACGAGTATTGAATGGTGCTAACTTTGAGTTATAGTATAATATTGCTGTGTGTCTCCCAGGTTACGATTGGTGGGAGGAGTTACAGTTCATGCACGATACGGGGGCCTCCACTATGTGCATCACTGATAGGGATGTGGCAACAATAGCTGGGCCTTGTCGCCTTCCGATATATCCAGCACCACCAATCATCGGATATTCAAGAGTCCATGGTGCGACTGGACAGCCAACGCAATTCTATCCGTACATAGAGGTCGAAGTTACGATGATTAACCCTAAGTCAGGAAAGCGTATGACCGAATGGAACAGGATTCAAACTCGTGTCAAGCCACACGTGACAGCATCTACAACCCAAATGGAAAACATAAGATTAGATGGCCCAGTTATTCCTAAGAGCACATTTTGGGTGAATTTTCCGGACAATTCCCTGCGCATCCATGTTCTCACCTCTGCTGCCAAGTTGCCCTTCCTGCCAGCCGCGGCTAATTTCAACAAGAGACGAGGACCTGACCCAGTCGCATTCGCACCTATTCCCGCTCCTGGAAGGACTATAGATCTTTCTGGCTATCCCGTTCCACAGCACTTGAGTTATCCCAAAGCAGCTCCATAATGAGTGAACTAACCCATATTTGCGGTGCAGTGGCATGCCGGTATAGCGGTTTTTCGGTTTCTTTCTTTCTTTCTTTTTCGCCTTGGTCTTCTTTCTACTGTCTGGATTTTGATATGTTGTATATTCAAGTTTCATACTTTCTTTTAGCTAATCAAGTTACACATCTTTAAGATCTGAGTAGTACTATTGTGGCCGACTCGGGCTAGATATTCAAGATTTTGTCTCCACATATTTACCTCGTAGTACCTAGTCGCTTCTAGCATATTTGAAATTCCAACCTAGTATGTACAGTGGCGTTGCAAAAGCTTGAAACCCCATAATTATTGCCCACCGTGATTTACCGCCTTCTAATGCAAAACTAGTAGCTACCTAAGATGGAATAGATAGGTGGAATATAGTCCGCGATTAAAAGGCGGAGATAAGAACCGTCAACATGGGAAATCTTTTGCAACGCCACTGTAGGGACTCGGAGTACTAGACCAAGAACACTTCTTGCCAGCGTGCAAGCCTAGGCCCCGTTCTCTCTCATTCAAATCTATCTCCAGGGAATTTATATTCTCTGATAACTTTAACTAGGGCTCATAAGCTTTCAAGTAAAAGCTCCTCGGGACGATAAAGCGGCCTATAGCTGAGGACATGCGGCTAAAAGGCCTGCTTCAGCTGTGAATAAAGTACCGTCACAATGCCTGTGTTTTCCACCAAGCCCTGCGGCTGAGTTGGGGTAGCACTCGAAGGCGCGCTACTGCAGGTCTGGCCTTCGTGTTGTGTTGCATGGCTGGGGGTGTCTAGCCTCCACGCTGTGACCATTAAACACTCCATGCTTACACTGCCAAAACGCTTTATAGAAACCAATGCAGCTTTGGCCGACTTTGAAAATAGTTTTTCATATTAGCCGAGTGATTGAAGGAAGCTTAAAACCTCTCTCGATCGAAGCAGTCCGCTGCTCTTATTTCAGTCACCCTTACACCCTGCACCCTTACTCAATGCCGCTCAACCTGCCAAGCCGCTCAAATCCGATTTGACCATGCCCAAAATGACAATGTGCCTTTTCGAATTGAAATGAACGCCAAGCATAAATACGGTTTGCTATGGACGGTGGCTGTCGTGATCTAGTTTTATTGGTTGACCATGCATTGAATACGAGGATCTGCGCGGAAAGACCCAGATCTGGAGCGCCGAGGAATTAAGGCTAGTAGAAAGAGACACGCGTGTACATCGTGTATAAAAAAGGGTTAAGCCCGTTTGAATTGTTTGAAATTGCCCGCGTTTTCCAATAGGCACCCTTTCCCCTACGCAGCAGAGCTTCCGTCTTCTACACTTAGCGACCCATCATGAAGTGGTCAACTCTTCTGCCTTTGGCGCTTTCCACCATATCTCTGCTCCCTTCTGCCGGAGCATGGGAAGTGACATGGCATGACTCCGACAACAAAAGCCATAGTCAAAAAGGGCACGGTCCTAGCGACTGCATTGAAATCGACAACCCCAAGGGAAATGTTTTCAAAATCGACTCTCAGGGCGAAAAGGGCATCAACATGCTTCTCTTCGACAACAGCAAATGTACTGGAGACTCGGCTGGTCAAGCAACCGAGAGCTTCTCCAAGGACGCTTCTCGGGATCTTCTCGGCTTCAAGGTCGTTAATCTTTCTTCGTCGAATTCCTCGGAGACCACTACGACGGACAAACCTGCCAGTCATGCCGCGACTACCTCTTCGGAAGCTTCAAATACCCAAGTCTCCTCAACAAGTAGCAGTGAAAATGACAAGTCGTCAACGGCTCAAACAACGGCTGCAGCAGGTGCTGCTACCGCATCTACGGTATCTGAGACTGCGAGTAAAGCGCCTCCTACGACTTCGAGTGCAGCAAGTGCAACCACTTCTAATGCTGCAATTAAGCTTGTCGGCCCGAGCGATAATGTTGCGAAGGGACTCATGGGTGGAATTATGGGACTTGCGATGGCTCAATGGATTGTTTGAAGACCAGGAGTTGGATTAAATCCCACTATTTCACGTTGGGTTCATATCGTGTCTGTCATCTTAGTGGCTTGGTCTGCTCGCTACAACTTAATCACCAAATATAGTTGCTCTATTTGCCGATCTCCTGTTCGGCTTGACTTCAAGTCCCTCAACACCGGAGCAGTACCCAGATACCCAGATAATGGTCATGTTCCAGGATATAATGACGTAAAGTTAATATAAATTAATCAACAGACAACATTTCCATACGTTCATCCAACCACCCTTATGTAAGAGCCACCACGAATCTATCAAACGGAGCTCCTGGTCTCCTGGACCTCCACATGTGTCGTGGCCCTTTTATTCTCGTCATCCTCATCAAGATGTTTGTGGACGACCGCAGCGACCTCTCTGGCCTTGTCTTTGTCTTCGAACACTATTTTAAGTCAGTTCTGTTCCTTTAGAAAATCGGGAAGCCAACTTACAAAACGACAGTTCCTCAAGAGTGCGGCCCGCAGTTTCGGGGAAGAAGAAGTAGATAAACACCAACTCAAATGCCAGCCAGCAGCAATACACCAAGAGCCATTTCCAGGTGATGCGCGCGAGACCAACGGGGTTCACATAAGTAGCGAAGAAGCCTGCGCCGCGACCAAAGAACTGGAACCATGAAATACCGCGTGAGCGACCCATGTAAGGAAACAGCTCGACCAGATACGCTTATTCATATCAGTATATACACACTATTTGGAACGGAGGGAATACACACTGTACGTTAGGGCGTTGTAGCCGAGATTGTAGGCGGGGGAGTAGGCAAAAATGAAGAAGATGGTCAGAATGGCTGCGGACTGAGCCTTTGTGCTTATGAAGCGCTCCATCGAGATAGTCCATGCAATGTAGACACACAGCAGACAGCTTGCGCAGGTGAGGTACATCGGTCGACGCTTGAAGCGTGGCGCTGTGAGCGCCAACGCCGTGCCACAGACGAGACCCCAGCAGGCGATGCCGATGTTTATTTTGGACTTGGTCACACTGTCGGTGATTCCGACCATGTTAAGAAGGTCGCTTAGATAGTACCTATTGCATGGATCAGCGAAGGTCAAAGGCATATAGGGCAGACACATGCTTACGAGATGAGGGTATTGCCGGACCACTGGGTAAACAGGCCGAGAAAAGCGGAGATGAACAGCCGACGGCGCATCCCGGCCGTACGGAACATATCCAACCATGATTGTTTTGACTCTTCGAGCTCCATCTTGATGGTTTGTTCGATCTGCGCCAGTTCGGCCTTGACAATGACCGAGCTGCGGTCACCCTCCGCATGGTACTTGGTGAGGATTTCAAAGGCTTCTTCGTAACGGTCTTTGCTGATCAGATATCGGGGACTTTCAGGGAGGAACCTGGTCATATGTTAATTGGAGAAGTTGAGATAAATGGCCGGGGGCATCCTACATCACCGTCAGGATCTGAACCATGGCGGGTGCAATCTGAAGTAGGGATGGAATTCTCCATGCCCAGTTGGACGCAATGGTCACCGTTCCCAGGCCCACGGCTGCGGCAATGATCTGGCCGATGAAGTAGGAGGAGTTGAACAGGGAGGTGAGAATCGGTCGCTCCTTGGGGTAACCCAGTTCACCTAGCAGTGATGACCCAGCGACGATGCAGAACGGGATTCCGAATCCTAGAAGGATACGCGCGACAATATACATAGCCACTAGAAACCATCAGATAAGTCACAGTTAGGATCAAGAAAGGAAGAATACCTCCATTGGAGAAGCCCTGGATAATGGCCCCGATCAAGCTCACGCATGAACCGAACATAATCGTCCATCGTCGTCCGACTCGCTGGTTGAGGTATGGGACAAAAGGCAGGGAGAGAATAGCCCCGAGAGAGTATGCAGCACCAAGAAAGCCCTTGAGGTTCGCTTCAATTGCGTACTCGGGGCGTCCATCCACGGTCTTCCCGGTCGTATGACCGAAATCTATATCGCAACGTCAGTCTACTGTAGTGCTCATCTTGAATCGAGGAGACATACACTTGTTCCAGGTATACACAATCTGAACCGTGTTGATAATCTGCGAGTCGAATCCTGATGTGATTTCGATACCCATGCACGCCAGAAATAAGATGAAATAGAGTCGTCTCAGATTCGGCTTCTTGTACCAAGGCGTACGGTCATCAGCCAGCAAATTAGCTAGCACAGGCTCAGCAACATTCTCCTCGCGCTTTTTTCCCACTAAGACCATGTTGAAAGATTGAAGTTGAAGTTCAAATACTCACAACTGGAGGGCTGATCTGTGGAGCCTGAAGACTTGCCGAGACCGAATCATGGACACTATATATCCTGTTCGTTCTAGGGTCTTTGTCCACCGCGACCCCCCGGGGTGGCCCAATTCCTAACTGCCAAGATCCTCTGAGCCATCAGGTCATGCGCTGACGGGCTGGAGAGATTCGTTCTAGAGCATCGAGAAAGATAAGCCGGGTAAGATCCCCGCTGGGATATTAGAGTTTCGTCACCCCACGGGGTATATGGAGGTGGGGGTGGGTGAAGGAAGACAACATTCTGACCTGCAGATGGACGCGGTTGCTCAACGCCAAGCACTCAGGTCTTGGCACTTCATATTAGCCTAAAGAAGGCTAGTCGGATGCAGGGACTTCGCGGAGTCTCCCCGAATGCCTCGGGCCAAGTGTGAGACTCGGATGATGGTCGCGAGGGGACATGTGTTGCGGATAGAAACTCAAAGGGAAACGGAGCTGGTGCATAGCCGCGATCGACTCAGTGTTTCTGCTAGACCGGCAGCGTCCCAGATTACTAGTGCTCTCTCTATAAATTTGGGATACAGACTATGTTACTATGTTCAATTTGCGTAAATATATTTAGTAAAAAGGCACTGGCATAGTACACTATTCAGGTCCAGGAAGAACTTAGTTAGCGCTAGTAAGTCAGTACTAGTAGGGGTACTAACCAGTAGTTATTACTAGAAGATACTATCCCTGAATGAAATAATACTACCAGTAACTACTTGGTATCCTACTACCCAGTTATATAGTACTCAGTACTCTGAATTATTAGGATCAAGCTATCCAAGCAGAACCACTGGGTCGATTTCTACGGGCGCCCATACTCTACGATGTAATTTGGCTGGGACAAAGGAATGCATGCCTCTTCTTTTGTTCTACAATTCCAAACTGTCATGCATCAGCCACTCCAACAGCATACCTAATTCCTTAATCCCGCCGCCCTCCTCGCCCCATATCTTCAACCGCTCAATCACCACCCGCACACAGTCCGCCCAGTCTGGAGGAATGTTCACATATTCAGCCGAGGGGCGCTGCGTCAACTTTGCGCGGAATCCCGCAATCAGACAAAGCGCATGGTTGAACCGGACTCGACATGCTCCCCATGACCCCGGATGCCGAAAGAATGGTACCTCAGTCTGAATACGATATACTGCCAAAAGTAGCGCCTCGCTCGCTTTCACCCCATACAGTGCCGCCATCCCCTGCTGAAGTGGCACATGGATGCACAGGTATAGATACGCCCGACAAAGCAATTCCCGTACCTCGACGTATCGCTCACGACTTAGCTTCATGAGCTCACCTTCCTTTGACCTGACGGCAGATTCGAGAGGCATATTAAACCGTAGTGTATGTGGGAGGCAGTCTACCCACTGCTGGAGTTGACCTTCCAACTGTGTCAGAGTTTCTACTAGAATCTTGATGGTCGGCAGATCGATATCTGGGGAAAGCACGCGAACCGCATTGCGGGCCCGATTGAGAAGCCTGCGCAAGAAGATCTCAGCCAGATAATAGTAGGAAGATGCTGCTTCGAGGTCTGTAGACGATGGGTTGGACAACGTCCAACCAGCGTTGTCGTTAGATAGCTGCCTCGTGGGAAAGCTTGGGAGAGAATAAGGAAAGTCGGAGAGACTGAGGTCGCATGGTGGAAGATCCGTCAGTTCATATCGAACCTCACTATCTCATGTTAGCTACGTGTATGAAGACTTGAGATCTGCGGTGTATGTTATACCATTCAGATTTTAAGCATGTCCAGTAGAGTCGCTGCTCCAGACCTGGGGGAGTTAGATATGTCTGGAATGGGGAAATTAGAAGACCCACTCTCTTCCTGTGCACTTCTGATCGTCTTTCCTTCGCGATGCTTCAAACGATACGTTTGCCATAGCATGGATGCTGTCCGGAACATTTTCCAGCCCGGGATCGGTTCGATATTATACTGATACCAAATTCTAAACATTATTTAGACATTCGTATCTTGAAGCAGCTCGAAGGAAGAGGCTCACCCAAATAAGCAGAGACACTGTACTCCAAGTAAGGTATCATCAAGATACGCAGTGGAAATGCGCTTACGCGCCATGGAGAGGAAAGCTAATGATTCCTTCATTCGGTGCTCCGGAACCGACATGGTCATGTACGTGACCGGTGGGCCGAAGGATCGTTCATTGTAAGAGATCTCACGGGTTTCGTCGTCTGGATAATTCCCCCAAATGGCCGCAAGCGCAAAAATAAGTAACACCAAGCACGACGAGGCGGACCACTCAATACCATTTTCTAGCACCCGAGCAATATAAAAGTCCAGCTGGCCCGGGTCAACGATCGGGTTCTTGGTCCAGATCTTGGTCATAAAGATCTCTCTCAATTCGAGCAGTCTTTGTGGATCTAGGCTTGGTAGAGCTGTAGCCGCGCATTAGCATCCTATTTTGAGATACAACGCGTCAAGAAGACCATACCCGCCTGAAAGCGATCTGGCTTCTCGGAATACGCTGTCATCGGGAAAGTTGACGCCGGCTTCTCTCCCGGAAAAATAGGCCAGCTGAGAATCATATCCGATCCAGTGATAGGCGTCTTGGGCGCATCATTGCGCGAGATTGACTCTGTATCTATTTCGTCCACTGGGGATGGCGACGCCTGCTGCGAAAAAAAGGGGAGGCCCCTGATTCGAAGACAGGGTCTGTGACAGAAGCCGCTCTTGACGCTCTACTGCGTCTAGGATTCTTGCACCCCATGTCTCTAGACTTCAAACAACATTTATGATCATTAGATGCCTCGGCTAATGGAGAAGTTCTATGGGAACCGACACCGAGATGGGATCCGTCTGCGGATACTCGCATGCTACACCCCGTTGGATACATTTGGCACACACTGGCCGTGCCGAATCGCATCGAGTCTTGCTGAGACGACAGGCATTGCATGCGTTAAGCACGCGAGTATGCTTGCGAGGTTGCGCAGTCGACGAGGCTTCCATTCTTCCTGCTGGAGATTCCTCTAGTGGCACATGGAATAGCAAAGGGAAAATATGATGATAAAAGGCCAAGACAAACACGGCTGGTGTTTGGCGAGGCAAACGATGGCGGGATCATCCGTCCAATCAAGCCAGGTCGACCTCATTTAGCCGGGCAATTGAGCCAAACGAAGTCGGATGAATCCTTAGAGTCCCCGCCAATAGGTGGTACGATCTACTTGGAATTTTCCCCAGGCCACCACTTCTAGGCTGGAGGTTCCTATTAACACTTCATATGTCCCTTTCTCGCTTTTCCACATCTCCTCGATCTCATCCCAAAAGCTTGTCGCATATCGGTCAAGCGGTATCTCAACCGATTTTTCCTCCCCGGGCTGGAGGAATACCTTTTCAAATCCGTGCAATTCCTTGTTTGGACGCGGGGTTTCGGATTCAGGGGCAGATATGTACAGCTGAAGAATTTGTGCGCCCGCCACTTTACCTGTGTTTTTGATCTGTACGGTGACGACCGGAGGACGGTCCATGTTGAAGATCTCTGGGGCAACGGTAACAGTCGATGAGAATTCGAAGGTCGTGTATGATAGGCCGTGACTTCAATACGGTTAGATGAGATATGGTTGGATGAAACTGGGATATGAAGGAACTAACTCACCCGAATGGAAAGAGGACTTCTCGTCTAGTCTTCTCGTAAAATCGATAGCCCCCATAGATGTCCTCGCCATACAGCACTCGGCCACCCACACTGGCGTAGTTCAGGTAGGCCGGATTGTGTTTCACATCCACCGGCCAGGACAAGGGCAGTTTTGCGCATGGATTGACCTCTCCGAAGAGAACGTCGGCAATTCCATGGCCTGTCTCGTTACCTCCATACCAGGCCTGCACGATGCACCGGGCCTGATCGACCCACGGCATAGTGACTGGTGTACCGGACTGATTGACGATGACAGTCTTGTCTGCGGCGGCTTTCAACACCTTCGAGATCAACCGGTCAACTCCCGGTGGCAGATCCATATGCGTTCGATCGAACCCTTCAGATTCCCAGTCTTTGTTGAGTCCAGTGCAAATAATGGTGTAGTCCGCCTGCGTGGCAGCTTCCACGGCATTCTCGAGCATTTGATCCTGGTCCATCCGTAGGCAGGCCCCCAGATTTGCAGCGCCACCACCGAAATTCACCATTCCCATCGATTTCATTGTGGTAGTGTTGGCAGAACCGAACTCAATCCGAATTTTGTATGTGGTCCCAGCAACTAATTTCTTCGATCCCAGCTCCTCGACGGTGCCTTTCCCGAAGAATGCCGTTCCGCGTGTCTGGTTCGTTGTATTATCGATCACAAGTTCGTCGTCAATATAGAGATTCGCCGTACCAAAAACACTCAGGCCAAAGTCCCAAATCCCGGATGCATCTGGCGTGAAGTTGCCAATCAGTGTGGCCCAGAATAGCTCTCGGTTGAGGCCAGGAGCATAGTAGTCCATGAACTGGAAGGTCGTTGTTGATATAGGCTCAGTGCTAATCAAATTCCGTTCCTTGTCCATCGGCTCGTTATAGAAATGTATGACAGCATTCTTCAGGAGGCGGTCTATTACAGGGAGCATCTTGTGGGCGTATGTGCCTATTTCATAAAGCACGTCCGCGTCAGGATTTGCTTCCCTGCAGGCGTCGTATAACGAAATAGAGTAATACGGTTCAAGAGACGCACTGCCGCCACCCGATATTGCGGGAGTTTTCATGTGAGATCCAATAAGGGCGATTTTTTTGATCTTCTTTGGAAGGGGCAAGATGCCTTCATTCTTGAGGAGGACGATGCTGTTCGCGCAAATTTTTCGATTTAATGCTCTATCCTCTGGGAAATCCCGACCTCGTTCCACACCTGACACTTGGACCTGGCTTGCTTGTTTCACGAATTCCAATACCTTTCGAGTTCGTGCATCTATTGTCGATTGTTTGATCAGTCGAGCCTGTAAGGCGGATTCGATATACTTCCCCCGATATCTAGAAGGCCCGGGCATTTCCAGATCAAGGCCCGCATTCATAGAATCGATGGTTGTATAGGTCCCGTACCAGTCGCTCATAACCAGCGGATTCCATTTCCATTCTTCGCGGATCAAATTGATCATGCGAGTATCTTCCACCACATGCTTCCCATTGATCTTATTATAAGAAGTCATAAGCGCGCTCGGCTTCGCATCTCTCGCGACAATCTGGAAAGGTCGTAGGTAGATCTCACGCAAAGCTCGCTGTGTCACGAGGACATCCACCGCCCGACGTTCGTGTTCTTGGTCATTGCCCACGAAATGCTTCACAGTGGACATGATTCCTTTGCTCTCGGCTCCGAAGATGATTGATTTGGCCAGAATGCCCGAAAGATGTGGGTCTTCAGCAAACGATTCAAATCCACGGCCACCGAGAGGAGATCGCGGCATATTGATTGTAGGACCCAGCCAACAATGCGCTCCTTTCGCAATGCACTCGTCGCCCAGTAGTCTCCCCGCTTGGTAAACCAGATCTCGATCCCAGGTGGCGCCCAGAGCTGTGCCGCAGGGTAGACATGCGGCTGGGATGCCGGCGAAGAATTTGGTGCCCCGGATACCATTGGGACCATCGGTGGCGCGAATCGAGGGAACTTTGAATTCGGGGATGGGATGTGTGTGCCAGAAATCAATTCCTGCTTCTGTTAGCGGATGCGGTCTTCAAAGATCGTCGTCGTCTCTGTGTTACCGGATAAAAGAGCGATTTTGTCCTGCTCGCTGATGTTTGCTAGGACATGCTCCACGTCGAAGGCTACCGGCATAATGGATGAACAGTTGGAAAATAAATCTTTTTTCAAGAATGTGAATAAAGAATGAATTCTGTAACTTCCGCTGAGTATGTAGAGCGAACAGAACATCCATGGATGCAGTTAGCGGCTACATACCTATAAGTACCTGTGCGAGTCACAGCTTCGATTTCTTTTTTTACATAGACCTCGTTCTTCGAGGCGAACTCTAGGCACTACTACTACCACTAGTGGTCTCTTGGGTCTCCGACACTCCGAGATACCCAGTGACACGTTGACGGCGGAGGCTCCCCGGCTGGTGGGGAGCTGCGGGGGCCAGTGGGTATCTCCGCATCTCGCCCAGTTATACCCGTATTGCCAGGCTAGGCCACTTCCGCCAACAAGCCAACAAGCTGGTACCCGCGTCAACTTGGATCAGCCGCTTCGTGTACACTCCACTCCTGGCTTGCCAACGGTAGTGCTGTTTATGAACTTCCACATAACGTGTTTTAGGTAAGATCAAGATCAGTATGCAGCTTAGTACGATCTCCTACGCAAGACAGAAGTATTTAAAACAATTCTCCATATTCAGGCTGTTACAGGACTACAATCTGTTGCTTTCCGTGTCATTCTTCTTTCGGGTGCGCTATTTTTACAAGCGAAATCGTCACGATAAGCTGCTTCGCGAAGTTTTCAGATCCCGACGCCCTCTCCGCCTATCGTAGAAAACAAATCCGAGATTGCACATTTCAGCATACATTCTCAAAAGCGAGTCGACTCTGGCCTTGAACGGCTTCGACATTCTCCCATCATGCCTAACTTTCTGAGCTTGCCTATCGAGATACGGAATAATATCTACCAAAAGGTTCTTGCTTTACCCCAACCACTGCATCTTTTCCAAGATCCAGGATACCCAGTGGAAAGTTTCATTCCCGGGAAACCCTACCTATGGCTTGCCTTACTATACACCAATCGGCAAATATCGGAAAAAGCTAGGGCAGTTCTCTACCGGTTCAATAGCTTTACGTTTCAGAAAGTGGAAAATAGCAGCGTTCTATAAACATTTATAAAGAGTATCGGACATTTTAATACGGGCTCACTGTCCCACCTGTACATTAATTTCCCAGCGGCGGAAAACATACATAGTGAAATCAGTCTCAGAGAGGGTAGTCTGCAAAGGCTTCAGCTTCTCCAAAAAGAGTGCGGCAGTCTCCCGAAACTTGAGGTCCTCTTTACAGCGGAAATTTCAACCTCCTTACTGAACAAGATAGCAGTCCTGTTCGAGAGGTATTGTCAGAAATCAATAGGGAGTTTGGGTATATCTATTCCTTGGCAAGGATTATTGTCAGAGTCTACAGTGGACTTCCAAGCCCTTCGATCAAAGAGTTTCTGCAAGGACTAGGATGGATTGTTTTGATGGGAGACAAATAACTTTACCCGGAAGTGCTAAAATCAACAATCAGCAGAGTTATTTACTCATTAAGGACAGCTTGCAGTGTCCCTGAAGTGCCAATGCCGGATCTGCTGATCGTATTCTGGAGGACTCTGTTCTCGTTGCGGGTTTGAGATCAATTTCTATGCTTTTTTATAATCAAGTTACTAAAGTTTCTAGTCGAGGGATCAACTTGAATGCTTCAATGACGGTGTCCCATTGTGTTTCCCCATTTTCCTGATGTGTACTAGTCACTGACCCACTATAGCTGATAAACCTTGGAATCTCTCGAGGTCTTCACTGCCGACCTTGCAAAGATTCCTACAAGGAAGGAGGGGTATTTAATAGGAGAGTCACTCTTCCAAGCAAATCTTTCGGGGTATCAGCAGGTAGTTGATATGCTTATTGCTCACGGCGGTGAAGTTGGAGTGCAAAAGTTCTGTCCATGGTAACAGCAGCCTGCAGAGAGTCGATAGCAAGTCTAGTGGAAACCTTTCTATCAGCAATCCTTAAAGTTCGAATAAACCTTCAACGATGGTGATATTAATCCAAAAGCTTCATTTTTCAAGAATTAGTCAACTGGTGATGTGAAGTACTTGTCAGAACGCAAGTTCTGGAGCAAAAGGCGGTAAATGGAAATTTAGGAGCGAAATCGTGATTTGTAAAAGTTTGATATTCTGATAATACTTGTAAATATACTATTTTTAAGGTAGAAGATTACACCACAACGTTAAGTGACGGTAAATCGAACGCCCAAAACGGCTACACTCGACGCCAGTTTAAGCGTTCATTTTACTAGAATCTTAGTCGTCTCTTCATCATGTGATTGCAATCAACCTAGTCTTATCGTTTACTCCCGGATTGCTCCCGCATTGCTCCCGCATTGCTCCCTGAGCGCTCATGGCTACTCAGGGATCAGCTCCACCATAGTCAGGGTGCCCTGAGTAGACGATCAAGCACGTCATCATAATCTCTCTTCTCTGTCGTCCGATTGTAATCGCTTGTACAAAAATAAAAGGATCTCTTTGTCATGTCAGTTTTCAAGCCTCTTCAAGGTTTCGATGATAGATGTAATGGTTATTAAGTTGTCAGGCTAGAGACCCGTGACTAGGCAAGGGTATCGGACGGTAGAGATCAGATTGGACAGTTGGTACACAGACTGATTCATGAAGAGATCAAGAATCCTGGATTTTTGTGGGATCTAATAATACTAGGGCTCGGGTGAGCCTCGATATGCAGGCGACTCGAAGGGGATTCGGCCTCGGATCGACGTCGAATACCCGAGGTGTTGTATACTCCGAATCCCGTGACAAAATCGAATGGGAAACCAACCTAGTCCGTTCTGGAAAACAGATCTCCCACTAATAGTCACCCTTTAGTGGCAGACCTTCGGTGCCTGAAATCTACGGGTGCGGGGTCTTGGTCAACCGGCGGTCAATGGAGTTCGCTTGTCAATGAAGCTTTTTTTACTATTTTAATACTCACAACAACCACCACCATGTCCTAGCCCTGTTCAGATGATGAACAGCATATTTTGACTGCTTGTACCGATATTAGAATCTCCAAAAAGACCAATTTTGCAGTATTAGCATATGAATATAACGTCCCTTTTGGCCGATTGCGGGTATGTTTTGCTGGTCGGAAGTCTTGTAATACTTGCTAAAAGACCTATATCCGTCTAAATAAGGATCAAATAGCCTTATTGCTATACTGGATCAAATGTCTTGACGACCTAAATATGCCACCTACAGCTAGAATGATAGCTATATCAGTAAATATCAAAGCTCTTGCTTTGATATTGTGGCCTCTTTTGGCCGAATGGTATAGAAATCCAGACACTAGAACACGTTACATTTTAAGCGTATTCTATCAAAAATATATATAATTTTGACAAAACTGGCTTTCTGCAAGGCCAGGGCAAGACTCAAAAGGTTATATTATATAATATATAATATACTAGAACTTATTCTTTTAAAAGAGGATAATTAGTTAAAGGTATTAAATGTGTTATAGCTGATAGGTAGCTTATAAAGCCATATCTTTTTGTACTAGGAAAGACTTATCTAGTCAGATAGTATAATGGTGGTAAACTATCTGAAGATTCACAAATTACTGTTTCTGATACTGGTTATTCAAATAACCTATTGGTAATTGATTGGCTGGATCTTTTTGCCAAAGATACTAGGCATCATCTAGGAAAAAATATGGATGAGCCCTGTCTCTTAATCATGGATAAGTATAGTAGCTATCTTATCTACGAATTTTTAGATATTTATACTTTCTATAATATTGTTCTATACGTCTGCCTACCTTATATAACTTATCTTATTTAACCAGTTGATAGGTCTCTATTTTGAGCGCTTAAATAAGTTTATCAGACCAAAAATGATAAGATTACCCAATAGGATAGTGATGCCCGTGAGATATCAGTATTTTTTACTAAGATAATAGTAATTCATGAGAAAGCTATGACAACATATACTATTTATAAAGCTTTTTCTCCTCGTGGTACTCTACTCTATAACCCTAAGCTAGTTATTAAGTACTTAGTGGCCAAGCAAACCCCTAAGCCAGATCTGAAGATATTTGATGGTACACCACCACCAGAGCAAATTTCTAGTATCCTAGATACACCACCTTAAAATGTGTGGGATGCCCATCGAACATATAATAAAATGACAAATCTGCTTGACAAAGTGTCCCTGGCAGCCGATATACGTGAACAATTACTTTATATGGCATACTCATAGATTCAGCTTGCCAAGGATATTGGCCTACTAAACGATACCCTAGAACACAGATTGCCTAAGTAACGACAAATTACACACAAGTCACAAAATTAATTAGACAAATTTGGTATAATAAGCACTAAAGACGCTAATCACCAGGTTAAGGACCAAAAGAAGGCAGATAAAATAAAGGAAGCCCTTACGAAACTCCAGAATATAACACCACTAGGCATTACTACCACCCCCAAACCATCGAGACTCGATAAATATGTCCCATATCACCCTCCTTTATTGTCTAATCTGGAAGACGATTACAGTTAGAAGTGTTAATTTTGTTGTTGTTGGCAAAAATAGTTAAAAAATAAAAAGAAGCTTCGTTGACGAGCGAGCTCCGTCAACCTCAGATTTCAGGCACCGAAGGTCCGCCGCTAATAGTTGACTATTACCGCACATTTCTCTTGCGTCATACACTCGTGTCCAAATGTCCAGTCCATGGCATGTCTGCCGTAGACACTTGGAAGAGGGGACTGGCGCCAAGATGGAGAAGCTGTATAGCAAATCTGTACGAGCTTGGAGAGGAATTTTAATTCCATAAGCATCACGCGCATGAATTTTCGCCAAGAATAACCCGTATTTACCACCGTTGATATTGGCATGAGCGTCGAGAAGTAGCTTAACTGTCTCAGCACTTCCTGGCGATGCAGCGGCTTTTGAACCACTCATCGTCGAACAGCATCTTTATTATCTCGGATTCTCCTCCTTGTCTAGCGGCCCATAGGGCATGAGAAGTGGGTTTGGCCCCAGCTTCCAGCAGGAGCTTAACTGCCTTCACATGTTTTTGTGTTACAGCAGCCTGTAGGGCAGTGCCGTATTTACCCTCAACATTGATATCGGTCCCAGTATTGAGCAGAATCTTTATTGTCTTAGAATGTCCCATGTAGGCAGCATTTTGTAAGGCAGTGTCATATTCACCACCTTGGGCATTGGGATCAGCACCAGCGTGAAGTAGGATCTGAACTGCCTCAGTATTTCCCATGTATGCAGCAACTTGTAAGGCAGTGCCATATTTACCACCTTGGGCATTGTGATTAGCCCCAGCCTTGAGCAGGATCTTGATTATCTCGTCATGTCCATTAAATGCAGCATTCTGCAAGGCATTACCGAGTGAATTCTCCTGAGTATTAGGATCAGCCCCGGCGTTAAGCAAGACCTTAACTGCCTCAGTATTTCCCATGTATGCAGCATTCTGTAAGGCATTGCCGAGTGGCCCTGCCTGAGCATTAGGGTCAACCCCAAAGTTAAGCAGGAGCTTGATTATCTCAATATTTTCTGCTCCAAGTACAGCGCTCTGTAGGGCATCCCCGTATTCACCTTGGGCGTTAGGATCGGCCCCAGCGTCAAGCAGGATCTTTATTGTCTTGGAATGTCCATTATATGCAGCAGCCTGTAGGGCATTGCCCTGTATATCGGCCTGGGCATTGGGATCGGCCCCAGCACCCAGCAATATTTCCACAATCAAATTATGGCCTTCCTTGGCAGCTGCATGTAGCGCACCTCCACGGGCGCCTGCTGTCTCAGCCTCCACGCCCTCATCTAGAAGCCACTTGACAAACTCCAATTTTCCACAACTTGCCGCCTCAATTAAAGGTGTTGTTCCTTGGTGATTTTTGGTTTCTCGGTCTGCTCCTCTCTCGTGAAGTATTTTGCCGGCCGTTATGTTCCCCACTCGCGCTGCGAAATGTAACGGTGTGTTTCCCTCTTTGTCTTGTATCTCGACATCTAATAGTAGGACAGATTTCATGACATCAACCAGATTAGCAGCGGCAGCCATATGTAAAACCGTTGTGCCAATGGCTAGGCCCCGGCTGCCACAAATATATCTGTAGATTTGAACCCAGACAGCCATTATTTCTTGTAGAATGTATATTTCATTCTGCAATAAATCACCTCGAGAGTGGGCGGCCTTTTCTGCATGATTAAACAGGTTGATAGTCGCGTATCCGAGAAATGGGTAATCCTCGCCAAGTTTATCCCATGATTCCTCCGAGTCCGAGTCAAAACCAACCATCGCTCCATTTGAACATATGGTAGCAAAATGTAATAGGCATGATCGATAGAGAGTTGCCTGGCACTTTAAAAGGACAATATCCCCACTCATGCCAGTGGACGCTGTGCTAGCGTTGAAGCGATGGTATAAAAAGGCCAGTCCTTTCACGCGTAAGAAATCATTGACTGACTGGTGCACTACCTGTATAGTCCCACTCCAATCCCCGTCCGAGACGATTTCAGCCAATCCCCCAGTAAGAGCCTTAATTCTTCGCTCCATGCGCTCATCGCTTTCGACAAAGCTATGTATCCTCTCATATTCACTTCTTGAAGATTCAAATTGCACATTCTTGGTCGCTAACGCGTATCGCATCTCTGTTGTGCTCAGGGGCCGCTGGGCTAGGCACAACCACTGAAAGATGAGGAAGGACTGATGCCGATTCGAAGCTGTGATCACGTTACTCAGAATATACATGTAGACATCTTCTAGTCCAACTGGAACCTCTTGTATCCAGTGATGGATATCCTTGAATGATTCCCCTTCAAGCATTTTCTGTTTGATAAGGGGTATCATGAGGTGGGCCCATTGAAACACCCTGTTGGAATGTTGAGTTAATTCCTCTGCCAGCAGATTTTTCATCTTTCGACTAGGATCATAGCCTCCAACATCAGTGTGAAGAAGTGTGTCCTTAATATATGTAGCGATGTCTTCTTCATTGTGATCTTCGACAATTATCTCGATAGCCTGGGCAATTTCTGTGATAGGGTAGTGTCGACATGAGATACAGACTTGGAGTGGTAGCATTTTTCCTGCAGCACGATCAACAAGTCGATGGAAATATACTGCTATTTGCTGAGCAGACTGAGCCCCAGCTTCATCTAGAGCATCCACAAAAACAGTTATATGTTGGTTGCTTGCCGATGCCAGGATGGCACTTGCTAGTATCTCCTCTAGCACTGGTTGTGGCCATTCCAGCTTGTGTTCACCACTGGCAAACCCAAATTGCCTACACCGCTGCTCATATATCTCGCGGACCTGAGGGCGTATAGTGGCATCGCGGTCGAAAATCTGGTTCAGCAATGCTCTAAACATCCCCAAGGGTGTACGTTGTAAGTCTGTGCCTCGGGCGGAAAAGAAAAAGTCAAGTCGAATACTGCCTTGACTGCCGTCCTGTATTTCTTCAAGAACGTCGTGTAAGAAACGCATCAAGGTGGATTTGCCAGCACCAGGCTTGCCTTTAATCCATAGTAGACCGCAAGGCTGGTTCCTCCATGATTGGTATTCGTCGAGCTCCAAAATCCATTGGCAGGTATTGGTGTGATGTCGCTCGATGTTGTCTCTTCGATCAAGCATCTGTGGGAATGCCAGTGACCTGAGTATCTCTATGTCTGATAAGTCTGGGCATATTTATCTGACGGGAACGGGGTGGCGCGAACCATTGTCTGTTTTCTGCTGTGGGTTTTCTGGTCGATCTGGCCAAAAGTTAATTGATTTCCAATGGCTTTTTTAAATGACTCTGATACTCACCAGATGAGATGTTGATTACCCCATCATTATTGCCAAGCTGAAGCCCTGCATTTGCGTTACCAAAAGATATCGGGTTCATGCTGAATATTGCGCGAGCGCAAGAGTGCTGTTATAAAAAGAAGATTCCAACCTCCAGAAACGCATGGCCATCATTAGCCCCGCTCTCACGCTCACCCCCACGCTCACCCCGCTCTCAGACGACCGCCAGGCGCTGAAGCTTGGCGTGATTACCTTCCTCGAGGAACAGTGATACTATGCCCATAAAAATAAAATTAGCAGAATTGATACCGAATTGAGCAATTCTCATATATTTGTGCCTCATCCTCCGGGATACTTAGTGGGGAAGATGCCCAGGTGTAGCTCAGCCCTGGAGTTCGAAAGTTAAAGAAAAAGAAAAGGGCCGGCGATCATAACCTGATGACTCACCTAATTGTAACGAGGAAGATGCAGGAGAAATCTGTGTATTGTATTGGATAGATGGTAGATGGGAAAGCTACAGCAACCAGGATTCCTGAGGCCTTCAGGCCTTAACAGTAGGATGCCACAGCATGCTTGGCAAGGACAGGTCAGATCTAAAATAGTAATTCATCAACCCCGCATATTCCCACATCAACGCAGAAGAAACGACAGCCTAAGAGGTATAACAGGCTTCAGGCCTTAACAGTAGGATGCCACAGCATGCTTGGCAAGGACAGGTCAGATCTAAAATAGTAATTCATCAACCCCGCATATTCCCACATCAACGCAGAAGAAACGACAGCCTAAGAGGTATGACAGGTTTTGCCTGAACTCATTCACCTCCTCTCATTGGAAATTTCTTCCTTTCAATCTCCTCAGTGCCCGCATGTTTCTTTTCGAGAATATTTCGGCAATCGTGTGAAGTGCAGGCGAGATCCTTTACTGTTTAAGAAAAGCAACTTGCCCGATTTATCGAACCTACGTCCAGAATATGCAGGATACCAGCCTAGAACGCGAATATTCCAGAAGGAGCCTCGCGCAATCTTAAGACATTATCGAGGACTCTAGCTTGCCAGCTGCTTTCGACCGGGCCAGACAATGGCTTGCACATTGTGTGGAGCATGATGAAGCTTGCAAGCCTCCAGCCCCCGAATTGATGTCCCGCCATCTGGTTAGCGAAGGTTCATGGGATGAGTCGCGTGGGCCTTTTCTATTCCATCCCACTATCCCTGCCGCTTATGCCTGTCTCGGCTACTGCTGGGGAGATGATGGAGACCAAGTAGTGACTACAGAGACGGATAATATTCAATCACACTATCAGACAATTGAATTGGCCCAGCTTCCACTGGCCATCCGAGACACTATATCTGTTTGCCGTAGTCTCGAAATCCAGAATCTCTGGGTTAACTCATTATGTGTTATTCAGGATGACTAGGACGTCTAGCCACACGACGCGTCCACAATGGATAACGTATACGGCAACTCACATCTAACAATTGCTGTCATGGAGCCAAGCTCATGCAAAAATGGGTAAGCACCAGCTTGGTGACCCTAGCTTGCAGCAAAATCTTTCTGTTCCTCTACCAGGCTCACGGGGAGGCATGTCCATGGACCTCGTCATACGTGCGAATGAATTTCGACTCCTATCTGAGACCAAGAGATATTCTCTAGATCAGCGTGGCGGGTGTCTGCAAGATTCCATTCTACCTAACCGCAGACTTTGCTACGACGGCCAGGAAATGATTTGGGAATGTTTGTGTCGCCATATCTGTGAGTGTGGATATGTGATAGAGCCGCGTGTCCCGGAGGATTCCAGCATGGTTTACGGCAAACTCAGTGCTTCGCTCAAGGGCCCCTAGAATAAGCGCAACACTTCCATGGGAGAGAAGGAATGAATCTGTTTACAGACATCCCTCCTCTGGGGAGGGGACGTATCGTAGGAACCTTGTTTCAGACTACACTCATCGCTCACTAAGTAAGACGCATATCAAGTTAAGAGCGATATCAGCCCTGGCAAAATTCTTTAGGGAAAATATACAACGTGAAAAGGGGGTATCTGATGAATATGTTGCCGGGCTATGGAAGGGAGAGCTACCTGAAGACCCCACAAGTGCTGTTACTGATGGTTCCATCGTTCTACAAGGCGCTTTTGTCCCTGTACCGCTGGTATTTGGTGAGACAAGGTGGAAGGTGCACTGATTACTTGAAAACCTCGGCCCTGACGAGACTGGTAAAAAGCACGGGTCGAGAAGCTGTCTTTGTACAGTCTGCAAAGAAAGCAGGGATCAGATTTACTACAAGGCTTGGAGGTGAAACTAGACGAACCGGCGCCGGATTCAAAAAAGGGACGACTGTTGCTACTGTTTCAGGTCATTCACATTTTTGCATGGCCATGTGAGAGGGAAAGAGTGGAAAACTGGGAAAAGAGGGAAGACTGGCAAGACTGGCAAGACTAGCAAGACTGGGAGAGATGGGGCAAATGGGGCAAATGGGAGAATCGGAAAATATGGAACCAATGGGGAACGTGAACAAGTTTATTGGGCCTGAAACGTGGTTTCTTGTACTGGGAAGATCACCATATAGAGAGGGCGCGTTTGAGAGGATTGGTTTTGGTGTTTGGGATGGGAATTTTAGGGAGAAGAGCCCATATCCGTTGTTTTCTACTGCAAGCTATCGTAACTAATTTAGGGCTACGCTTACCTGGGCTATACCAGCAAAAGGAGGTGCTCCTAGAAACTCACACCTGATAAAATCGTGTGATTAGCGGTTAGACAATAAGTAGAATTTGATAGGCTATGAGCGTTTTTCAAGCTTCTTCATGTAAGTAGATAATAGCCTAGGGTCAAGGAACTTGTGCTAGGCTAAAGGGATAGATACTGTTCCTGGGCCTCAACCAATATATAGGATAGAGCAAAAGACCACAACCAAATTCCAAAATTTAATATTCCGTCAAGAAACGCATACACATCCACGTTGAAAAAATTACCTCAGAGAGTGTATTGTAGGAATTCGTTTCTGCTACGATATTGAGGATTATGGCCAATAACCCATAAAGTAGAGTAAGCAAGCGCTGAAGAACATCTACCGCGCACGTTTAGGTCACATATTTTTTTGGGCTCCTGGGAGCGACCGCAGGCAGCAAAGCGTTTATCATCGGAGGAAGTGAAACACAGAAGAAAGCGTGTTGTAGGCCAGCCGGAGCATTAAGGGTGAGCGATCAGGGTGCTCAGGGAGCAGCTCCGGTGTGTGTTCCGGGAGTGCTCCAGGAGTGCTCAGGCATGCTTAGGGTCGCTCAGGGCGGCGAGGGAATTAGCTCAGGTTGGGCTCCGGGAGCCGATCGCTTCCCAAGGCGGCAGTGTTACCGTCACCTTTATTACTAATAAAGTATCTGTAAGTTGCCTTATAACTTAGTTATCCTTCCTAGACTTCGGCAGGATCTATTGGTACCTATGGGTACCTATCAAAAACCTATCGATAGGTAGGGCAATGGGTTTAAAGCTTAGATATATGGATAGATATAGGTTCTTCTCTAAAATCTATGCCTATTGATAGATACTCAATTGATATTTTCGCCCGTTGACAATATCCATATTCATGCTTTCCGAGCTCAGCACGGTATCCCATGATCCATGGATCCAATATCAAATCCATTGGATATTCATCTGAAGTCAAGTTCCAGACCACTCGAGTGCCACAGCTCCAGCCATCGCGATGTTAGGTGTGGGCTACACAGGTCAGTCGTAGTTACCTAGGTATATTAAATCCTTTGAAGTTAGACACTTAACCACTTCGATACATATATATAAAGTATAATTACATGCCACACTTCATTTAGATCGAAAATTCCTTCTCAAAAAGCTCGCCGCCACATGAATGATCTCCTCCTGTTCTTTCTTCCACCCCAGAAGCACCCCCACAGCATACACATCATGCGGCATATCTGGCACCTCCAACTGCTCAATAATATTCCCCGGTATCGCGCGATACCGCTTCACAGCACCCCTGACACTATCACAAAGCACCTCGGCGCCTCCTGCCTGCACAAGTAGCGCCACAGGCGTCGCAAACGGATACAGCGCCGGTGACAGATATGGATCATCCAGTCGCACAATTTCTGGCGGCGCAATAGCTGTTGCTCCCCACGCCATCAGCGGCGCGTCGACATAGTCCGTTCTGCAATTTCGGTTTCGTAGGATGGCGGATTCGTCACCTTCCAGACAGTACTCGAGCGATGGCGAGAACATAAGGTATGCCCGGGGCAGTGGGAGGCTGGCAAGATCAAAACCTGCTTCGACATCTGCGTTCTGCGGCGGGGCGAGCGTGTTGAATAGTCCTAAGTAGCGCACGAGAGCCAGTGCGGCGGTGGCACCAGAAGAATCGCCGGCGAGAACGATGCGGCGCGGGGAGATGCCGAGGTCTTTGACGAGATATATATATGCCGTAACTGCATCTTGCATGGGTGCTGGGTAGCCGGTCAGGGTTTTCTTGTTCCCTACAAGCCGATATTGAGGCCAGAATGAGCGTGTACCGGGACCTAGTGCTTTATTGGTCATTTCAGCGACATCCCCGGAATCTTCTGGCCGTCCTGTGAGCCACAGGAATGATCCAGAATGGAAAGACAAAACGACCACACTGTTATCATCGTCGTTGTCGCAGCCGTCTGACTGCTGTTTTGGCGATGGTTGTACATCCGGTACCAAGTCCCTCCAATAACTTCCGGTTTTACATTCTGGTTGCTGGTAAATGGTCCACGGTATGCACTCGTCGCAGCCGGGTTGATAGTCACCCATTTATCACCCGTGTCCCCGGCTTCCAGTGTCAGCGATTGGGTGAAGCCGACTTCTCTGATGATGAAAAAGGCGGTTTTGATGAGCTGTGTCCGAAGAGCCTGTGTGTAGGTCCACTGGGTGTTTGGGAGTAGAGGACTGAAGTTGTAGAGGAGGCCATAAAATATGATTAACAGGATGACACGAGGTATTGCAATGATGCACCAAATAGCGCAGCCTGGCTGTCTAGTGCGCCAATCATTAGGGACTGCGTTCGGATCCGCATATTCAAGCATTTTTGCTGGCCCACATTAAGTCGTGTATTGTAGGTGCATATATATGGCCGATGGGAGACAGTCCGGCAGAGGATGCCAACTCGATATTTATGATTATATCAAAGCGCAATCGATCGCCATGTCGGGACAACCCACCAGAAGCTCGCAATGGATTCCCAAAGCGACCTAGCTTCGTAGCCTTGTTGCATCTAAGAGTTTACTTGCGCCACAGGAAGAGCTAGTATGTATGGCGGTGGGGGCCACGTAGGAACATACTGATGGAGGGCTGATGGAGGGACATTTATAAGAACATGCACAGATCGCTCGGTCAGTAGACGGCGCTAAACATTAATAGTTCTGAATTTCATCAAGTAATTCGCTATCAGTGCGGCTCATCATCCTTTTGCTCCTTTGCCGATAAGAAGCCTGCTGTGAGGCTCTCATGGGTGGTGATCTTTAGAAGTCCATAGCGTTAATATTGGCCCCTTTATCGTTAAGAAGCCTAGCAACCACCTCATGGCCACCTGATGATGCAAGTATGAGTGGTGTGGTTTTATGGTCATCACTAGCATTGACATCATTCCCTTTTCCAATAAGAAACTTAACGACTGCCTCAAGACTATTCTGTGAAGCCAACCTAAGTGACTTGAGTCTTTCCATATCTCCTGGGCACCTGGGATTGGGATTGGAATTGGGATCGGCGACTTTGTCAAGAAGCATTCGCCACTGCCTCATAGCCATGCAATAACGTATCCGTAAATGCCGTGCAAAAATATCCAGCAATGTTAACATTAGCCCCCCCTTTCGATGAGAAGCCTTGACACCGCTTCTTGGCCATTTTGTAAAGCCCCCACAGGTGTTGTTAGTCCCATTGCAATGTTGGAATTATTGCTGGGGTTAATATTGGCCCCTTTGTCAAGGAAAAGCTTTGTGACTTCATCATTACCATTCGCTGAGGCCTCTCTCAGTGGTGTCTTTCCATCTTTATCACTGGCGTTTATGTTGGCACCATTGTCAAAGAGAAGCTTTATAGCTACTTTATGACCCTTTTTTGAAACCCGTGAAAGTGATGTTCGTCCCTCACCATCTGGCTCATTAACAACGACGCCTTGCCCGAGCAAAAGCTGTAAAAATCCCACGCGGCCACCTTGAGCAGCCCAAGACAGTGGTGTTCGGGTTTTCATATGCTTCTTCAGACGACCGACCGAGTGGTGCTGCGCTTCGACCTCAGCAGAATGAATTCAAGATTTACTAGTTTCAAATTGTTTTCCGCCCTTAGGAGGTTGAACCAGTACATGGTTCCTGAAATAGATGTCAAAAGCTTTGGTCCAGCTCGATCAATACGGATCTGCTAGTCGATTGCCTTGTCAAACCGGTTTTTATTACAGGGTGCGGGTGATGATAAGGACGCTTGAGATCGACTATGCAGTATACCGCGGAAGACTAAGAGGAATAGAAGTTTGCTGTATATCAACGATATCGCTTTGTGTATTTTTATTCTACAAACTGAGCCACTGTTGTAAAATTCCGCAGCCATTGCCAAAGAAGCAATGGTCACTGCTTCAGCCGCTAGTGTGGTGAGCAACTACCAGCAGAAATATTCTATGACCCAAACATCCGGACTAATTCAGGTAGCTGAGCAGCCAAATTTTAGAGATATTCACATCTACTGTACATCTTGAGTGTAACGAACTGGGGTTGTTACCATTCGCGGATGCCTGACGTAGATGGCATCCACTTAGGCATCCACGCCTACATGTACTTAGTTCTATCTCAGCTTCCTCCTTCTTCTCCTCAAGCTATTACTTTCGTCGAACAGCTACTGTTTCCTTTGCTTCGTATGCTACACCGTACGTTGATCTCTGTGAGCATCTGAGCATCCTCACATTGAGTCTCACGGTCGGGGTGCGGATGCCGGGGCTAGACTGTAGCGTAGAATGGTACAAATACTGGTGCAAGGGGTGGGTTGAGCACCGGAGCTGAGCGATCCAGATCAATAGCAAAAATGTCTCAGGGGCAAGGACCAGGGTTGAGGGGCGAAAAACAAAATTGTGGAAGTGTTGGCTTGGAGGGGGAGGCTGAAGATTATATACTACTACCACCCCGGCACGTATAAAAATATAAAGCGACTGATTTCGATCTAGAATTTTGGTACACTTAACTGGGACATTTTTCAACCAACAATCCGATATGGTGTAGTGGCTAACATCGCCGTCTCTCACACGGCAGCCGGGGGTTCGATTCCCCCTATCGGAGTTAATCTTTTCTTTTTTTATTTGAACTATCGCTATGCTTGTACGTCTAGTAAGAAAGTTATTTTTATACAAAAATATATACAAGTCTCTAAAGGGTTGTCCGGGCAGTAATATATCCTGGACGGCCCATGGGTGGTCAGTTATGTATCCATGGCTCCTGTATCATCCACTCTGCTGGGAATGTTTAGGTCCGATACGATGCGATGCACCGTATCGTACCGATCAGGTGGCGGGGCAGCCATCATGGGATGCACCCACGTGACCCTTATCGTATCTAATCGCAGCTCAAAAATTTTTGGATGTCAATCTAATCCTCAGCATCTCGAATATTGACATATTTCCCAAGTCAATCCCTTTTCGTTCAGTGATATAAATTGTCCCCGGACTCGGAATACTTGGTCTTTTTGTTTCAGCAACACTCCGGGCCTTCAATTGCCATCCCTCCATCAATCTCCCACTGTCCCCTACCCAACCTGCGGGGCATCAATCCGCAAACACACTTTACAAAACAAGCCACCCAACATGAGCGTACAATCAGCAACTGCCCCACCGGCCACGGATGCCACTTCCTACCTTGACCTGGGCATCTCCCTTGCCGTCAACAACTGGCCCGCCCTCGCCCTCGCCGTCGAATCGAACTGGGGCGGCCCCAAATCCAACGATAAGCGCGACTGGCTGTGCGGTGCCATCTCTGAGATGCTGGTTGATCGACCCGAGACCGATGCCGAAGACCTAGAGGATGTCCTTATTCAAGTGATGAACGACGAATTCGACGTCGTTGTGGACGACGATACTGCCGCGGACGTGGCTATTGAGATCATGGAAATGAAGGTCCAAACTGCGCGTGGGGATTTCTCATATATCCGGGATATGTGGGAGAAGTTCCAGATTAAGAGCCAGCAGAAATCTGCTTCTTCAGCGATGTTCAAGCAGGTTGAGTCTAAGGATGAGGATCAAGAGACGGACGGTGATGAGAGTGACGATGGGGAGGATATTGATATGGACGATGCTCCTGCCCTGGTGCGGGCCCCGAGAGAGAAGGTCGAGCCAGAGGTGGACGAGGATGGATTTACGATGGTTAAGAAAAGGTAAACCAGCATGGCTCGTGCCTCTTTTTGATGTTCAGTGATACCATTCGATTGCAGATGTTTTCTAGTGAATTTATTTCCCCATACCCTAGATAGACATGGCATATATCTATTTTTCAGCTGAATACCCAATTCAACTATGCATTAATATGCAACACATTCTGAACTTGACACTGTCTGTCAAAAGACTCAAGTTATTCCCGAGTATATAAAAGATCCCTAGAAACCATAGAAGCCAGGCATCTGGACAGAAAGGTGACCCGCACATGTAAGCCCTTACTTACATGAGTACCCACCTGGACAATAGTTAGCCTCTGGGTTAACTACTCGATTGGCTACGTAATTGCTTATTGGACTGAAGTCTTCATCTGTGTCCTGTCGACAGACAGACTTACGAAAATTGGATGCAAGTATATAGAGTACTAAATGCTTCCTCAATAAGAGCGAAATTCTATGTGGAGGCGTAACAAAATTCATCATCGTTAGTCTTAAGAGACCCTTGGGGAGTATCACTTTTTGGTTCTTTGCTTTTTTTGTGAGGGATATGCACAGTCCGGACTCCGCCTCGTAAAATCCTTTAGACGGTCTCGCCATCCGGCAAGATAAGCTTGGTGATCATACCAATGGCAATGGTTTGACCCTATGAATTCCATGGTTAGCAATGACTTCTTCTCATAGTCTTGTTGAAGGGATCCACTTACCTGGTCACGCAGAGTGAAACGTCCGAGCTGCTCGTAGTCGGTGAACTTCTCAACACAAACCGCACCAGCCGTACTAGTGACCTCAATGCGGGCGATGATAGTTTGGCCCTTGTTGGCGAAGGGAGGGGGCGCTTGCTCTTACGGCCAGTTCCAGGCTCAAGCTTGTGCAGAAGAGCAGCGACGGTGATCTCCTCAACAGCGGAGTGAACGTGGAGAACACAGTTGAAACCAGCAGTAAGAATGTTCTTCAGGTCCAAGATACGGATCTTGGCCTCGAAAGCAGACACACAGTGGACTGGGCGCTTCGGAGAGCACAGCACGAATCCAGGGTAGAAATCTTCTTCTTCCACACCACGCAGACGCATGCGAACCTGGTCACCGCAGGTGGCGTTCGGGATCTCATCTTCGGTTTCGCCGTAAAGAGCGGCAATCTGGACATCAGTGCGGTTAGGCATCATGAGGTAAGTGTTGTTCTTCTTGATGACACCGGACTCGATGCGGCCCTCGCACATGGTTCCCATATCACGGTACTTGGCGCTAATGGGCATCATGAAAGGAGCATTGATCTTGCGCTCCGGGAGCTTGAAGTCGGTCAAATACTCCAGCAGGGATGGACCGTCGTACCACGGGCAAATCTCCTTCGAGACACGGTCCTTGACACCGATGGTGCGCTGGGCAGAGATAGGCATGCAAAAGATGTCGGCCTTCTTGTAGCCAAGAGCCTCCAAGAACTTGGTCACCTTGACGGTACATTCCTTGAAACGCTCCTCGGACCACTCGACAGTTGGGTCATCCATCTTGTTGACAACCAGGACGAGCTTGCTCACACCGGTGTTGCGAGCAAGCAAAGCGTGCTCACGGGTTTGACCGCCCTTTTCGAAACCAGTCTCGTACTCACCCTTACGGGCAGAGATGACGAGACATCCCAAATCGGCTTGAGAAGCACCGCCAATCATGTGCGGGACATAAGACTTGTGCCCAGGGGCATCCAGAATGGAGAATTGGCGGGTGATGGCGCCATCCTCGTGAGGGATCTGGACTTGGAAGAATGCACGGCCGACCTCGACCGTCTTACCCTTGGAACGCTCCTCTTGAGTCAGATCCAGGGCCCATGACAGATACCAGGTTTCACGGCCAGCCTCCTTGGCCTCTCTCTTGTACTTCTCCATAGTTCGCTCGTCCACCATGCCAGTGCAGTACAGTAGAGAGCCACCGAGAGTGGACTTACCAGCGTCAACGTGACCAATGAAAACAACATTGACATGCTCTCGCTTCTCACCGTAGATTTCCTTCAGTGTGGCCTCGTCAACATCGGCCGCCTGCTGTTTAGCAACGGCATTGGCATCACGGGTCGCCTTGGCCGCCTCAGCGCCACGGGCAGGGCTGGAGCGTCCAGGGCTAGAACGTCCGGTGGGAGTAGGGGAGGACTTGCCGCTAGCGGCAACCTTGGGATCCGCCTTCTTGTCGGTCTTCTCGACAGCCTTGGCAGCAGTGACCTTAGCACCGGCCTCGGCAGCAGCAGTGCCCTTCGAGTCACCCTTGGACGTGGAGTCGGTCTTGGGAGGGGTAGGAATACCAAGCGAGAGGACCTTGGTCTTGGGGGCGGTGGTGGAGGAAGTAGCCCCGATCGAAAGGACCTTAGCCTTGGGCGGGGCGTCGGAGGGGTTCGCGGCGGGCTGAGGGACAGACTGGGCGGCGGGTTGCTGGGCAGCGACGGGGGTCTGGCGAGGTTGCTGCTGGAAGCCACCGGGCTGCTGGTTATAGTATTGGTTATATCCAGCACCAGCGCCAGCACCAGGCTGTTGACCATATGCGGCATACTGGCCGTAGGCCTGTTGCTGGGGTTGCTGAGGTTGCTGGTAGCCGTAGGCCTGCTGTTGTTGACCATACTGGGGGTAGCCGTATCCAGCACCGTACTGTTGGAATTGCTGTCCGGGAACGAAAGAATTGGCACCTGGGGTGAAAGAGGCAGCTCCGGGTTGGAATGATGCGGCTCCAGGTGTGAATGTAGGTGCTTGCGCCTGGGCGCGCTGGCCGTTCAGGTTGACGCCCTCGGTCTGCCGAGAGAGCTCATCCTCCCAGGAATCGGGGGTCTGGTTCGACATCGTGTATAAGGGATCCGAGACACAACCAAGGACACGGTAAAATGGCGACACGAGGAGTCGAAAGGGTGGAGGTCTAACAATGAGGGGCCCTCGCGCCTTTGCAAAATCAATTTGGTGGATGACTAAGCTCGGCTCCCCGCTGTGTTTTAGTCAGGTGACGACTCGGAGTATTGTCTCTTTGACAAGTTTCACTCCCAGGTCAGCTAGCTTACCGGTTGAATTGCAGCAAGTTTTTTTTTTCTTCTTCTTTCAATCTGTGGATAATCGAAGTTGTGCAGAAACTGCCGGAGCTTTAAACCCACAACGTTGGGCTTTTCTCAGTGGCGAACTTCATCTCCCAACTCCAATCGGAGCCCCCCAGTTGGGCAGATCTATCGATAAGCCCCTCTAAGTCTACCTTAACATCAGGGAGGCCCAGCACTCTGTTGTTGCCTGAGAGGCCACCAAGACAGCTTTCTCCATCCAATTCCCTCAAGGCTCTTCTCCGTCAAAATGGACATCTTTCTTACTCGCGTATGTCAATCATGCCAATTCTTTCGTCAATCTCAATGCTGGAGCTGGCAGTGGAAACAAGTTTTCTGACTCGATATGTCGTGGACAGCTTACCCAGCAGGCGGCGAACTATGCCATTCGGTATGTGCGACGCAGTTCATTATCATGACATGCATAACAATACTAACAACCAGCATAGATCGGGCGTTGCGATAACGGCCAGCTATGTAATGCAACAATCGGCGCGATTGTTGAAGGTACGCATTGGATGACCTAGCTCTCTCGCAAATTGACTCAGTGCTAATTCTTTTTCTGGATCAGAGGGTAGATGGTGAAGACCGTGAGGTGCTTCTGTCTTTGCAGCAGCGTCTAGAAAGCAAAATCCAGGTATGTGCTAGATTCCATTATCGAAGGTGGATTTTTAGTTGATGTGACTCGCAGGTCATCTCCCCGTCAATTGATATGATCGAAATGATGTATGTCGCAATTAAGAATAACCCCAAATTTTTGAAAGAATATTGACCTCATGAACAGTGCTGCACGTGGAAACACATCGCTTGAATCTGCTGTTGCTCTTACCAAATCCTTGAGATGGGACATCCAAGCCCTGGGCCAAAGATTGGCAAAAGCTGCTGCGTCCGAGGAGTCCAAACTCAAGGCGTCCAAGTCACCCAAGAACGGCATTCAAAATGTCGCGGAAATCAAGCTCATCATCAAAGACATCAAAAGTTTACTCACTAGGATTGAGGACGCGGTGCCACTGATGAACTTGGCCATTACGACATCGGGTGCGAAGTTGTCAACCAATCTGCCATCGACTGTCTCACCTTCCCGACTTTTACAATCAAGCACCTTCTTAACTGCGGGGGATACACAGTATGCGATGTCACAAGCTCAGGCCGTTCAAATTGGACCAACATTTACACTGTCTATGTACATGCTTTTTGCGGGACACCTGCGACCCCACGATGAAGAATCCATTCGCGAGACAACGTGGAAAGAAGTGATGCACAAGGCACGAGTCAAACTTCGACGTGTTCCGATGGGTCTTTATTACTCAGGTGGCGATCCCAAGTCCCCGCAGTTTCCAAGCTCAGCTGGCGCCGACGAATATGCTTATCAGGTCCTCATTGTCGAAGACTTGGATGACGGAAGAGTTCACACATTTGAAGAGAATGAGGCCCAACCCCACGCCTACGAAGGAATTTCAAGCGCTGGTATCCGAGAAATTCTACCGATTCACCAAATCTCCAAGATTTTCTATGCCGACACGGGTCGGATTCTCAATATCAGTCCTGATGGGGAAACAAATAATCCAGTCATATTACTCAAGAGGGACTTGAACGCATTACCACCGCGTCATATGATGGAACGTGCCGACTTCGAGGACGAATATGCTTCTCAATCATCTGAGGCCGAGCCCGACGATGACGAACAAGCACAGCTCGATGCACAGCTGGGTGGAGGCGGTAACCCTGAACACGAGAGTTTCGGCTCACTCCACGAGGACGCAATACCAGAGGAATGGCGACTACCCTCCGGTCTAGATCCGGAATGGATTGCATTCGAAGTCTACAATGAAGACCAAAGTTCAGACACGGAATCCGAACCCGATAACTCCAATGCACGGGAACAAGAAACAAACATTGATCCCAACATGATGCACAAATTATCATTGAATGATAAGAAACATAGCCCATCATCCTCTCAGTCAGCCAGCGCCACAATAACAACCGTCTCCAACCCTCTCTTCGAAAACATCCGCACCTCACTATCTCTTCTCGAAACTCTCCTCCGTCTCACGTCTCTTCAACAGTTCCAACAAAAGTCCCACCTCGGAATTAGTGACGAACTACTCAACTTCTTCCTCGAGGAATCCTCCTCGACCGGTGCCGGCGGCGACGAGCAACATCGTCAACGCCTTCGCTCCGAAGCACGTCGCCGTGTTGGGTGGGACCCTTACAACGAGAGTCCTGTCAAACTCCGTGGTGAGGATTACCAATACAGATACGGAAGTGAAAGCCCATCTGCTTTCACACGTGAAGGAGAGATGTATTCCCCCGCGAGGGGCTTCGAAATGCGTTCCAGAGAAAGTACACCTGAGACACCACGAGGAGGATCGCCAAGTGTCCGCCCTGATAGAAGAAATCCTAGTAATTTGCGCGGAATGACCCCGGCATATTCAGATGATGCGGAGTCAAGACAGTCATCGCCTTTGGCGAAGAAACCAAGTTCTTCGAGGAACAGAGATGCAAGGTCCGGAACGGCAGAGTAAGGCGCGGCCGAACTTGCCAGGATGTATGAATATGCTCAGAAATGATGGTAGCGATGTGCTTTAAGACTAGACCACTGAAATTTGGAAGCTACTGCTTCCGCTACGAGATTCGCCCACATTTACCATCCCAATTCCAAAGGTACATTAAACAGCTATTTTTATGTAGATGTTCCAATCAGCCGCAACTAGGGTTCTCAGAGTAGCCTAGACTGATAAAAGATGGGATTTGCAACGGAGACATTCGCTGCGAAGTGATATGTGAATAGAAATGTGCATGCTCTGCCAACTGAACGGACAAGAGAAAGATACAAAACATCGATCGCTGAAGTCAAGTTAGAAAGAACAAGACCGGAAACAAGGAAAAAAGAATAGTCCTGATAACGCCCGACCCAACATTCACAACCCAAACTCCAGGTAAAGTGGCGACTATCAGCAAGAAAACCGGCCGCTTGAGTACCCAATAAAAAAAAATTCAGGTCGGATCACACCCCTCGCCGGATGTTTTTTGACCTATGGTCTCTGATATAACTAGAGGCCATATGTTTATTCCCAGTCCTCGTCACTATCGTCGGCCTTGGAATCGGTGGTTGGGCTCTTCTCTTTGGGGCTTCCCGGGTTGCGGGTGGTGGCTCCGCTCACGACATCGTAACTCGATTCGCTTCCTGCTTGAGACTCCTGGTCGTTGGACTTGCGAGGCTCGGCCTTTGGGGTATCGGCATCCTTGCTAGCAGCGGGGTTCTGGGAACCAGGACGGACTTGCGGAGTGGATGGTGACTGAGACTCAGAATCAGAATCGTCGTCCCAGCCGACTTCCTCTTCTTCTTCAGCGGTAGCACCTGTTCAACCAAAGCATATTAGTATGTAATTACGAAATAAAAACCATTAGGGACTCGGCGGTTATATTACCTTTCAGAAGCTCCTTGCGCTTCTTCTCCTCGGTCTCAATGACCAGGCGCAAGAAATAGTACCGGGTCCAGAAATCAGCATACTCGACCGTCTCAGGGACGAGCTTCTCCATTGCCGTGCGCAGCTCGGGGTACTTTTCGAGGTCGGCGGCGATCTCGTCGGTCTTGCTCTCGACATTGAATTCCTTCTTGAATTCCGGGAACTTGTCACTAACAGGTTCCTTGGTGAAACTGTCGAGGTTCGAATGAATGACGTGCAGCTGGGCTTCGAATCGGGTCGCATGAATGACTCGCTTGCCATCGGCATCCTTGCTCTCGAACAAAAGCTTGCCCGACTCGTCCGACTCAGGTGGCACAATGCTCACAGCTTCGCGCAGCTTTTGGCCGATATTCATTCCGAATCGCAGGATCGCTTCATCAGCCGCTTCCTCGGCCTTTTCGATCTCCTTGAGTCGTCGGGCGGCCTCGGCCTTGAATCGGGACATGAATCCCTCTCCACTCGAGCTGCCTGCCTCAGTGTCCTCCTTCTGCTCGCCCTCCTTTGCGGTCGTGGCTCTGGGCGTAGTCGCTTCGTCGTTCGGCGATTCACCGCTCGATACCATAGCTGCGGTGTTGAGGGACAGCCCCTTTGTTTGGTCGACGATTGTGTCCCTCAAGCTTGAGAATCCCTTCACTGCTTCCTCGCTAGCGGAGGCATATTCCTGGCGAGCTCCCTCGTAGTAGGTCTCGCCTTGCTTGCGAACATTGTCCCAAAGGCCGCCGATTCGGCTGCCCCACGGACTGGCGGAGAAAGCGCGGAATGTCTCTTGCAGCTCGGCGTTGAGATCGTGGCTAGTGTTTTTGGTGTCGGATTCGGTGTTGGAGGAGGAGGAACCTTCCTCCTGCTTAGAGGTAAGAATTTCCTCCTGGATGTGGTCGTACGCGATATCCATGGTGTTGTGGAGGAGTGAAGAACAACCTCGAATCAACAAGTGAAGTCGAGTTGCCCACTCCGCGTTCGTCAACTGACGGGCCGACCGCCCCGCTTGGCTTGGCTTGGCACGACGCAGCTAAAGAACTAACATGAACATCAACAACTTGCACAGATGGACAGGATTCAATAAAGTGCTGTTTTTTTCAAGGTTTACAAGACCAGGTAGCAAAAAAACATATTGTAAATTCATAAAAGGGTATCTTTCATAATGGCATCTAATCTCTCATTGGTCCGGCAGACTATATGGTTCCCCAACACTATCTTGACTTCCCATCCAAAAATTGGGAAGCGCAACACTCTCCATCACACTTGACGTCAACAATTGGCTGCGTGAGAGCACATTGCCAGGACCAGACTCTTCCCGGCGCCCTGGTTGAGATGATTCAACTTGGACAACAGTACCAGGCGCACGTGGTCGTTGAAAGACATGATCCGTCTTGTCAAGGCTGCTCTGTTGTTCCCGGATAGGCGATGATTCAGGTACAAGTTCGGTTTGATCCGGTTCTTGACTTTGAGTTTGGGATTGTGAGAAGGGATCCGGGAAGTTCTGAGGACGCAGGGCTCGATGTTGAGGATATTGAGTATTTCCTTCGTTGGGAAATAGCTCGGATAGCTTCTGGGTGTTAAGTGTTGGAACTGGTTCATGTGGGAACTGGGTCGCCGGCTGCACTCTCTGGTAATAAGCCGACACATCTGACATCGGGGGTTCAGAAGGAGGATCGAAATCCATATCGCCTGGGGGCTGGGTTTCTGGCAAGGGTAGTTCTTGCGAGTCGTCGCTCTGTAAGCGTGGACTGTCTTCCACTAGGCGTGGAACACTTTCACGTGGCTTTTGCGCTCGTGGTAAGTTTGGTTGTTCATCCTCCATGTCTTCAGATTCACTTGCGCTCGAGTCGGCATCGGTTTCATACACCACGGTCCGTTCTCTTTGAATACGCTGAAAATTCGACCCCTGGTCTGCGGGTAACGCTTCCAGGGAACTGGGACCTGTTTCGGGGAGACATGGCCGCGCGACGTCTGCAGATATTTGCGGTTCTTGGACCAACGAACCTGATCTATTTGGGGAGATGTGTGTTGGTGTTTTGAGCTGTGATGTACCCGCAGGGCCCTGCGTCTCAATCATTGGTCCCGCACTCGGTGATTCCTCCTTGATCAGATCTCCTTGAAGCCTGAAGTTCAAGGGTTTTCGTTTCGTCGGCGAGAGAGTGGCGCATCTAAATTGTGATGATGTGATAATTGCTAGTCCAGGACTTTCCGGAGATTGGGAAGAGGGAATTTCGAGTTTCCGAGATTTTTGGGGCGTCAAGGGTAGTCTTGAGCTCAGCGAATTCTGCTGATCTTCTTGAAGACTGGTATCTTGAGTTTCACCAGACGTGAGCGGTTCGCCTGTAGAGAGATCCAATTCTTGTTCAAATATCCTGCGATTGCGTTTTGAAGATGTTGCAGGTTCGGGTTTAGCTGTTCTCTTGCTGGTCTTCGGCGTCTGCTCCTCTTCCCCGGTAGGGCGCTGCTCGATCGTTGAGTCCTGGTGTGGCGTTTCTATGTATCCCATGTTCGAATCGTTATCGTCGGACTCGTCTATCGGAATGTATCGCCGCACGAAATTCATCTGCGTGAGGGTTTTGTCTCGTTTTGTATCTGGTTTCTCCATGGATTTCCGTTTGCCCTTCCCAGCTCCAGGTACCTTCGGTGCCTGGCCTCTTCGAAGGCTCTGGCCCCGATCGAGCACTCGATTCCCCATCCCGTTGGCTTTCCTTCGTCTCTTTGGGTGGTCGTCGTTTGTTTCGAATCTTGTGAAATTTGCTCGGGTCCGCAGCGAGGGTCGATAATCGGTCTCGCTCTCAGATCCATCATCTAGCTGCGCGGATTCTTGCCTTTGATGCGTAGCATCGGGCTGTCCTTCTGTGATATAATCCAGCTGGTCATTGTCCAGATGTGTCGGCTGGGCGACGAATTCAATTTGCGTAAGAGTCGATTGGGATCTTGTAGGGGGAATGAGCCCCTTTTTAACGCTGTTGCAGGCGTGCGTACTGCTGGAGATGGCGTTATCTTTGATTTGGCGCTTCTCGAGTGGAAGGTTGTTGCCGGAGTAGTGGGCTGTTTCGGGGTGTGAAATTGATTTTGGAGTATATCTGGTGATTTTCCGGTTCGTTTATGTTGTGTCATCGCAATAAAGCAGGCAGCGGCATGAGGACTCGAGAATAGGCAACTTGGTAGGAGCGAAGGTTCTGGCCGATGACACTGAAGATGTGCTGCCTGGCTGCCAAGGCCCACCGCGTCGACGCGTTTAGTGAACTATAATTTTGGCCTCAGGCATTAAGGCCAATAAATTTACTGTTTAAACTCAGGCAATCATCTGGTAATCTACATCATCTTGATTTTTAGGACTTAGATTTTTCTAAATGTTTTTTTTTTGGAATGTTCACTGAGAATAACGATTTATATGGCATGTTCCAGGTGCAGCTCACAATTTCCAGGGCGCATGCAAACGACTAATCAAACATGAGCCAATCTGGAACTGCATCCTCATCCTCAGGATCCTCTGATAGTAGAGAACCCTTTTCAATCTCGCTATCAGACTCTACTGGGGACGAGGGCTTGGGCTCAGGTTCAGGCGGAGAAGGCGGCCTGGAGAGAAACTCCACACTGGCAGACTTCGAGTCACGGTTCGTTGAAGAGTCAACAGCAAGGGCAGCTTGCTCAGATGATCCCTCAAGTCCTTGTGGGTTACCGATGTTGGCCTTCAAGGTATTCTCCTTGACCACTGGCTCAGTATTGTTTGGAATCACAACTAGTTCGTATCTGGGGGCATTTGAAAGGCCACGATGTTTTGCCTTCTCTGGACTTGACAACGAACGTGTGGCCGTTGGAGGTATAGCAAAGCCATCATCTTGAAGGTCATCGGTGGTAAAACCGCCGCCAGAATCTTCATTTTCGCGGACGGACGTATCTGATTCAGTCGGGGCTTTATCGGGAACAAATCCACCTCCTAGAGCATCATCTTGATGGCTGGATTCCTCCACGGAATGCGACATCATATCCATTCTTGGTTCAGACGCGAAAGAGTCTTGGGGAGGACTTTGTGCTGGCTGGTCAGGATCAGGAAAAAATCCTCCCCCGGCGTTATCTTTGTCAATGCTCATATTTGGGGATGTGCATCTGGTTCCTCGTCCTCGGCTGCATAGCCCTTGACTCTCTCCGAAATCCTAAGCTTGATCAAGAACAATCGCCAAAGTCGCAAGGCTTCGGCACTTCTTGCGTCAAATAGGGCCTGCTGTCTGTCATCTGCAAAGCCTCTCAGCACTTCTGCAAGTGCTTCTTGATACTCGGTGGCAACCACAATTCCCCCAATACTGCTGTTCCCCGACGTCCTTTGAAGTCGAAACCAGTAACAGCATCCGCATAGTCGATTCCGAGAAGACGAGCGGCTCGAGCGGCTTCCGGCTGCTTGATGTGGATTCCCCCAGGAGGGATCATACTTGGAACGTATACATCCAAGTTGCCATAGCTGTTTTTTGGTATTCTCCCTTGGACCACAGGTGGAGGGTGGTATGTGTGAGTTTGGTATTCTGCATAAAGTGCCGTTTGCTCCGGTTCGTCTGTCTCGTCATCGCTAGTCACCCCGCCCTTGGGTCGTATTGCATTGACTCGCTTGAGGGGTTGCTCGCCCACTTTCACATCTCTTCCCATGCGATACCATTTGTCTGCACTGCGTACCGTATGTACGTCAGATCGACGATATATCGAATCCAAGGTATCGCTGTTCGCACCACTCTTGCTCAAGCCAACATGTCCAATGACACGCTTGGGAAATATCACCTCGTTACGACGTATGTGCCGTTCAAGTGCGTAGACAGGATGGTCCTTAAAATCCAGAATATTTCGTGGCATCGGTTCAGCCGCAGACTTCGAGGTCAACTCGCTGATCTCCAACTCATCTCTATCCTCGAAGAAAGGTCTTTCATATGCTTTCAATGCATGTTCCCACCACTTTTCTCCATGACGGGTTGACTCCACTCGCAACTTCCGCGTTTTCGCATTGAAAGCCTTCGCATAGCGCCTCGTAATGTCTCTCGCAGAAGCATCGTCTTCAAAGCCAACCACGTAGTTCATCATGTTATATGGATCACTTGCCGGTGGTTCAAACTTGAACGGCTTTCCCAGTGTTTTTGTCACAATGGGGTCGACTGAGACCCATTTTTGCATGGCTTCATTAAATGCCTCAACCCAAAACACAGGATAAGAGGACTCTCGAGGAGTCGGGATAGAACCTAGAGAGGTTAGTTTCGTTTCGGGCAAAATGAGCATCTAGGATCCGTACCTAGACGCGCTGGAGACTGAATAGAGCGCGGTTTGAATTCAGGACGACCAAGACGCCGCACTCTTGAGGCAGATGGAGAGTCACTGGCTTTCATCCGCTCATCCGTAGACGTTTCATGGTCATCGGAAGAAATAACTATGTATTCCAGTCCTTTTTTGGATGGTGTCATGTCCTTGACCGTTCCAGAGAATGGGAGCGCCTGTAGTGAACAGACGAGCCTTGATTCTATGGCAGCTGAGCGCAGCAACGCGCAGAATAATTGTGCACCAAAATCCCGGGAACCCTGCATCATTTTGGCCTGTGATATAAAATCCTCCCTTGACAAAAATACCTCAGCATTGGACATAATAGATTCCTATCTTTCATCAGCATCAGCACACTCTAATAGATACTTTGAGAGCGTGATGCATACCACTTTTTGCTTAAGCTGCTCTTGGCCCTCCGCCCAGTGTGCGCGCTTTAACCCTGGCTTGGTGATGCGAAATCTTCGACTGAAGATATCTGCTGCCTGGTTTAGGCCATCGACAAAGGTTGTGGATCTGGAAAATTGTGGCTTGCTTTCGTCTGGATTGAGAAGTGCCAGGATCCTTTTCGGCAGCATCCTTTTCAGAAATTTCTATGTTATTGTGAGTGCTGCACAAACAGTCAAACGAGCAGGCAATCACATACATGAATTTCATCATCGTTGCACCATCGATTCCTTAAACTAACATGACCTAAAAGGCACAGAAGGTGGGATTTGTGGACGTCCAATCGTATTTTCTTCTCGGCCGCTGTGATGGGTTTTCTCTTTGGGATAGTTTTTTTTTCTAGCCTGAGGCTCTTGTCCCAATGTTATCTCCAAAGGTTCGTCGTTTTCCTGTACTGCCAAGGATGCACTGGACGGCCCTGGTATAGGTTGTGGAATGTCGACATCTTCCCACTCGACATCGGATTCATCTGAGCTGCCTGAATCATATACCGTCTGGATTTGCTGTGTAGATTCATTGTGCGACGTCTCATCTGGATCCTTCGGAAGTGACGAATCCAGGGAAATGGCTCTCATGTCGCCCCTTCGGCGTCGTTTGATCGGCCGGTCTTCGTGGAACTGGGCAGGATCTCGAGATTCGGCCTCGGCAAGCATCTCGTTATACGCTTCCTGGGTTCGTTCGTCTCGTGTCCTCTCATTGAGATGGCGGCCACGAGATGCCCTGTCCCGTGTAGAGCGGGCTCGGGACTGGCGCGCCATGCCTCACGGATGATTCGCGCATCAAGACTAGTAAAATCAATGCGCGCAAGCAGGCGCGCAGGCAATATTCAATATTCTATGCGAAGAATCCACCTACTCCGACTCCCTCCTCATGAGCAGGTTGAAGAGAAATGGATCAAGGTGAGTCAGGCTCGTCGTATTGTCAGACTGGAATGGTCGACTCGGAGTTGTTGATGGGGTGGGGCTCTGCGTCATAACGGCGATCCAGTTTCTCCGAGGCTCCGTTGACCGCAGTAGACCTTTGAATGTTTAGGCATGTTGATTTTAATTTCCTTTTACAATCTAGCAGGGAGCATGGCGTCATCACTAGTTGATTTTTATCCATAACACTAGCGGCCCTAGGGGTTTCCGGGTTTCGTAAGCATTTTAAAACTGATCCGACTCTGGAGGTCCTAGTCCCTCAGAGTCTCGACATCGATAGATACTGCTACTAACATATATAAACTAAGCTTGGAACCCTAAAAACTCATAAATAAACGCAAATGTTCCAAGGTTCCAGGGTTATTCCTTCAGCCATTTTAGCACCGGAACCATCAGTGCTGTGAATTTTGCCAAAATACTAGTACTGCAAGTAGCCCGGAGTACTGTCTCATCCATGAAAGAAAGAGAAACAGCGGTCAAATAGTAGTACACAGTCCATCCATGGATGATGTAGCCACGAAGATACCTAGGCCTTGCGTTGATTGCTGCCACATTGGTTATAACTTGTTACATGAAAATGACCGACTACTAGTAGTATGAATGATAGCTGGGCTGTAAGGCCAGATAATTCAGCGCATTGGATTTTCGCACATTTTGATTCACCAAAAGAGACAGGCAGGCAGACTCCATACATATCCAGTAGAAGCGATAAATCTGATAAATGGAGGATTTAATGGCCTTTCTCGAGAAAATTTCGCTTTACTTCACAGTATTTGCCTCACGCCGAGATTTCCAGGTCCAATATCCGGCCTAGCCCGTGACGTTGTGGCCACGGACCTTGCTATTGTGTGGCATGTTGACTTGGGATCGATACGAGGAAGTATTGTACAGATGACGATGGTCGGAGCCTCTAGACAATGGCACAGTGATCCAGCTGAATGACAAATTGTTATCGATGTTGACTACCATGATTGGCTTTCGCTTTACTCTAGAGCCGCGTCCAGCCCGTCCATCCCGTCCGACCCATAGTTGATGACAGTGGAGCATCTTCGGACCAGTTCCTGACTGATCTTTAACTGAAGGAATGGGTGACTTTATTGGTGGGTCTGTTACGTTTGATATCACAGCACTAAGTGATCGAGGTGGACCTTTTGTGTTTCGTTCTTGCACTTGACAGCGACCGAGCCGTGTCATTCATGCATTGCCATGCGCGTATGCAATGATCCGATTGGGTGAAGACCCCACTTGGGCAATGTAGATGCTTCCTGAATTTTGCACACCAGGCTGCAATTCCAAATACTCAAACTTTTCTAACTCTGATTATGTCCCACACCACGTCCATCAAGGTGTCCCACCACTAGCCTTCTCCAGGTGGAACGTGCTCGTAACCGAGCTCAAGGATCCGTGTGGTGGACCACTGCCAGTGATCATTCATCAACCCCGCAGCAGATGCTCCAATTATTGCCAAGTTGAATTCACAATACTCCGTTGTCTTCGTATTGTATAAAGTCTTATTTAATTATTCTCACCCCCTACCAACGAACCTTCTGGCCCTACCTCAATAGCGGTGGGCTATCCCGTGGAGAGTGCACTAGAAGCCTAGCGTGTCTGTCAGGGAAGTGGTCTATTCCACAAGAGGATTTCCAGCTTTTCAGCCACGAGACACGTACTAGCCCCAACGGCGGAACTAGTCGAATATTAATGGGGTTATGGCTTGTTCTTAGTATGCAGGTTCCGGCCGAAGCACATATATTCTCGGAGTTCAAAGCCGTGGCGAGCGCAGAGGTATTACTAGTATGTTAGGGTGTAGGTACATAAGTATATGCTGCGGAGTACGGAGTAGCTATACGGCGGGGAAATAGGCAAGCTGACCCGTCGGGTTGATTGATTGACTACTTCTGAGGTCTTTTGTGATTTGTTCTTTGGATTAATCTTTGAAGACGACCATCCGAGTTCAATGTAACTCAACTGGAGATCCAGCTGTATTTTTTTTAGATCGTCGGTTCTGTGGCCTGTCTGCGTTCTGGACACATCTTGATCTGCAGGATACCGGGCCTAAGTCACCAGTGCAGCGCCATGTTCCGACCCGGGTTTTCACGGCAGCCAATACCTGCTAGGAGACCGCGGTAAGCCGCGAGGATACGGGGTCATGGTGTGCTCTTCGAGTACCAGAGTGCTCCACGTTCTCCAATATCGCTTTCTTTGTTTGATTGCAGAGCAGCCAAGACTAGGCCCCGCAGCAGCCCACAGGCCATCTTTTCCCAGTGCAACCGGTGTTTTTGACCAGCTTCCCCAAGCGAGGCCCCCCTCAGTACCAAACACGAGTGTCTCCACCGCGGGATTATTCGGTCGCGAACCTAGCTAGGAGACATTGGACCTATTACAAGCCAGAAAGAAAGACTTCCCAAATCATCCTCTGTACCATGGGGTTGATCGTTGTTATGACTTCAAACAGCCCTTCTAAGTAGACCATGAAAATATCAGAAGTATAATTTGATCATCGGGAGACCCATTCTTGAAATTTGGCTCTTGCGCCGGCGTTACCGACACGATGGGACCCGTACACTTTCCTAACAGTCGGGTCGAGGCAACCTGTTTTGACTCGTCCAATTGTGAATAAAGCCCCCAGGTTCCTTCTGGATGGGATCCCAGCACCATGGCAACTATTTCTTTATTTTTGGGATTTTTTGCTGGGGTTCTTTGTTCGTTTTGACGCTTAATATGCATATTTTTATTTTTGATCATTTCTCCCATAAATTATTTGCATAAAAGTCTTTTTTTTTGGTTTGTTTCTAGGTCGACTAGTCAGGTTCCGTATGGTATTCCCTTTGATGTTCGGGGTACTCCGAGTACAGAGCTTACCCCTAGCTTAGGTATTGAGAATTTCATGATTAATTCTCCCACTTGGGCCACCATCCTGGATGATTTCCACCACCCCCGAGGTCGGTGCTGCAACAAAAACCCGGCCCAGCCCCCAACGGAGTATATTAGCGGGTGGGGAATAGGTTCTTCGCTAGTCTGCCCTTCATGCCCAACCCCGCCGATAATGGCTAGGCACCTTTTGAACCGGGATCGACACTTCGCACAATCAACGCATCAAATATATACAAGGCGAAGAATGACTTATCAAGTACATGATCTGGGGTTGGAGTGAAGTTACTGAAGTGATACCACATATGAGTGATGAACGCGAAGTTCGTCATATTGCATAAGGTACGATCCGGCACGAGTCGCTAAACATGGATCGGTGTAGAGGGATCAGCGTAATGGGACGTGGATGATTTTTCGGAGGTCTCCAAATCCCCAGGCTCCGGGCTGGAATCTTGGAATATGGGGCATCGAACCCTCTTTGACCCTGTATGACGGACGAGGCGCTTTGCTGGGGTCGAACAGGTACAGACTTTGGCCTGTGGCCTATGAATATCATATCCCACAAACAGACCGTGACCTAGTCGTGTTGCACCGTCGGTCACGAAAATTATACTTTCCTGGAACACACCTTGTACTACTCCGTAAAAAGGAAGAAAGTCAAACTTTGAAACGACTCCCGACGCGTTACAATGCGACCTTGGCCAGGTGTCTTATCCGATGAAATTCAGTATTTTTGACATATCAACTTTCCCACCGCTAAATAGGCATGTGGCAGGAGCTTTAGGAGCTAAGCCCAACTCGGAAGAAGGACCATTTCTCCGGAGGGGTCTCCGACCTGTCATGAAAATACAACCAGGCGATTCCAGATTCCAGATTCCAGGGCGCCCAATCTGTTCTCACCTGCATTCGGGATTTGAATATTCGAGTGTCGTTGACCCCTACGGTGATCTTGGCACGAGGCAACACTCCATCATCAAGCTGTCAGGTTGGGTATGATTTACAAATACACTGGCAAGCTCGTCGTGTTTGTCGTGACAGCTCCATTGAATGTTGCTTCCTCCATCGCTCCGGGGCCGAAGACCGGCGGTACCAGTGGTCGATCAGAGATTCTGTCATTGTCTTGCCCAGTCGGCTCTCGATTTAGTTTAGTAGCGGCGGAGAGCTACATTCTCCATCCCATGTGAGTAATAATTGAGTATTATATTGACCCGATGTTTCTAGTGCATACTTCTTTTCCTCTCCCAGAGGCTGATGCTTTGGGCTACTACACTCCCTCTTAGGCAGGTCACCACACTGTCGGAGGCCCAACCTGGTAGAGTGTTTGTTCGGATGATATTCGAAAGGAAATTTGCTTTTTGAATTTCATTCGCGACCGGGATAACCCTACAGGACTGAACATACATATGTTGGAGAAGAGGGCTGGTTTCGCGGGCGAAATCCGAGTTCCACGCCAGTGGTTTAGGCTGGTTGACAATTCCCAGCCAGCTGGGACAAGCGACCATTGGCCGATCTGCAACTGTACAAAAGAACTATAGTACTTTCTTATATCCCCTTGTTTGCCCAGGGTATGGGGTAGTAGTGGAATATTCGAAAAGAACCGACGCAAGCAATATGTAAGACTTATTGATGAAAGTTTACTGCCTCCAGGAAACCTTGTAGGGTGCGAGTACAGTAGTAAAGAACGAGTCGGACCACCAGGGCTCCATCATCTGGATTGATTGGCCATTGACGACAATGACAGTGACGATGAACCTCCGCGGATGTGTTCAGGCAGGGGAGGCTCGATTCCAATCCGAACGGGAAAAACCTTGGATCGCGCTCGAACCGCCGAACAGGGAAAGGATTGATTGGCGTTTTATACGTGCGTATTGTGTATGTATTTCATTTCACCTGCTCCGCTTTTGAAGATCAACCCTCACCTCACTGGCGAAAAAAAATTAATTAAATCGCCAAAAATTGAAAATTCAAATCCAGCAAAATCAAATCAAATAGAGTGTGAATACTGAGAATTGTCTTATTCTCCCCCCCCTCTGGCTATCTACTATCTATCTCTCTTTTTTTTTTCAACTCTCTTTTCTCTTCCCTGTCCCGTCGGATTCATTGACGCGGTCTTAGGGGGTTTCATTCCAAACCCAAAGCGTCTCATTCCCCGCCAACTTTTGACGTCCATGGATGCCCACTGTTCGGTATAGTTTGGCTCAACCTTGTACCCCATCCATGCACGCACTTGTACTCCACTCCTTCCCCTCTGCGGGCCTTGTTTTTCGCAACATTTTCAATGTCGATCTCCGGTCAGCGACTGATTTATAGTTGTCCGGATCGTCCTGCCGTCCTGCCAAACTATAGCTTAACCCAAGCCGTCGGGTTCACAGAAGCCCCCCCCAAACCACTGGCAAAGGGACAAAACCACCAACTAGGAACTGGCCGTCGCAACCTCGTCACGGTTTTTTTTACTAGTACTCGAACCTCATTTTTATTTCTCCGAACACCGAATCCTTCTTGGCCAGGCCACACCGCGAATGTCGATCCAGTGTGGGACATGAGATAGAGGATTGGCATTTTCCCTGGCCGAATAGCGCGCATTCACTAAGTACTAGCTTCTCGCCCAACGTGTGCCGTCACTGAGACAAGCCACCGGTGATTGGAGAGCTACGCAAGAGACGTTATATTATTCCCACAAGTTTGACCGTTCCAACATCCTGGCGTCGGTTGCTATCCCCGTCCCACCCTTATTAGGGTTGGCTGTGCAAATCCCACCTCCCTCTGTCGATCCCTCTGGATTTAGACTTGAGGCGATCAGGATGGGCCCAAAATTCTCCGTTAGTTCTCCTTTGCTTCCTACAAAAAGTCTCCTGCCCCGCCATGTCGGTTCTATCTCCTTCCTATCAAGCCGACTTTGCCCAATTTCTACCAACAATGTATCAAACAGTTTACCTGCAGATGCTGACGCAGAAGATGCAGGAAACTAAAAGCGATTGGTATGATTCTGTTCTTTCCTTTGTCGAGGGAGCAAATATAACAGTTGCTCTTAGCATGTCGCTCCCCATATACCTAATGTGGAAACTAACAGAAGAGCAACAGTGAAACGCAGTCGCTGACCGACAGCGTAACGGACTATCCAATGGAAAATGGACGGAGGTATCACAGGTACCATGAAGGAGGTAGGTGGCTGAGCTCCGCCCGCGTCAACCTGTACGCTCCGTCTAACCTATCGGGAACAGCCTACCCTTATCCCAACGATGAGCGAGAACTTGACCGTCTCGACATGCAACATCATATGTTAAAATTGGTCATGCAAGGACAACTATACCATGTCCCATTGAAAGACCCGAAGGAAATTCTCGACATCGGCACCGGATCTGGCATATGGCCGATAGAGATGGGTATGATTACTTATTCCCAGCAAAAAGGTCGTGTGTTACGTGCTTGAGAACTCATATCTGGCCCCTTCCACTTCATAGCTTCTTTATTCCCCCGTGCCGCGATCACAGGAACGGATTTATCACCGGTACAGCCTACGGAAGTCCCGGAAAATGTTCATTTTTTGGTCGACGATGCCACAGAGGATGAATGGCTATGGGATACAGATCATTTTGATCTTGTTCATATCGGCCACATGATTGGAGCTATGCCATCATTCAAACGATTATTACAAACAGCTTTCAAATACCTGAAGCCCGGTGCTTATCTGGAATGCCACGAAATGGACCCAAAACCCAAATGCGATGATGGGACGATGCCGCCCGAAAACCCCGATGGCTATAGCGCTTTCGCTCTACACGACTGGTTTGACCTAAATATACGGTCGGGCAGAGAAGTTGAGCCCGCAAGGCAATTTAGAATCGCTCCTCGGATCGAGCGATGGATGAAAGAGGTCGGGTTTGTGGATGTTAAGCAACGAGTTTTCAAGATTCCGACAAATACCTGGCCGACCGATGAACACTTGAAAGAAGTCGGCAAATGGAGCGAAAGCAATTGGCTTGAAGCCTTGTCAGGCTGGTCATACAAACCATTTCTCGCACTGGGATGGTCAAAACCAGAGATCGAGGTCTTTCTTGTGAATGTGAGGAAGAGTATACAAGATCGAAACGTGCATGCATACTTGGACTTTTACGTTGTGACAGGGAGAAAACCTTTCCCGGAGAAGGGAAGTTCCTGAACAACGAAAACAAGACGAGTTTCTTTTTCTTTCCATTTGACGATTTTGAGACTTTCCTCGATACCGTTTGATTATTTCTGCATTCGGATGATTGGCTTGATATACCATTGGCGGAAGGACATCATTTTGCATGCATTTTACTGGCGTATGGCTGTCAACTCTTTTGCATATATTTCTCTGTTTTCTTTTTTGCTGGATTTAAAGAGGTTGTTTCCTTTTACCCCCTTTCTATCTATGAATGCATAGTCTTGATGAAGAGTGATGATGAGAACGGGGTGAAAGACGATGGACGTGACGCTTAATAGTGGTGTGTATAGTCTGATGCATTATGAATATATATATCATGATGAATAAATCCCGATTCTCGGAGACAACATGAAGATCGCAGCGCCGGCTGTATTTAATACTCAGTACTGCGTTGTACTTTTGTATTTCTATACTTCGATTCGACTCGACTAATTTGTGGCCATTCATTGGCCAGTCAAATTGCTGAGTCACCATATGCCAAGACTTGCCGACCCGCGCAGCAGCCAAAAGTCGACGCTGTGATGTTTCCGATCTCCCAAACCACCAATTGGCCTCGCATGTGCCATTAATTGACTCATGTCTTTTGGTAGGCATGCCTGCCGGCATGCTCTAAATCCGCCATCGGCCCCGAGCCTCGATCATCTCTGGATTAGCGACGACTTGCTCGCGACGACCTTCCGTCGGTTTGCGAACGGACAACGACGCCATGGGAGCTGTGTCCCCGGACCCCTAGAGGCACGAAGACGCCTTGCCAAGCGGAGAAACACCGCCCTCGCAGGATTGGGTGGCGGTCCGGTTGAAGATATCGCGTGTTTATTTGGGCGCAATGGACGGGAGCATATGAAGTGGACCGATCATCCGTGGCAGCGAGCGCCTCTCGACACCCAAGGTATGTCCCGCGATAAATGGCGGACCAGCAGAATCTTGAATCTAATTTCTCAAAAGGTTTAGGCAGCTATGCATTTGGCACGTCCGAGATTCCCCTGCCTCTTGAGAATCACAATTCTGAGCCTGTCGAACCTCTCATCTCACATAATCGCTCCTCAACTTTCGCTTCAACCCCTCCGACCCGCACACAGGCCCTGCAGCAATTCCTAGAACAGGGCGACTGGAACATTGAAGATGCTCGAGACATCATTCGTCAACTGCATATCGACCTTCAGCGTGAGCCGGAATTCAGTAGGCAAATCTTCGATCAAATCATTCAGCATTCACCGGTGGACCTTGCACAAGCAGTCGCTTTCCTGGAAGATCCATTCCTCAACACATATGGATCTGGGAACTATCTTGCCGCCGTGGAGTTGTTTGCGCGGAGCAAGAAAAAACGATCGAGCAGAATTGCGATTCTTAATACAGTATCACGCGGACTAGAACTAGGTTTGGTCCCAACGAGTGAGCTGTGTTCGATTATCCAAACTCTGCCAAAAATACTCATCGAACGAAACAAGACCTTGGATGCTTGGGATCAAAAAGCGCTACTGAAACATCATCGAGCATTGTGGAAAGCTATTGGGAAGTGCAACATCCTCGGTTACCATGACCTGGACAAGCAGGTGACAAGCGTCTGGCTCCAAGAACTGTTGCGCATTGGCAGCTTTCGCTTTGCCGAGGAGGTTATCATTGCTACTCACGATAAGAGCTCTGATAAATCCTGGCCTTCAACGCTGGTCCTGAAACATCTCGAATACATGGATGGGATTGACGAAACTGCATCTCTTCAACGGGTCGGTAGATTTCTAGACCATCTTGATGCAGATACATCTGCCAAGTGTATTATTGGCGTCACCGAACACCTCGCCTCGATCGCATCTGACAATGAGACCCGCTACGAGTTGCTTGGTCGATGGAGGGACTGCTTATTACAGATCTCGGCTACGTCTGCGATCGCAAAGTCCCAGACATGGCTTGATATGCCATTGGCGTACATGGGTATTGCAATCGATCACTCTACCTCATCGAATTTACCGATTCATTCCCAGATTGTTTTGCGTCTCTGGGTCCTCAGAACTTTGAGTCGGACTCTAGCTCCGATGTACAACCAAAGCTCTAGGGTGACGGATCTACCTATCTGTCAATTACTTAACCTCTACGAGATGGTTATGCAGAAGACGGACGAATCATATCTGTCGAGCTTCATGCAGGGAATTCACGAGTTGGATCTTCCATATAATAGTCTTCTATTACTGGCTGTTGATCTGAAGCTGAGAAAGCTAACATCAAAAGCCACCCGCCAAACTCTCCAACGATTGGAAATTGCCCAGACCTCCTTATCAGATATTTGGACAGACCCTTCTGTCTATAGAGGGATTCGGGGACTTTTCCACGAGACATTCGAACAGATGTTTCGCAAAATGGATATCACCAGCCCCGAATCCGTGGCAGAATGCCTTCATCTTGCTCGCGTGGGTGACTCAAAGGATGTGTGGTCTCTCCTCAGACTTCTCAACAACCACACACCTTTGAAACTTTGCCTCCACAAAGCTTGGGTGCCTATCCCTCACCCCGATGAGAAAGCGCTGGTTCGCTATCATCCCGGGCCCAGGACAGCCAAAGCCCTGATCCGTATGCAGCTGTGGAATTCATTCATCAGCTAGCCGTTGTCTTCTCCTGCTGCAAGCAGCTTACGCCTTCCCGATCGTTCCACCTTGTCCACTGGATCTATGACTACTTACGCCGGCATGGTGGCCCCGTACACCCATCTTTGGTACGAGCCATGTACCATGCTGGTGTTGTGCGATATCGTAGTGAGGGACGCCGAGTCTCGGGCACTCAATATGATTACATTCTCTGGATCGCGAGGAAATTTGAGGGGCCTGGTGTTGTCAGGGAGCTCACCAATGGGCCGACAATCGCCAGAGGAAGACCCGTTGAATACGAAGATAGCTAAGCCTGGTATCTTTGCCGACTACGAGAGTCATCATGTACATAATAAGCAAACCCACGTTCGAGTCTCGTGAAGAAGGCATTCAAGGCATGCATTTTTACAACTACTCCCATTACGAACTATTGAGGAAAAATAATTCTGGCCGATTACAAGGTTCCATGATAAAATAATACTTGCATTCGTAGAAACCCCAAAAGTAGGCCCATCGCCTTTCATGTCATGAATACAGTGGTAAAATATTTTGAGATACAAGCCATAGTGTAAATTATACCTTCTTGAGAGGACCCCACTATCCTGTATCCCGGGTTGACGCGACCACCAAATCTAAGAATCCACCTCCATCTTCTCAGCCAGATTGTCATCTCCAGACAAGGTCTCGATGGTGACATATTTCTTCATATCCTCCTTGCTGATGATCTTCTGGTTCAACCAAGCAGTAGTACCACGAGGGAAGCGGTAGTTGCGCTCCTTGGTTCCACGCTCATTGGGCTTCTCATAGTTGCGCATCAACTGGGTAGGCTTATCCTTCTCGATAACACAGACATCAACATTGCTACCGGATCCCAGATCGTTGAAGATACCGGCCTTGATAGCTTCAGCGCAGAGAGTGATAGCACCCTGCTTGTCCAGATCCGGCTGCCAAGTCGACTCGAATACTGACATGGCTGCTAAGGAACCGGATCCCATTGTCACGTAAGGGAGCTTATCCGTCGATCCGTGGGCGTGAACGGTGTAGAGACCAACGCCTGTCGGGTCCACGCCCGCAACCACCAGGTACGCACCGATGTGACCCTGGTATCGGAAGAGGTGTTGCTTCAGCATCGTCATGCAAGTGATCACGCGCGGGTCGCGGCCCGTGGATAGAGAGTGCAGCTCGACATTGGAGCTGATGAGGGCGGTTGTGAATTCGGTATCAGCGGCGGTACCGGCACCAGCACACCAGATCTTCGGGGCGATGTAGTGAAGCTTCTCGCAGTTCTATAGGCGAGCCTGGGTCAGTTGTTGGGTCTATGGCGAAGCGTAGGAACTGGCGATGGTATCTGGGATATGAAGAGCTTCGTAAATGGTTGATTTCCGTACCTTGTCTGCTACTATGGGGCCGCTGGTGGCTCGGGTATCTGCTGCAATCTGCGATGACCGCCAAGTCAGTTTCTGGAGTCCGTGGGGGGGGTTGCACTCCGAGGGTGCTGAAGGTCATTGGCAATCATACCACAACGCCATTGTCATAAACACATCCAACAATTGTTGTACCAGTGCTGGTGGCCTTAGGAAGAGGAACACCCCTGGCGTGAAGAGCCGAGTTGCGGTTGAAGTTGGAGAAGTCGAAGCCCGGCATCGTGGCAACGCAGGGGAATGTGACACGGGGGAGCGGGTATCAGTGGTGGAGAGAGCGAGAATCCGGATCGGAAGTAGGATTCAAGGAGAAAAAGATGAAGATCGGACGGGTAGAGGTGAAGGACGAGCTGATGGGGGAGGGAGGGAGAGAGAGAGGGAGCTGTTTGGAGTGACGAAGCTCCCGCAGCCTGGCGGAGAGCGGCCTGACGGGTCAGGCAAAAATGGGGTGTTTTTGCCTGGGAACATTTTCGGGCTTTCCAAACCTCAACTGCACCTGAACCTTTGAACTTGACCTTGACTTGGTTCAGTCTCCTCCCTTCATCTCCAGGGTTTTCTCCCCCTTCCCTTCAACTTCTATTCGCCTTCTCTTTACCAGAGAGAGAGGCTGATCTCAAGATTTTCCAGCGTACCTTACACCTCTTCAACCGGAGTCCTCAAACGCTCCAACGTCGCTCTTTCTCTCCTACGCCGCCGAGCTCTCCATCACTCAATGCTTCTAAGACCGGCTCACCCCTAGGCGACCATTCTCGTTCAGTTTCAGGTGACTTGAGTCAACTCAGAATGGCCTTCAGCGGCTTCGGCAACTCAAACCCTGCTGGAGGGAGCGCGCAGGCGGAGCTTGGCCCGGAGCTCTCAGATGTCTTTACTGATGTACGTCGCGCTCTATCGGAGTTGCTGAACCGAGAGGAATTCAAGCTAATATTTAAAACAGGAGATTGGCTTCAAAGGTGTCGCCGGCGACTGCAATATCCGCTTCCTCCCCACCCCTTGGCCTGTCGATGCCCTTCCCTCCCCGACCTGCTCTCTGTTGGCCGTTGCGCAAAGCAAAGGCCTCGCAGTTGCCGCCGGACCTGATGCGCTAGTTGTCGCAACCACCGAATCCATTCGAAAATCAATCGAGGCATCAACTGAGGGAGAGAAAGTGAAGACAAAGTCGTTGAAACCTCTTGCGACCATCCCGCTACCTTCTCGCCCGACACACATCGCTTTCAACGCGAGTGACGACGCGTTAATCCTAGCCACCGAGAATGGCTCCCAGATTTCGGTCTTCCAAACAACAAGCCTTACACAGGATAACGCGCAACCTGCTTTATCCGTCTCAACCAATGGCGCTTCAATTCGCGCTCTGGTCCCAAACCCCGATTCCACCTCCAACCTCGTCGCCCTAGTCACAGTCAATGGTGAACTCTTAGTTGCTGATCTGAAGGCGGGAAATTTGGTATCGGGGGCCAACGGCCCCATTCTCAGGAACGGTGTCAGCTGCGTTGCTTGGAGCAACAAGGGTAAGCAGCTTGTGGCTGGGTTGGCTGATGGAACCGGGGACCAAATGACAGCCGATGGAACCAAGAAGGCTGAAATCCCTCGGCCTGCAGATTTGGAGGGTGAATGTCATGGTGAGCCTTGATTTGCGGATCGACAATTCGAGCTATTTTACTAACCACGCTTATAGTTTCATCTATCTCATGGCTAGAGAACGATGTTTTCTTCGTTATCTACACTCCCAATTCCCTTGATGATATGGGCGAAAACCCTCCCTCGTCTCCATACATCATAACAAGACGCAAGGGTGCACCTTTCCTGATCCAGAGATTGCCTGAAGTGTGTTCGACCCTCGGATTTAGACTGAAACGAGGCCCTGCCTACCAGTTCATCACTCGGCTCCGCGATTATCAACCTCACATGAAGGATGTCCTCATTGTCTCGTCCACCGCATCTGCCGATGTCGGTCTTGTCACACGATCCGATCAACCACTTGCCGACGACGATATCTCAAAAGGCCTTGTTGGCCAGTACGTTACTACGGAGATCAATAATGATAGTCAAAAAGCTGCTGTCCCGCTGAGAGATTCAGCTGACGAGACGTCGATTATTGGCCTGGCCGCCGATCTTTCGAGTACTGAGAATGTCTATTCACCAATTCAAGGCCAAGAGGAGGAAATTCCAGAAAGCTCATCTCCTCTGCCAGGTTTGCTTCTCTTGAATAACGATGGTGTTCTTTGCTTTTGGTGGTTCATCTACAACCAGGCCATCAAGCAGCAGATCTCATACTCGGGGCTTGTATCGGGTGGTCAAACTCAACAACTCTCTGCTTCAACATCGACCCCTGCTCAGCAATCTGCCTTTAGCCAGGCGTCCCCGGCACCACAGCAGCCTGCCTTCGGCCAATCTTCCTTCGGCCAATCTTCTTCCTTTGGTGCCTCTGCCTTCGGCAAGCCAGCTGGAGGTGCTTCTTTCGGCAGCCCATCTACCATGGGTGCAACCGCCTTTGGCAAGCAATCGGGCCCGGCCTTCGGGAGTCCATCTCCAATGGGGGGTGCCGCCCCAGCTCCAGCCTTTGGACAACCGTCCGCCCCAGCTCCGTCCTTTGGAACGCCTTCTAAACCTGGAGCGACATTTGGCACTGCTGGCACCCCAGCCCAGCCAGCATTTGGCCAGTCGGGCTTCGGAGCACCGGCCCCTAGCTTCGGACAGCCTAACACTCCGGCAAAGAGTCTTCTTGGAACTGGCGGTGGGTCTACTGGCGGTGGCTTCAGTTCGTTCTCTGGATCCGGCGGAGGCGGATTCTCTAGTTTTGCTACCTCCAAGGCAGGGGAATCTTCCTTCTCCAAGCCTGCTGGCGAAAGTTCATTTGGTAAACCCTCTGAGCCCTCTCCATTCGGCAAACCTGTCAATGATACCACTTTCCCCAAGCCATCTGGCGAAAGTTCATTTGGTAAACCCTCTGAGTCCTCTCCATTCGGCAAACCTGTCAATGATTCCACCTTCCCCAAGCCATCAGGCGAAAGTTCATTTGGTAAATCCTCTGGGCCCTCTCCCTTCGGCAAACCTGTCAACGATTCTGTTTTCTCGAAGCCTTCTGGCGAGAATGGGTTTGGAAAATCTTCCAATGCCTCTCCCTTCGGTAAACCTGCCGTCAGCTCCCCATTCTCCTCGGTTGCTACCAATAAAGCCAAGAGCCCGCTTGGAGAACCCAAGAATGACTCGCCGTTCCCATCAGCAGGGACCAGCCAGCTAACGAACCCGTTTGGCAAGCCTTCGAACGATTCTTCATTCCCTACTCCAGGTGCCAGCGAGACGAATAACCCATTTGGCCAGCAAAAGACAGGTGGTTTCGTCCTTGGGACTTCCTTCAAGCCGGATGGCACTGCCGCCAATGATGGTCCGAAGTCCAGCAAGCCTTCTACTGGGGCCCTCTCGTTTGGTGCCTCGTTTGGGGATACGGTTTCGTCTCCAGGCAAGGGCAGTCCGTCAAGCGAATCCATGGATAGCGATGAGAGTGAACCTGAAGAGCCTGCCAACAAAGAACCATTCTCTATCTTCGGCAAGCCTTCAAATCAGACTCCATCCATGTTCAGCCCTCTAAGCTCAGAGAATACGAAGTCGACCAAGGTGGAAACAAGCAAGTCGAAGTTTTCTTTCTCTAACAACAACTCCACCACGGCCATCTCTAGTTCAACACAGAACCAAGTCACTAGTCCTCTGTCGGCGCCCTCTGACAAGACAGCGACACCGAGACGGGAGCAGTCTGTCTCCACGCCTACCTTCAATTCATCCTTCGACGCCCCGCTGCCCCCGGATTCCATGAGTAGGGCTAGCTATGCAGCTGGCGACACCTCCGCATCCTCCAACGTATCTAAGAGCTCGGTCGAGGATGCGCCCCTTTCCACCGGATTTCACTACTTGGAACAAGTCCTCCTCGCAAGAAGACGCGCCGCTTCCTCCTGACTTTCTTGCTGAGAAGAAATCTTCGCCTAAGTTTGATGATGCTCCTCTACCCCCCGACTTCGTTACAAAGAAGCCAGCTGCGGAGACCGACGATGCCCCCCTGCCGCCGGATTTCCTACCAAAGCCTAAGAAGGCCGAGAGTCCTTCCGCGGTTCCCGAAGAGGCACCTCTGCCTCCTGACTTCCTTACCAAGGTGAAGACTGAGCCTATTGAGGACGAGGAGACCGTACCGATCCCTGATGGTTCCGACGCGGACTTTGAAGGCGAGGGATCCGACTTCTCTGACAGCGGTGAAGAAATAACCCATGACGACACCAAGATCCCAAGCCCTGAGGCTTCCCCTGAGAGTTCGTTTGGCGGCATATCAGAGAAGAGTGCCACGGGTGGGCTTTTCGGTGGGTTCCCCAAGGCTGCCGCCCCCAAGGAAGGCCAGAAGCCTCCCCGACAGTTATTTGGCGAAATTCCAAAGCAGCCACTCCTCCCGCCCCCCTGGGCCTGTCGCTCAAAACAACCGCGAGCCTTACCGATCCCCCAGTCCTACTCGTCTCAACTCCCAGCGAAACACAATGTTCTCGAAGAAGCCCGAACAGCGAAAAGAGGCTGGAAGTGCCTTAGCGACTCGAAAAGCTTCATTGTCACAGATGGCTCAGCGTGGCGGGCAATTACGCAAAGCTAGTACTAGCTCGCAAGATGAGAAGCTCCGTGCCAGACAGGCCGCACAACGACAAGAGGAAGAGGAAGCCCTCTCCCTATCGGATGATGATGAGGACGAGCGACTCCGTGCGGACCTGGCTCGCCCTGTTGAACCTGTGGCAACTCTCGACCCTTTCCTCCCTCACCAAAACTACACAGGAGAGACGGCCAAGCCTGGCGTTCCAGGGATGATCGAACGTCTGTATCGCGACATCAACTCGATGGTCGATACGCTGGGCATCAATGCGCGATCCCTGGATGCATACCTGCTCTACCAACAGCCTTCTCGGTCTTCGCAAGTTGCCACATGGGTGGAAATTCTGAAGAGCGAACAGCCCTCCGATATCCTTGACCAAGAAGTATTTCTACAGAATATCACCAATCTTGACGAGATTGTCACCGCTCTTCGCACCTCTCTCGACGACCAACGTGTGCAGGGTGTAGAAGAGAAGCTTGCACAATGCCACGAGCTGTTGACCAAGGATATCGTTAGTCTACGCAGCCTGTTTGCCAGTATCCGGAAGATTCTCGATGCGCACACCGACACCGGTTCTATCATTGCGGCACCTCTTTCCGCCGAACAAGCTACACTCCAGCAGGATCTTCGTACTCACTTCACTGAGATCCAGGCAAAGATGGCTGGTCTTGAAGAAGGCGTGTCCTTACTACGAGCCAAGATTGCAGATATTCCCCGTGCCGATGGAACATCTGCTTCAAATAGAAAGCGGCCCACTGTCGAAGCTGTTGCCTCTACCATCGCTACTATGATGAGTATGGCCGAGGGAAAGAGCAGTGACATCGATGTTCTCGAAGCTCAGATGCGGAAACTTGGCGTCGACGTCTCCACGGTGTCTAGCAGCCGCGAAGGATCACCCTTTACCACTCCCCGTAAGAATGCGGGTCGTTTCCCCGCAACCCCGGGATCGCGTGGATCTGTCGATGGTAGTTCCTATCACACACCAGAGTCCGCCTCACGCGGCGTCAATTTCCGGGCAAGCATGAATGGCTCAGCGAAACACAGCCGCCTTCGTAGTGTCGAGGGCGTTGGTCAGATCGTTGTGCAGGAAGAGACTTCCCGCTGGAAGTCGAAGAATTCCCGCCGCCAGCATTTGGTAGGCAACCTGAAGTCTGCCATCGAGAAGAAAGATGTCAAGCTACGTACCCTGGATGATGATTGGGTCGTCGTGGACAAGAAATAAGGGGTTGAACTCTTGGTTTGCCGGCGAAGAAGAATAACAGAAAGCATGTGAGAGACGTGGGAATGAATGGCATTTGGACGAATCTATTTTAGTACAAGGTCTGGCGTGCTTTAATTGGAAGGGAGTTAAAGAAACCTCTTTCCCAAAGAGATGTACATAGTCCAGCTTTTTTTTTGTGTGTTTGATTATCGATTAGCATGGCTTAATGACGAACGGATTGACTGACATCATTTCGCGGTGTGACATCAGTCCAACTCAATTCCTTACTATTTCGGGCTTCTAAACCGTAGGGCTTTCGTACCTAAGCACTAGATTCAGGGTCATGGTTATACACACTCTGGTAGCCAGACTGCGCATGTACTCCGAAGCAGAAGTGGTCCCAGAACAATACCTTACTATATCCAATATCCATGCACCCACACCATGTCGCAAACCATTAGCCAATTCATCTTCTTCAAGGTACAACCCGAGGTTCGGCCTGAAGACCCGGACAGCACAGAGGGCCGCGACCTGGTGGCTGTCTTCCGCACGACTAAACATCAAAGTGGTCACAAGAGTTCCGTCTGGGGCCGTGTGGTAGAAGACGAGGATGTAATTGTTTGGGTTGTGGGTACGTTACTTTTCCAGTGATAGTGGTTATTGTTGTTATCAATTGGTGAATGGGGGGTTCTATTTAGCATTCTATACAAGCTCACCAACGATCAATGATCAAGGAGAAGCATCAGATATAAAACGGGAATTCAAACTGACACGAGGCCTTCACTTCAGAATGGGCCGATGCCCGATGCTCAACAGCCGTTGCTCTTCTGGAACCCTTCCTCGCACCATCAGCCCAACCTCCGACAGCCCTCTACACAACGCTCAGCCCGCCGATTTCCAGCACGGGGACACTTACGGCAAACCCGTTTACAGAAATATGTGTCCTGCCTTTCCCCAGCTCGTTGACTGTGCAAGAAACTAGGCAGTTGGATTCGGACCTGATCAATTTTCGCATTGTGCTAATCGAGCACTTACCGCAGGCGAGTGGGCCACGGTCGTGGACGATGGGACATGTCGATCGTCCGAGCACGGTGCAGCATGCGACGAGTCCGAGTGGACGTGCTGTCTTGCATCTTTTGGCTATCGGGTGGGACTCGGTCGAGGCTCATTTGCAGGCCAAGGAGACGGAGCAGTTCCAGCAGAGCGTTGCGCCGGTTCGGGAGAAGATGTTGCCCCCCGTGCCTGGATTGGAGATAAAACATGTTAGTTTCAGGAAGGTTTAAGTTATCAGATTGCTGGGGTGAGAACTGGGTCGTTGTAGAGGGTGATGGTGATGATAGAAGCGTGATATGGTTCCTCCACGGGGGTGTTGTCTCTTGGTCTCTTCTTTGCTGTGAGATTGACTGAGGAAAGATAGGACGGATGAAGGAAGACATTGGAGCTGGGCTACTGGGAAGGTGTATGTGCAATGGGTGGGAAAAAATGGGATTGGATATTAGGAGACCGGATCGAATCATTCGCCTCAAATAAGATACAACAAGAAGAGAAGAGGCCAATAAAAGGAACACCCATGTGAAATTGAAAGATAAAAATGAAGAACGGAATCGTCATGAACCACCGTGGACTTTTTGGGTATGACGCCGGAAAGGCCCCCAAGATAGGAAAAAAGCTGAACTTAAACGCGGTGTTTCTCGCTCTCTGTAAAACAATTAGTGAGTAGGATGGCCATGGATGAAGCAAATGGGGACTGGGGTAAAAGACTAACCAAGTCGGGAATAGAGCATATACAGAGCCATCTGGTTGCACTCCTGGGTACCAGTGATTGTTACCAGGCGCTCATTGCTGCTCTCTTGGGGCTCGTTGATCTTGATAACACTGCCACTCAGGTGGCGGATCTCGTTGATCTTAGCACCACCCTTTCCAATGATGGCACCGACCATGTCGTTAGGGATATAGATCTGTTGGGTCAGAGGCTGGCCAGGCATGGCACCACCAACGGGGGCGGCAGGAGCAGGGGCTCCACGGCCGGGGGTAGGCTGTGGCCCGCCAGCGTATGGGGCAGGCTGATGGGGGGCAGCACCAGAATAGGGGGTGTGGGGAGCAGGAGCACCGTATGGCATAGCTGGCTGGCCGACAGGGGCCGGAGTGGCTTGACCGTGCAAATACGGGACGCCGTAAGAACCGGTTTGGGCGCGGTTAGGGTGCGGGTGGTGACGCTTGAATGTTTCAGGATGGCCATATTGGCCACCAGCGGGCTGCGGGACGTAAGGAACGACCTGCATGCCACCGGGAACGGCACCAGCAGGGCCACCACTACGAGTGGCATAGGCTGAGGCCGCCGGACCACCGAATCGCTCCGTCAATTGCTCGCCGAGTGTAACAGCAACATAGTACGTCGCAATATGCACGGCATCGGCGACACCGAGAATGACAAGGGATCGCTCGGTGGACAAGGGAAGGCAGGCATCAGAGGCATTGAGGCGTGCACCGGAAGCTTCCTGGATCTCACGAATGCGGCTTCCACCCTTGCCGATGATGGAGCCGATGAGAATGTGCGGGATTAGCAAACGCAGAGGATACGTCTTAGACTGGGCAGTGGAAGGGGAGTCGAGGGGCTCGTTGTTCAGGGTGCGGATGATCAGACCAAATGCCTGTAGGAGTAATTAGCGTGTGAGATCCAACAGGCTCGTGGAGATGAATATATAAGACTTACCTTGGCTACGGCATCCTGGGGGCCGCTGACGGTCAAAATGCGTTCGACGGCACCCCGCGAGTAGTCGCTAACGGTGCACTTGGCACCGGAAAGACGACGAATCTGGGAAACATTCTCACCTCCCTTTCCAATCACAGTCGCAGCCTCCGGGCTGGAGATCACGGCGCGGATGTGGATCCAGTTCGTCTCGTCCTGAGGGGTATGCTGGTCGGAATGGGAGCCAGCACGCTCACCATGAGAGGCAGTTGACTGAATGGGCTGGGTGTCGGCGTGCTTGCCGTTAGGGGCGTCAGGGACGACAGTGTCACCCTGGATATCCTTGGTGTCTTCGATGGAGGGAATCTGGTTGCTCGACACGTCCGCCTCGGCATCAGGGTCGTTCTTCACTACTTTATCCAGGGCCGGGCGCTTGGCATCGGGCTGGTCGTTGGGACCTGAGGGGGAAGAAGGATCCTCAAGAGGACGCTTGGTCGACTGAAGGTTCGACGGAGAGGCCGACATTCTGTACTGCTGCCTGTTTTCACTTACGTGAAAGATCGGTGTCAAGAATGAAAGTTTGCTTTCTTTTTTTATGATCGTCTATGTACACCAGGGGTTCCCAGGGAAAGGTGCTGGTGCTGGTGCTGGTGCTGGTGATTGGCGATCGACAAAGGGGAAAGCTGGTGTGATGTGCTGTGATGTGGGAGCGCCGAGAAGAGGGGGTGTAGAGCAAGTGGTGGAATGGACGGGACCTCAAAGCAGCAGAATCTGAGCTTCACGAGGAGGATTTGGGGGTCTGGGAAGACTTCGGTGGAAATGGGTGGGAGGGAGGTGTGGTGGTGGTGTGGTGGGTGGAGTGCCGTGGATGCGACGTTGGGAAAGGAGAGTGCCGGAGCTAGGAAATCAAGGGGAAAACTTGGGCGCGGCCTTGGAAGCAAAGACGAAGGGAAAGAACTTCCGAGAATCGACTTGAGTGAAAGAAAACGAGGATGGAATACTGGGAGGGATGGGGGGAAAGGGGAAAAAAGGGTCGAAGGTGTCGATGGGAGATTGCAAGCAAGTGCGAAGGTGAAGTGAGGTGAGGTGTGATCGGCTGAGCTAATCCCGTCACGTGTTGCCCCATGTTGTTGGCCGCGCCGCGTTTGTATTTATATTTGTATCTGTAGATATGCCCATGGTATATGGGATACCATTCATTACTCTCCTCGATTCTCCCCCAGGATGACTACCGAGCAATCAATCATGGAGGTCTCGGACTCGGTGGTAGCAAACATCAACAAATTTGTCCAGAACCGTCAAGCCGCGGAGAAGGAGGCCACCCACGAGCCTCTTAGTGCAACGGCGCTGCATGCCTATGCGCGACGGTTAGATGGGACATTGCTGCAGCTACAGGACCAGGTTCGCCGACAGGAGGAAGAACTCAGGAAGGTATGTGAAATCCCAAAACGCCTGTCGACCATTGGTTATCGGAATCCCAATTAACATCCATCATAGCTCCGTGGAGTTCGTTCCCATGGTCTCTTGCATGGTGGAGATGACCGGTGGGCACGCGTGCAACAAGCACGTCAGGCCAAGAGGGCGTACGAGTCATTATTGAAGACTGAAGATCAGCTGCCAACGACTGACTCGGTCCTACCTCCCTTGTTGGCACTCGAGCAAACTGGGAAGCTTATTGAAGAGGGCAAGATCTCCGTCTCCGTGACCGCAGAGAAATTGTCAGGGGACCGAGACCGTCTGCGTATAGAGAATGCCAACTTGCAGGACTCGCAAGCTATTGCTCGCAGACTCCGGGAAAGAATCCAGAGAATTCGCAGTACCAACGAGCGAAAGCAAGAGCAAACGCCTACGCAGGTGGCTCAAGAAGTGATCAGCGAGCAGAAGAAGAAAAACAAACGAATGGCTCGCGCATCTGCCGAGCTCAAAGAGTCCCTTGACAAGTTCATCGACGATACCCTGGCTCCAATGTTGGCTGCCGAGGACCTTGGCGGGCCAACAGTGGGTGATGAATTGGAAGTGTCAGATGCGACCTTAAAAGCTGGCTACACAGCGCATGGGAAGCCCAAGAAGCAGAAGGAACCGGAGGAGCCGGATCTAGGCAGCCAACAGCGCATTGATCAGTTTCTTCGTCCAAGCACTGATGGTTCCAACCCTACCGGCAAACGGCAGGCAGCCGCCACCGAGCTACACGAATTGCTGGATGCTCTTTTGGAAGCTGATTTCTCCTATATTGATTTAAAGCGCGACTCGGCAGCATCCCGATTTCTTGTGAGAGCTAAGGTCGCTCAATTCCACCCACGAGATGCAAGACGTCTGCGATTGATCGACTTTAGCCGCTCCTTAGGAGTCTGAGGGAAAGAGGCGATTTATTGTGGTTGCCCTCGGGCAGAGACGGAGATGGCATTATGTCTACTAATATCCTAATCCAAGAATGATGTATGAAAGAAATGAACCAATATCCCATGCACGCCTTCATTCATGCGCAGTAAAGAAAACATACCCTTGGGTAATTTGTAGAACGCCGATAGATGCTTCACGCGTCGAATCATGATCACTTCGCAGAAAAACAAAATAACTTTAAATGGGCATCATTCCAATTGTGGATTTGGAGGTTTTCGCTTTGCTGGTCTTGCGAGGCGCAGATGCTGACCGGCTGGCTGGTCGGTCACCACCAGATTTGGCCTTGGACCTAGCACCTTTAGCCTTGAAATTGCCCGCGGAGCCACCGTTTTTGCGCCGGGGAGCTCGCTTGTAATTGGAACGTTTGCCCTTGGAGTTGGAGGGGCCTGCCCCAACGTCGTCACCAGGGTCGAAGCTGGGCGAAGGCGGAGGGGGGAAATAGCGACTTGTGACATCTCGGGTGTTGTCTTGAACGGGATAATCAAGATCGAAGTTAGATGCCTGATCCGCGAATAAATCGTCATCGCTATACTCGTCACTACTGCTGAGGTTGATGACATTATGGTGATTTGGGTCTGGGACAATTCCGCTGGTTTCCGCATCCTGTGTCAATTCCTGGTACCGTCGCCTGGCATTGTCGACCAGCTTCAAAATCTGACGGCCATATCGAGCCACCTTGTCACGGTCAATACCTGGTATGGCAGAGAGTTGCTGGATGTCTGCGTAAATCCATTAGTATTGTTTTAATTCGCAAGCCATTTCCACCCTTACCTCTCGGGAATGAGATGGCCATCTCGCGCAATTGCTGGTCTGAGAATGGTTGAGAACGAAGGCCTTTCTCAACAACAATCTGATGAAGCGTTAGCCAATGGTAGCCCTGCAATCAGAATAAAGAAGGAGAGTGCTTACCTCCTGAAGATATCTCTTTGCCGTGACCTCGAAATCCTCCACTACCGCTCGATGCAGATGGTCAAGTCGATCCAATCTTTGATCGCTCGTAATCGGGGGTCCCATTTCACGGGAAGTATGGTTCCCAGCCCCACCAGCTACTCGAACTGGTTCAAATCCATCGCTATCATCCTCAGAGTCATTCACGGGAATGCTTCGTTTCTGGGTACGCGCTTGGCGGCGATCATTGGCCGATTGGACAGGAGACGAGACCATGGTGGACTGAGGATGAGGTTGGTTGCCAGACTTCCCTTTTTGTGTCGTCTTTGAAGGTCGAGCCTTGCTCTTTGGAGATGCGCGCACTTGCAACATCATTTTCCGCTGACCAGTCTCATATTCGGTGGCACGTCGGCCAAGTATGATGTATTGGACAGCGAAATCCTTCCCGTTGATCACATTGTCTTCCGCGAGAGCATCTTCACCCAATAAACGGTAGAATAGCCGCTCCGCTTCCCCTCGGTCAAGGTCTGAGCCGTTGCCATACCAGGGAAGTTGCTTGTGGGAGGCAGATTTGGCCTTCTTCAAGTCTCCACGAAGAACATCCACGCAGTAGAGTACAGTGACCTTTTCTTTCAAGTTAATTTGAAAGTGCCGGACAATTTTGATAATCCAGCCTGCATGCTGTGAGAAATCATGCGACTCAAACACCGAATCAGACTTGCAACTATCGCAAGCGCTGCCACAGTCCTCTCGGCGGAAGTATTCATTGAAGTAAGCAAGTACTTGCACACGTCTACAGTCGCTGCGGTTCTCGCAGAACTGAACCACATTACGGAGCATATGCTTCTGTCGGGCCTTTTGCTCATAACTGCCGTCGCCGGAATCGATCATCCGTTTAAGGGTCGCCGCATCCTTGTAGCCGTAGTAAAGATAACAACCAGAACGCTTGCCATCTCTACCAGCACGGCCTGTTTCCTGGTAGTAACCCTCTAGACTCTTGGGAATGCTGTGATGGATAACAAATCGTACATCTGGTTTGTCAATTCCCATGCCAAATGCAATCGTGGCAACAATAACTTGACATTCGCCCATCTGCCACTTGTTCTGCACATTGGCCTTTTCATCTGATTTCATACCTGCATGATAATGGCTGGCCTTAAGGCGATGCTTCTCGCGAAGATCTTTTGCGACATTCTCGCATGTACTGCGCGACAGACAGTAGACAATACCGCATTGATTGCGGTAGGATTTGGTGATTATTTCTGCGATACCGGCGAGGACTTCATTGTTTTTGCCCTTTGGAAGCACTTCATATGTGAGGTTCGGACGATTGAAGCTTTGCAAAAAGGTTTCGCATCCGGTCATCTTCAGATTGTGAATCACATCCACTTTCACATTCTCTGTGGCAGTAGCAGTCAAAGCCATAACTGGGACGCCAGGAAGCTTGTTCCGAACCTCACCCAATTCCTTGTAGTCTGGTCGAAAGTCGTGTCCCCACTGGCTCACGCAGTGTGCCTCATCAATTACCAACCGTGCGAGTTTGTTCCGACGGTGAAGTTTCTCTAGAGCTCGCACGAGCGTCTGGTTCTTGTTGATCATCTCTGGGGTGATATACAACAGCTCCAATCCCTCTCCCCCGGCATTTGACAATTGACCAAGAATCCATGATCGCTCGGATCTGTCAGACTCGCCGTTCATCAGGTAGGCACTGATGTTCAGTTTACGCAGGTGGTCCACTTGATCTTGCATCAGACTCAACAGCGGCGAAACCACAAGCGTCACGCCATGGGTCTTTCCACTCATTACAATAGAAGGTAGTTGGTAGCATAGTGATTTGCCTCCACCCGTGGGCATCAAGATGAATGTGTCTTTTCCGCCAAGAGTCGCATCGATTGCTTCGAGCTGATTCGGACGGAACCCGCGGAGATGGAATCGATCCTTGAGAACCGTTTTCACTTCTTGAGACCAAGGGTGATTGGACCAGAAAGTGCTACGGCCTGGTGACTTCTTTGGGGCCGGCATGCGAGATGAGTTGCCCGACGTTTCCGCAAATACTTTCCGGTTCTGGGGTTCTGGGGCCGCACGATCGTCGAAACTTCCTGCCACCTCTAGTATCTCATCATCGCTGGCATTCCAATCAAAGTCGTCAAAATCCATTGTGGTCGCAAATGGGGGGGATCCCATGTTGCGAGCAACAAATTTGTCTTGTTTATCGTGAAGCCTCTCAGTCGAGTAGTCTCTCGTCTCTCTAACATTTGCAAATGAAGACTGTTCCCTCGGGGGTGGCTCGCTCCGATACATCGAACGGGGTGGAGCAGGCGGGGAGTTGATTGAAATAATTGAATCGTCGAACAGATCCTCAGGAGGGGATTGGTGATTCAGTTTTGTACGCGAAGTCGTCATTGGAGGTTCGATATCAATCGATCTAGATGCCGGCGCAATATCGAAGACCCTGGAACTGGGGAGAAGTTCGCGGATATTGGCCTCGATTTTCTCCAGGTCGGCTTCTACGGCTCGACTTTGTGCTAGCTCGGGCATTGTTGTCGGGTCGATGCCCTGGGATATCACGCGCATGAGGCTCTTCTTGAGATCGTCTTTTCGGGAAAGGCATTTTTTGTAGGAGTCCTGACTGGTCTTCAAAGACTCAATGGACTGTATCTGAGTGACCAGATTCTTGTTCGCGGCAATCAAGTCTGGTGCTGTCCGACCTTCCATGGCCTGCTCGTAAACAATTTCCGCATTCTTCTGAAGCGTTTCCTTTAAGCTGGATATGGCCTGGGCAAGTGATGTCGAGGGAAGAGCAAGAAATTTCAGAATTTCTGGATCCCTTTCCTGCGAACTGGGCGCTTTCGGCGTAGGCGATGGATCTGGGTTCTGCGACTTTGGCAAGGGGGGGTTTCTTCTCGACCCGCGTCGGCGGTGGCAGAGCATTGCTGGGAGAAGGTCGTGAAGCTGTGCTGTGGTATTCCGACTTCTGGCTTTCCTGGGAGCTCAATTTAGGAAGTGTTGGGTATAACGCCGGCTCCGGGTCGAAAATCATATCATCAACGTCTTCGGCACCAAGCCAACTATCGAATTGATCATCTTCGTCCTCGTCGGAATCAGCGATGACTTGCTTGGGCTGTTTCGTACCACTCGAGAGGGCAGCTCGGCTTGACGCCGCGGGCAATTCTGCAACCGTGTTGCCAGAGATAGGTGGTCTGTTTGCCTTGGAAGGTGTTCGAATCTTCGTGGAGTGCTTAGACGGTGATAGCAGATCCGATGTGTATTCCTCGCTCTTCCTCTTCTTTCCTCGCTTCTCGGAGGGAGCATCTTGTGTTGCAGCTCCCTCGGTCCATAAACGACGCGGTTCGCCAAAGTCAGCTGTTTCCGAGGACGGCAGGAAACGATTTATTTCTCCTGTCAAATCAATGGACTCGATTGCATCGAATGGCGATGTCGCGAGCTTGCGTTCTGACTTGAGCGGGGTGGCTGTTGGCCGAGGACTTTTGAAAGAGGATGCTGGCTGTGGATCGAGGTGGGACTTTGCTGTAATCATAACACATCATCGTTAACAAAATCCAAGTTATATTTGTAGCATAGCAGCAAACGTACCTGCAGCCATATTCCGTGCCGAAGACGGCTTTTTTGAGGTCGAAGGCGTCGCATCGTGTTTTTTGTCGGCCTGGATAAGCATGCGAGGTTTGCTTTCAGAAGAAGGACACAGCATTAATCGTGCCATGGTTTCATCTGACACATCATCGGCGTCCTCCAAGATCTCGTCCAATTTCTCGAATTCTTCCGGTGGTGTAGGTTGTTGCGAAAAGCGGGTAGTAGGTTGGTCAACCACCGGTGACTCGGCAGTTAGCGATGGATACAAAGAGGGGCCTTGCTTCAGCAGCCATTTCAAATGAGAGGCCAAGTTATTCTTCGTCATGGGGTGATATTGGAATCATGGCCTTCGCCTTTGGGGTCGTTTGTCGTCGTTATCGGACTTGATCGCGCTGTCGCGCTCAACTGGGACGCGTCGGGCACGTGAGCGGTCAGCACTTATTGTCGCTGGCCCGCATTAAAATTCAGCAATAGATGGGAACAAAAACACCGAAATAATGTGAATTGGTTTCAAGAGAGTACATTAACATGCATTATCGTGTTAGGATAAATTTATATATTTTTTATATATTTTTTATATATTTTTCCCTCATATAATGAAGGCCCTAGGGGATCCCTAATTGACCGCCATAGAGAACCGCGGGGAACCCTATCTATCCAAGTGGGGAAAGCCCTTTTTTTTTATGCCCCGCGGCCCAAAGACGTTGAACTTCGAGGGAAAAAAAAATAATCCTGTGCAGAAACACAATTCCACCATGGGTAAGAAAACCAAGAAGTCCGCGGAGCAGAAAGAACGAATTGCGGCCAAGCAGTCCAAGAAGTCTGCTAAGACCGAGAAAAAGTCCAAGGCCAAGAACAAGGATGCGGACAGCGACGTCGAGGAGGCCGACCTGGATTCTATCCTCGCTCAGTATGCCGAGGAACAAGCCAGATTCCTAAAGGTTACCGAAATCGTGTCAGAGCCTCCGGCACCACGATCCTCTGCCACCGTACTTGCCTCGCCTTCGAACCGCAATGAATTGTTACTCTTCGGTGGCGAGTACTACGACGGGGCACTTGCGACATTCTTCAACAATCTCTACGTTTACCTGATTGATCGTGGAGAGTGGAGAGAGGTTACCAGTCCTAACAGCCCCCTGCCTCGAAGTGGTCATGCTTGGTGCCGTGGAGGTAACACAGGCGGAGTTTACTTGTTCGGAGGTACGATCAGAACTATCCTGTGATATCCTTTATCTGATCTGTGGCTTGTGTCTAACCATGAATAGGTGAATTCTCGTCGCCCAAGCAGGGCACATTCTACCACTACAACGATTTCTGGCACTTGGATACTGCTACTAGAGAATGGACTCGTCTCGAGACCAAGGGCAAGGGACCTCCGGCTCGAAGTGGTCACCGTATGACCTACTACAAGGTATGTGGTCATTTTAACAATTAGAGACGGTGATCCATATATCGGTACAACTGCTTACATGATTTTCAGAACTATATCCTTCTTTTTGGAGGTTTCCAAGACACCTCCCAGCAGACAAAGTATCTGCAAGATCTGTGGATCTATGACTGCAACCAATTTACCTGGCACAACCCTGTCCTGAATGCCGCGGCACAGAAACCTGATCCGCGATCCTCATTCTCTTTCTTGCCCCATGAAACGGGAGCGGTCATCTACGGTGGCTACTCACGAGTCAAGGTCAGCAGCGGCGGAGGCGGAAGCGGCAAGCAATCCAAGGGCGGTCCCCAGAAGATGGCTTTACGGCCCATGGTCCACCAAGATACTTGGTTCTTGAGACTCACACCTCCTGGTACTGAGGCGCCATCATCTGCTACCCCTACAATTCGATGGGAGCGAAGGAAGAAGCCAGCCAATACTCCCAATCCCGCACGCGCTGGAACAACAATGGCCTATCACAAGGGTCGTGGAATTATGTTCGGTGGTGTCCACGATGTTGAGTTAACCGAAGAAGGAATCGACAGTGAATTCTTTGATACGTTGTTCGCTTGGACCACAGACCGAAACCGATTCTTCCCGCTCGGCCTGCGTCGTCCTCGCGCCCCAGGCAAGAAGCAGGCGACCCAGGCTAACAAGTCTCGTAATAGAGGCAGGGCTGATGAGGAAGAATTACTGAACAACCTTAAGGCTTTGGAAACCAAGCAGGGTCTTCGTGATGACGATGATGATGACTTCATGAAACCAAGTGCTCCCGAGACCGAGGAGCCTGAGGAGCCTCAGAAGCCCGCAGTCGTTCGCTTTGAGATGCCACACCGAAGATTCAATGCCCAACTTGCTGTACAAGATGATACCCTGTTCATCTACGGCGGTACATTTGAAAAGGGTGATCGCGAGTTTACATTCGATGATATGTACTCTATCGATCTTGGCAAGATGGACGGCGTCAAGGAAATCTTCTACAGAGAGCCCGAGAACTGGAATCTCATGGACGAAGAGGACAGCGATGAGGACATGGATGACGACGATGAAGATGAAGACGACGATATGGATGATGAAGAGGGCGATTCTATGGCTATCGATACTCCTCCGGCCGAAGCAACCGTGCCATCGGTTACGCAAGAGATGGAACAACTCGAGGTTGATGAGCAAGAGCCAACTGTCGAGGACAGCCGACCACTCCCTCGCCCGTTCGAGAGCTTGCGAGAATTCTTCAATCGAACCGCGGATGATTGGCAACAGATTGGAATTGAAGCCCTCACTATGAAGGGTCTGGTTGAAGGTAAGACTATCAAGGAGTTGCGCAAAGCGGCCTTCGACATGGCAGAGGAGAAATGGTGGGATAGTCGTGAAGAGATCATGGCCTTGGAGGACGAGCAAGAAGAGGCTGGTATTGGCGAGGTGGTTAGTATGGCCGAGCGGGCTGAGAATATGGGAGGTGCCGGTCGTCGCCGGTGATCTCAACAGAAAACAAATTTATTTTGGCATTGCATTAGTTTGGTCTCGCCTTAGTGGCTTCAAAATTTACTTCTTTGGACACAATCATTACAGACAGAATATACCTGCTCTATCTGTATTTCTCCGATCATAGGAATTAGTAGAAATTATAGCTGTGCCACTTGGTTTAGAACCTCAGTCACCAACGCAGTATCCCGCTCGACATTGACCCTCCAGTTGGAAATGGCGATTCTGCAAGCCGGGGCGCCCTGCCAGCTAGTTCCAGAGACAAACATGCGCGACGTTTCGTTGATCCTCTTTGCAAGTTCGCTGTTCAGATTGTCGTTCTTGGCCCGGAACAGGACGCTCATAAAAGTCTGATCCAAAAGCTCTGGCTTCGAAGTCGCCTCTGGAAGAGCAATATATGCTGGGGAATCGTAAATCCAACCATATACAGCCCTCGCGAGGCCAATTTGCCGCTGTAGCATATCGGAATATCCTTCTCTCCCATATGATAGCAGAGATGCGTACACCGGCAAGGCTCTAAATCGGCGAGAATTTTCCAGTCCAATGTTCAAAGGAGAAGGGATAGACGGCCCCTCAGAAGGTCCTGACGAAAGGTATGCGGCATTTGCATTCTGGAAGACCTGGGGAGCTAGGTTGTGGTGTCGACAGAAGAAAAGGCCGCAGTCGTAGGGCACATTGAGCAGCTTGTGGCCATCACCAGTAATCGAATCTGCCAGTTCTATTCCTTCGGCGCCTTTCTTAATAGTCGCAAACTCTGCAGTATCTTCTAAGCCTCGACAAAAGATGCCGAAGGCGCCATCAACGTGGATCCATGCATCATATTTGTCACAGAGTCGACGGATCTCTTTCATTTGCTCTGCTCCGGAGGTGGCAAACCGGCCAGTATTAACTTCTCCACAAGAAATCGCAACGATGGTAGCTTTGTCCTTCCTTGCAAGCTCCTTCTCCAGAACATCCATATCAAAATGGAGGACATTATCAGCAGAGCACACATTGCGGACATTAGCTCTGCCGATTCCCAAGACACCAGCAGCTTTGACTAGAGAGGAGTGCGGCATCGTCGAAAGAACTTGGATGCCCGAGAGTCCAGCGGCTTGTAAAACTTCCAATAAGCCATTCTCTCCAACACTCGTCACTTGTGATCCATTCCGCTGAGCTGCTTTCTGAAGGACAAACTCACGGCCACAGGCCAAGCCTAAGATATTGCTGGCTGTAGCTCCGGTTGTAAATGTTCCATTCTGCCATGTGGACCGTTCCAGTCGGAAGAGGTCTGCAAGCATCCCAAGAGTGTTGAACTCAACATCTGTGACAATTGAATGATTTGGGAGATGTACCTGGACATTCTGATCGTAGGCTGATACGACATTGTCAGCGAACAACGCAGCCGGTGTAACTCCACCCGTGATGAACCCATAGTAGTTTGGACTGATGCTTCCTCCATTGAATGCCGGTACAATTTCTTCCAGTATATGTCGCTGCACTGAGTCCAAGCGAGAACCAGTGGCAGGTAGCGTATTGGGAATGGACTTCCTAGCTCGGCTAAGCTGCTCAGTACTCGGAAGCACGCCAGTTTCCCAGGGGCCCTGGGCGGCCTTCCACAGGTCTTGTATAATCTTCTCGTCCATTTTGAGTATGCGAGGAAATTTCCAAGGTTTGAATTGTCGGGGTGCCAATGATTTGAGATAAAAGGCAGTTCAAGGGTCGCTATGATCTTCACGGGATCTCTGAATGACAGCCTTGTGAGTCGGGATCTGCTCGATAGAATGCCCCGGCTGGACCTCCCCAAATCAGCAATAGCGGGTAATAAATAAGCCTTCCAAGGTTGATGCGTTGGGTCCACCAGATAGGAGAGTCCCAAAGTAATGATTGGTGGTAGGCCGCGTGTCAGGAACGAGGCTGGGGGGATGCTTGGAGGTTGCAGTGATGGGCCGGCGCTTCTCCGCAGTCGATCCACTCTGCACTTTCCACTCCGAACTCTCGGACTCTCGGACAACCCACGACTCGCAAACATGGCAGCCAAGCTGATTGAAAGACAATTCCACAACGTGTCCGGTATGTCGATTGGTTCTACTCCGTATATCGGGGGAAGATGGAGCTTGGGCGCTGATTGAATTTACAGGGAAGCTGCGCGTCGCCGAGCTATTCTTCGATGTCCCTGTCGACTACAGCAAGCCAAATGGGACCACCCTGAGGCTGTTTGCACGAAGCGTGGCTCGCTTCAACAAACCAGTTGAACCCACCAAAGATGAGGGCAAGCTACCCTGGCTAGTCTATCTTCAAGGTGGCCCCGGCTTTGGATGTGGTGCCCCGCAAAACTACGGTTGGGTTGAACCCGCTCTGAGCAAGGGATACCAAGTAAGCTGATTGGCCACGTGGACGGGCTTAGAGCTTTCTACGCGCTCAAGAATTAGTTATGG